AGGATACAGTTCAAGATCCTGGTCTTCACTTTCAAAGCCTTCCATGGCCTTGCTCCCCCTATCTCTGTGACCTCCTAACCCTCTACCAACCTGCCCACTCCCTCCGCTCAGGGGGCTCCAGCCTGCTTCACATCCGTCACCTCACCTGCCCCACCATTGGCGGGCGGGCCTTCAGCCACTCTGCTCCCACCCTCTGGAACTCCATCCCGCATTCCCTCCATCTCACTCCCTCCCTTACCTCCTTCAAGACCCATCTAAAGACCCTCCTTTTCAACCATGCCTTTGATCACCCTCTTCCCCACCCCCCGCCCTCCAGCCTCCCTGTTCCCGACCGCCAGCTCAGGTCCGAAACACTTATTGTCCAGCACCTTGGGACGTCCTCCCAACGTGAAAGGCGCTATACAAATGTAATTTTGTTGTTTTGATTCCACCTCTGAAGTGTTCCCTGACCTCACTTCAAATAGTCTTGGTTCTGACTTTATGCCCTTGTAGTGGATCCCTCTACTGAAATGATCACGTCTTGATGACTCCGTGCTAATGACAACTAGTACATTCACTCATTAAGTCATTGAGTGATTTTTATTTAATGGTCAACTAATTATATCCTTGAAATCCCTTCTCTTTTTCTTATTGCATCTCATTGATCATTTTAATTACTTCTCGCACTTTCACTGTCCTTCAGTGTCTTATTCATCTGTGTTACCGATCTAAACTAGGCCAATGAAATAGCTTTAAAGGAAGTTAAGTTCCCATTTCTCCAGAAATATTTTTTATTGAAAATACTGTATGGGCTTATTCCAGCAATGAGGTGTTGAAAGGTCTTCCAGAACTCTATTATAGTTAATTAATACCTGATGTACTCAGCAAAGTGCTCTCAGCAAGTTTCCAAAGTCGTCTGTTAACTGTGAGTGACTCAGTAAACTGCGGAGACGATAAATTACAATGTAATCGCCATCCAGGCACACCACTTAGTTGTACAGTATGCGACACTCTGGTGCTGTAAGAGTGCATGAATATTTCACTAACTGGAGAATCCAGCACCAAAAAGGAAACCAAGATGGACAAATTACAACCTCCTACACAGTAGTTACATAGAATCTAGAGCGCTGAACCAGCCCATTCATCCCAAAGGTTTTGTGCAGATGTTTATACTCTACATGAGCCTTCACCCTCCTAATTCCACTACCCTCTACTCCCCCCATACACCTTCGCTCCCTTCTCGCTCCAGGATAGATATTGCTGCAACAAATTCCTTTGTTATGAAAAGAACTTGCTGTGTTCTCTGGGAAAGCCATCCCAAGAAGCCCAAGATGAACAGGCGGATAAGAACTTATTCGTACATCGTTTTGTTTTGACCAGCCAGACGTCTGACACATGCGGAAACCTATCACCACATTTAACAGTATCCAAACCAAACTGAGAAATCCAGGCATCCCACCTACATATGGAAATCGCAGAGATGGATTTTTGGAATGGAATGTGCACTCTCCCTGGAGGGACACATCCTGTTTACCTAATTTCGCAAAGTATTAGGCACAGGTTGGCAAGAGCCAAGGCTTGGGGATCCCAGAGTGTGTGTTGGGTATGCTGGAGCCTAACCAGCTAAACCTCCATAGCTTGGCATTGATCCAACATCTCATCCAAAGCACAGCTCCTCCAACAACACAGCATTCCACCAATCAGCATCTGTTTTACCAGGCCCCTCACATGAGGTCCTGGATTCAGTAGCTGGTGCTGAGGAAGCCTGTTATCCAGCGTTGGTCTTTGAGCTGTCCTGTAAATGTTCCTCCACCATGCTGAAGGCAGGCATCATCAGATAGCTGATGAGGAAACTCAGACTTTGGTCCATAGCTGCTGGGAGGCGTTACCTAGAGTTTGTGAACACACATTCATATATCCAGCTCTTGGAATTAATCCACTTTGATTGGTTTGCAGAGATGTAAGAGAGGATGCTCAAGCTCCATACTTCCACCTCGTGGAACCATCATCGCTCAATGGGAAGTGACGGTGTGGCTGAGCTGTGGGCAGGAAAATGGTTGCAATGCTCTCCAGCATTTCATGCTCAGATGTATTGTACACCAGGAACCTCACAGGGAGTTCTCGGTACCTGCCATCCACCAGGTGAGGGCTCAAACCCATGCTTGTCGGATGTTAAATGGCAAACTAATAACTATCCTCCTTGGTGGGAGTTAAACTGAGTCTCCTTGGAGCTGAACCATGAAATGTTTGGCAACGGAATGTCAGTTTGGAAAGCTTGACAGGCAGTGCTCTTAATGACAAGCGATGTGGTTTTAGCTGGTTAGACTCCAGCAATACCCCAACACGTACTCAAGCCTTGGCTCTTGCCAACCTAGGCCTAATACCTCCGGAATTAGGTAAGCAGGATGCGTCCCTCCAGGGAGAGGGTGCCCATTCTGATAAATATCTCAGGGATTTCCATGTGTAGGTGGAATTCTCTGCGTGGTTTGGATTCTCTTAAGCTTGGTAATGGGTTTCCGCATGTGTCAGGTACCCAACTGACCAAAAAAAACTTCATCAAGAGATAAAGAGTGAGCCAGCCTGATACCTCAGAATGCCTTGTACCTCAGCACAGTTTGTAAGTGTCAGCAAGTTATATCTACAATACAATATACATTTATATAGCACCTTTCCAATTGGGACAATATCTCAAAGCGCTTTATACTGCGAGCTGGGCATCTGATCCGGGGGTGGGGGGGGGGACTGTGGGAGCAGAAGTGTACTCCTATCTGATCTTTTTCTCGCCCAATATTATGTTTTAGGGAGCAAGGCTCAGAAGGTAACAATTAACAGTAAGAACTAGCTTGGGGACTCGAGAGCAATTGTAACAACACATCAGTACTCAAGCCACTGTAATTGATTTTATCCTCAAAACAGTGCTTTAGAGTTATGTGAATGGAAATTGGTCTTTGGATGTACAATTTAAAGTATTTGAGCTATGGTTCTGTCACAATATATCAAATGCAAGAATTATTAGATTACCATTCAGGAGGGTTATTAGATTATTGTTCAGGACAGGAAAGGCAAAATACAGTCATTACACTTTAGGTTTTATATTAAATTCAAGGATATTTTAAACCAAAGTCCCGTCTGCCTATTCAGGTGGGGCTTAACCCTCCCATGGCACTATTTGAAAAGGGTAGTTTCTCCTTATGTCCTGGCCAACAGTCCCCCAGATAAAATTGGTCACTCACTTCATGGTAGTTTGTGAAAAATTACTATCCACAAATTGGCTGCCGAGTTAATAATAAGTTCACCTATAAATACAATCACTCCACAGTAAAATCCTGTGAAACATTTTGAGATATCTCAATGATGCGTTAAGAAACTATATCAAGGATTTTATTATTAAGGATTATTATAAAATGAGGAGGGAAGAGTAAAACCATTATGTGCTCTTATGTTATCGCAGAGCACCATCTGCTGGACACGTGGAGAATCTATCCTTTTCAAGAGACCAATTTGAACAAACTTGCATTCCTTCAACCAACACATCAAAATGTGAATATTCCGTAAAGTGAAATTGACTGTATATTTTGTGAGCCAAACACAGCAGCCAATTGCACACAGCAGTGTCTCACAAACAGTCATGGATTGAATGATCAAATTATTATAGGTAAACAGAGGCATGGGAGTACGGAAACATGCCTAAGGTTTTGTCCTGTACAGGAATCAAACCTGATTCCACTCGCATGCGAGGCAAATGCTCTAACCAATACGCAACAGGACTTCATCAAGCCGAGTGGAGGGGTGGTGCAGGGGAGGGAGTGGGGAAAGAGATGAATAGGCGGATGAGTCCCTGCGGCCTGAGGAGAGGCAGTGGTGGAACCGGGCATTGTTGCTGAGGTGGGGGAAGGCAGGTCATGGTATAGATGTGGAATTAAAGGGCAGTTGAGGGACAAACAAGACGCCAAGGTTCGTACTGGTTCATTGAGGTGTAGAATGCATCTGAAGGATGGGATCAACAACAATATAGTCCCCACCCCCCATCCACTCAGCCAAGACGTGAGTCTGAAGTCCCTAAAGGCTTAAGCCTTGCCACTCAAGTCTACAACCAGGTGACCTGAAATCCTTAACAAATGCCAGAAGTTTATGTCCTGTTATAGATCACGTCTTCCACTGTGCTAGAGGGCCCCCCACTCACTCTGCCCCATTCAAATAACCATGAATGTTTAAAAGTCCCAAGAGTAATATTTTCTGTTCAATTTTATCCAGTGGCAGAAATACTCTGGAATTTATCATTTCGCATGACTCTGAAACCTGCTTCTCTGGTTTTGTACTGATCTTATGATGTCCATCACTGAGAGGAACCATGTGCATGTGCAGCAGTTCCATTCAGTCTACCAAGTAGCAATTTGGGACAGGCCTGGGACCTGATCAGGACACAGGCGGCCCAGGCGAGCACACATCAGCTGATTCAGACTAAAATGCAATCAATGAATCATACTCTTTGAATTTAGCTTCGTGAGCTAAAATGAAAAAAAGTAGTCTGTTCCCACGCAGGCACGTGGCCTCTCTCCAGCACCAGTCTACACAGAAAGCCCCGAATGTGGTACCACACCAGCTCTTGTGAAAGGATTTGGCAGCAGGTTACATCTGCATATTTCACTAGTGATGAAGCATCTGTCCAAATTCTCACTAAACTCGCTGTCAACTCCTTCCTTCAAGTATAGCTGAGCTGGGCACAGTACATTACAAGGAGGTCAAGTTGTTTGTGTCTCAAGTGCTGTGAGGCTGATGTTAACTTAACAACATTGAGTTAAATTAGCAAGGTTAAGTGAAAGTAGCAGAGCTTGTAATCCACTTGGAAACTTTGACTCAGGACCACCCTGTAGAGTTTAGTGTTTTTCTTTTGAGTGACATTCTGGAGACAGCTTAGAAAAACTCGGCTTGAGAAGCGAGCCAAAACAAACCCTTAGAAGCACATGTACAATTTATGTATTTTAAGCTAAAATTAGTTTTCAAAATATTACAGCAGAGACTTCATTCTTTATGTAGTTTAATCATGTTGATTTTGCTTTTCTTTAAAACAAATGCCCAGATGAATTTGAACTCATTTCCCCCAGTTCAATGTTCTATCATATCACAATACCAGTTACATTTTCAAAGATCAGTGCAATACTTCCTCGCACATTCAAGTTAGAGCAGGAAAAAAAAGGTCACTAATAAAGCATGACCACAGCTTGCACATATCATATCAAACAGGCAAAGAGATTAGAATAGACAGCATACAGTATTTTATACCATGATACGACAGGTTAACTCACTTTCTCGGTAAGAGCTCCAACCTTTTGAAAGCATTCAACAGCAAACGTCATGGCCATCATTTAACACTGGCAATTTTGCTCACAGAGCTTGCATGAAATCACATACTTGGCTCATCATTACATTTGGATTGCAGTTCAATTTCCTATTGCAGTACAACATGTCAAAGGAACTCATTTAAACTGTAGTTACAAAATGCAAGAACAGCCTAGTATTTTCATTTTTAAATTCTCTAGATGAGAATTTTTAAGGGAAGTCTTTCTTTTCCTATTTACTCCTCTCCATCAGAAACATTTTATTTTTTCTTCCACATAGTACAATACTTCCAGATTCAGCTCAGGCAGTTGCAAAGTAAAGCTTTCCCCACTCCATTCCAACAATATGCAGAGCCCCAATCTCGGAAAACCATTCATGAATGGTGTGAATCTCTCTACTTCTCATACTAATCCTTTCTTCACTGTAGCGTCCACTCATCAAAAACTCACTTTCAATTATCCACCTTCATTTCATACAGGACCTATAGAGATGGCAATTTTTAATTCCATCTCTCAACTGAACTATACCATCCAGCCCTCTACCAAGTGATCCAACCCACTGAATATTTCAAGTGAGTGCACATAGTACTTGCACTCAACTCCCCCATAGTTGTTCTCTGACATCTGGCCACACTTTCAAGGAGAACCTCTGAAAGTCTGTATCAAGAGCTCTACTGCTGGACACCTGGGGAAATTTACTTTCCCCAATAAACACACACAATGCCCAATATCAAAGGGAGGAAAGGTGGGGAAGACAAACATTAAGCTAAAGTATACTATCATAATACAGTCTGAGAAACCTAGAGCAAGGGAGCACTCACAAACTTGGCTGCTGAGAAAAAAAAGGACATGGGGCAAATGCATAAACTAATTACCCCTTTGGTCTGAATAGACCAAGAAATTGTTCTTGAATCCAGTTCTGTAATACTCATCGGCTTAGATAATCTGTGTGATCGGTCTTATAAACTACACTGTGCCTCCAATTTTATTCAGAAAACATGGCCTGGACTGGAAAATGCTCATTCTGAGATTAAAACGCTGTGAAAGGTTTTCCTATGCAAAATATTTAACCTCCCAAATTTTGGAGAAATAGCTTTGAAAACATTTTTAAACTTGAAAGCTTCAGTATGGGAAGGGGGCGGGGAATGTTACATTAGTTTATGCTGATGCCTAAAAGTTCTTTAGCTAAATTTATAAAGACCAAAAAAAATAACTTAAATAATTAACTTTGCCTGAATATAGTTTAATTTCAATAAAGCACATTAGAAAATAATTTTCCAGTCCATAATTTCTACGTTCAACTGGCAAATTATATTAAATATGAATACACCATTTTTGTGGTTAGTAAGACCTTCCTTCCATTGATGGTTAACATGAATTTTACCAAATTTAAGTCATACACAAGTTGACTGTAGTGCAGATGCTGCACAGCTACGTCACTGACATAAGGGCCTTGATGCAACAAATATTAATCTCACATAATCATTAAGGAAACAGTCATGATCAATATATACTGTACTTGAATGTATGGCGGTGTCAGATGGATTGAAAAATCTTAAATATCAGCATTCAGTGTACAAACTGCAGGTTTATACATTTGTCTTATTTACATGGTGGTGCTTTTTAAACATGAAGCAACTGTAAAGCTGGTACACTTGCAGTTAAGTCTTACGTATCAAACTCGCATTATTTTTTAATTACCAAAACACTAGAGCAAATATTCGGTGAAAAATATGGAATGGTTCTGGGATATAAATGTGCTTAACATTTCAGGGTTCTTTCAGCCACATCCTCCTGTAGTACAGCACAACCTCTCCCCAATTACAACCACCCCAGCATCTGCAAGTTTATTACTGGATAAGGTTGGTTTCTCTTGCCTTTTTGGGGGGTGAAAAAGAGAAAAAGAGGGTAGAAGGGAGGGAGGAAAAGTATACTGTATAATATATTTAACCATTTGAGAATATACAACAATATCTGAGTGAAAAGATTTTGCTTATTGCAAGGTGTTACATTCATTTAATTTCCGTGTTACAGTATGCTTGTTGCAAATTGCAGACAATCAATCAGTTTTACAATCAATGTTGTATTTTGAAAGCTTTTTTTAAAAAAAGTCTCAGTGCTCAAAAGGGTTGAGGATTTGGAGATTGTTTAGAACAAAAAAAAGTAGCCTCTCTCTCCTTACGTAAATGTTCATACAAACTACCCTGAAAGTGTAATGCAGAGGGGTCCAATCGTTTCCCCACCCCCCACTCCATTTCACCTGCCCCCCGTAACCAGTAAATGTTATTATGTTACGTTTCTCAAAGGGAAATACAAAAATATTGCTCACGCAGCTGGGCACGTTTCTCAAATAGGGAATCCTGCCCTCAGCAGCCAAACGGCAGAACTCTCCTGATTGTAATGTACTGATGCACATCGGCTAACCCAGGGTCTACTGTAACCGCTCCTCTGCAACCAATCATCACTAACACTAAGCTTTTTTCCCCCCAATTTCTAGAACACTATCAGAGCTCGCCAAATCACAACACTCATCTATTATTGTGCAAGTGTCAAAATTCTAGGGTAAACGTTATTTTGTTATGCTGGGAATCAATTCTCGATGAAAAGGAAAACTTTTTTCCCCCGTTCTTTTACCACAATGAAGTAATCTAGAATTGCTCTTCAGCACTTTATTCTCCACTTGATTACTTTAGCCACATAATTTAACAAATTTCAGATCAAAACACCAGTGGAATTAAATGGGTTCTGCTGCCAAGGGCATTTTATTAGCTGAAGTTGTTTAGTTCTGGACCTCAGCCACCTTTTCCTTCTCACTCTTCTCTTTAGCTTTCTGCTGCTCCACAATCTTCTCCTCCTTGTGCAACAATTCCATAATTTCAGCAACCTGGTTGGTCGAGATGTCCACATCCTCCTTATCAATTAAATCCACCACCTGCGCAGATCAAACACACAGTAAAAGTTCAGTAAACCTGTTACCTCACTCCATCTCTTTTACATAAAACATTTACTCTTAAAGCAACATTAAAATCACTGATTTTGTGCTTTAAACTTCCTCTGCCCTGTCATCAAAATGTTAAATTAATAGACTCGTAAATCAGATCTAAAATGGTTGAGTGAGCTCTTTATGTAACTAGATTGTCGCAGTGGTTCAGAAACAACCTGAGTTTACAAATTATTTGGATGATAAATTAGCATGTCATTCAAGGTTTTGACGGGAATTTGACAAACTTTCTCTCTCTCCAATGAAATCTCACACATTTTTATGACAATGCAAGTAAGTGGAATACTCTGCTCCTGTGAGACAAGACCCCACTGGCTTTCTTTCTTAAAATAGGTGCTGATGAAAAATCCACAACAGATGTATTGATGGCATTTGCATGCAACATTAGAGTAAAAGAGGTATGAATATATCATTTTTCACACTAGCATTCCTAGGTAGCAAAGAGAATGTTTGCAATCCAGTCAATGATTGATAAATTGTGAGTCCCAGTGTAGTGGTTAGCCCACCTCGCAAGCAAGAGGACCCAGGTTTGATTCTCGGGCAGGGCGAAATCTTGGTCAAATTTCCTTACTCCATACCCGTTTAACCCAGCAGTAAGTAGAAACTTGGTCATTAAGTCAATTGACAAATTGCTTTCCAAGGGTAATAATCTCCACACACCCCCACATATTTTTTAAAAAATTGGTTATTCATTCCATGACTATTTGAAGGACACTGATGTGCACAATTGGTTGTGTCAATCCACTTTACAATATAAATCATTGTGAAATGATTTGAAATGTATAATTGACCTGATAAGCCGCTATATCAAAAATCAAGGATAATTATCCAGTCAGTTATTTTGAACTTACTTTTATGACATCGTCAATATCAATCTTTCCATCCTTGTTTTCATCCAGGGCATCAGCAATTTTTTGTAATTTGTGCTGTGGGATATTCTGGAACTGCCTCATTGCACTGATGAGCTCACTGATGCTGATGAGGTTTTCCCTAAAGTTGAAATACAAACTGCATATAGGAAAAGGTTAATGGAAATCAGTTGCGAGAGGAGGAATGAAGACATGAAGAAAAACTTCATGCCACGGATTCCCCACATTTCTTCATTACCAGAATCTAGAAGTTACAAGAATTTGTCCAGCATATTGCAGCCAATCAGACACAATTAAGGGTTAATTTTATGATTCAGAATCAGATGTGTTTGCCTAGAGAGGGTGGAAAAAAAATCATACAAGAAGATTACAATGATTCTGGTGCATGATCTTAACATAAGCAAACAAAACAATATTTGAATAAATCCTAACTTAATTTGTATAATCTATAAATAGCTGTCCTGGTTTACAATATATAGTAAACTTTACATAAGTCGTATCAGTTGGGAACATATGACTTATGGAAAGTATGAGTTATGTTGAAGTACCATAATTTATAGGAAATTCAACAGGTCTTGGCAGATATACATTTAGGAGATTTTGTAATTTATATGAATCAAGACATATGCATGTTTTACTGTATTATATTTGGCTTTCTTTGTTGTAAAGAAATTTCAGTTTCCCTCCCCTTCTCCATATTTCCTCCTCCCTGATGGTGCTGAGTCCTGCTGGGTATAGTTCCGTGATGCCTGGTCACTCTCCAGCTGCTCATCTAAATATCTATTGTTCATGTTGGAGGTTAGACTGTGAAGGGTTAAAGACTGTGGGTCATTACTGAAACAGAATCACACCTTCTCACATAATGCTCACACACACCTTCCAGCAGAAGTTGCTAGTTAGTGACCAGCAGTAAGAACCCCAGCTGTTTTTTTTTAACCATTTAACTTTAAATTTTTCCCATATCTATAGTTTACCATGCCCAAGTCCTTGACCTGATCGTGCCCGCACATCCCAATTTTCTGAGATTCAAAATCCCACCCCTCCCTGCTTTTCTCTACTCGAACAGAAACTCTGATGCTAGGGTTGACAACAGCAAAAGGAAAAGTGAAATGGCTAAACACGTGATCAATCTAAATCACTTTCTTACTCGAGAATAGGAAGAAAAACAGTGAAGCTTTCTGAATCGAGAATAGAAAAAGGAAAAGTAAATACGTTACAAGCCAATTCCATACGCAGGTAAGCTGTGAACAAAGGCAATGAATAAGTGAGCAAAAATCAAGATCGTCTTTCGCTTTGATTTCTAATTGGGAAGATCAAGAAGAAAAATTCAGTTGTTTAAAATTATTCCAATTACCCAATGGGTGGCGTTGTACCACTGCCCAGCTGACCATCCAGCAATGCTTTGTCCTTCTCCAGCTCACTAATAAGGGTATGAATCCGACCGATCATTCGGTTCACTCTCTTTGATAAACGCTTGCTCGCTTTCGATTCTTCTACATTTGTTTCTTGTCCAGACTTAGATAATTCCTTTTTAATCTCTTCTAAATCCTAGAGAAAAAATAATCAAGCACTTAACAGAGCAAGTATCCAGCAATAAGTCTTTTTAGTTGTAAAAAATAAAGAAAAAAATGTATTCAATATAGACACAAATCCATCTTGTTTGGTTGAACACCAGTCACCACTGAGCTGCCAGTATTGGTTCATTTTGCCCATTAAATGGAATCAAGTTAAGACAATTAATCAATACCATAATAATAAGCATCCATATTGATTTCTCCCCATTGCCACAAGCTACCTATGCTTAAAGCATTCACTCTTTTTCCTTCTACAGGGTTAGAGCTTCACTGGTGCCCAACAATACCTCACTCATTCATCAAGTACAAGTTACATTTAAAGAGTGCATTTCACACAAAGTGTCTCAAAGTGTTTGATCAATGTAGTTGTGCACACCAAACAGTTCTCTGCTGGCGAGGATAGTAATTTTTGAACACATACGAACCTTGCCAGGTACGTTCCGGATCTCAACAGGCACTCTCCCACTTTTAAACTACTCAAACACACCCATTCTTGCAAGAAGTTTAACGTTGACTAAAGTAAACACCTGAAATACTTTTCATACCTCATTATACTCCTGTACATCACCCTTTAATTCTTCCAACTCTTCTTTCTCTTTGGTCAGAAGTTTCTTCTGCTCTTTCAGCTTTGTGCAGGCATCACTGAGTATATCGATTTCCTCTTTGGTAATCTCTTCACCCTACAAACAAGTAAGTGAATTACAAAGGGGTTTCAAGTTAGATAAAGTCATACACCTTCACAGATATGGTTAGTGTTGTTCTGTGTAAGAGTCACTAGTTTTGTTGCTTGGACCTAATCTACATTTATACATCAGATGTTATGCTCTTTTAAATGTAAGTCACCAGAACCAGTGGAGTTCTAGCAGCTTGAATTGTCATTTTAGTCCCCGTGAGCAGCCTCCAGAGGTCGTCAGTGACTATTTCCACTACAAGCTAGTCTACCACAGAATCGACCAATTGGCAAGCTCGGGATGTGCACCATCTTACACAAAAAGCAAGCAGCATTCAGAGCAATCTGCCAAACCTGGAAACAATACACCGCAGAAGGTCTTAACCCAGGAATAGGAAACGGGGGACAAAAAAAAACTTAGGTTGAAAATGGGGAAATTATACAGGAGAACATGTACCTGTATACAAAGTGAGGGAGACTTGAAAGATATGCATCTAACCTTGAGACAGATATATTTGCCACAATCAAACTGCAGCAGCATATAAAAAAAACAGGAAGTGTGGCTTATTGTGGAGTCCTGTAGCTCAGTGGTTAGAGCACTCGCTTTGCAAGCGAGAGACCTGAGTTCAATTCCAGGCAGGTCAGGGCGAAACCTTGGGCAAGTTTCCTTACTCTACACGCCTAATAATAATCCCTCCAAAACAAAAAACAATAATAAAAAATTGGTCATTTTCAATCCACGACTGTTTGTGGGACATTGCTGTGCGCAATTGGCTGCCGAGTTCGCCCACAAATATACAGTCAATTCACTTTACAGTGTTCTGTGAAGCGCTTTGGGACGTCCTCCCGACGTGAAAAGCGCTATATCAAATGCAAGGATTATTATATTATTATTATTAATCTCAATCTTTAATAAATAATAATAATGATGGAGTCCTGTAGCTTAGTGGTTAGCAAGCGAGATGACCTGGGTTCGATTCCCAGGCAAGGCGAAACAATGCGTGAGTCCTTACTCCACACAACTGTTTACCTAGCTGTAAGTAGGAACCCGGTTGTTAGTCGATTGGCAGATCGCTTTTCCGGGGGTAATGTTTGTAAGCAACCAAACAGTCGCATTGCAACACAGTTGATGTTATACCTAAGATCCAACATAGCGATAACTCCTCGCACAGCAGTGCTACATTACACAATATCCTACTTGCTAAGGTTTGGTATCTTATCAGATGAAACAAAGCATAGTGCATGGTAATAAAATATTCTTTGCAAACAGAGTCAATACCACCTCTATATAGTTCAGTAGGACACTTGAAACCTGCATATAACCAGCTGATAAATCCATCAACACTCATTGAGTCAGATTTCAATCTCGAAGTGTTAGAAAAAAATGCAAACCAGCTGCTGGCTGGCAGGGGAGTCTCTCTCTCTCTCTTCCCCCCACCACTCCAACAGTAAGAATACACTAGCAGTGCCTCTAATAAAAAGTTAGTACCTTTGCTTTGCATCTCATTTTAAACTAGATGCACACAAACACACATATCTTTTGCCCCTCGTTAATTTCCTCCTGTGCTGAAGGTAGTGACCAACCAGACTTCCTGTAGGTGTCACCAGCTCTATTAGAACAGTTTTCTAGATATCACTAGAAGTTCAGAAGAACAAGATACATTTGATACTCACCCTACTATCCACTCATATTAGCCAATTATACCGATTTATTATTCTTGCAGAATTTTAATTGATTAAACGGCACGTGTTCTCATCCTATTTAACTTGTTGAATTATACCAGAGTGAGCAGTGAGAAACATTTGAGTTAAATCTTATACATTGAAGCCCCTTATGGCGGTAGGTAGTTGGGGTCAGCACCTCTGAATTCACTGTGCAGAGCTTCCGGTGTGTTGGCTAGCTCTGCGCACTAAAAAGGCTGGCATTCAAGCCACCAGGTTGCCTGTTGATGTCATGAAGCAACATCAGCAGTAACCTGATGGCCAGTTTATTTTAAAAAGACCATCGATATTTGTATTTTGTCTGTATTTTTTGGTCCTAACCCAGTTAGAGAACACACGATTCATTCTAACAGTACTATCAGTACTGTATTATGTATTATCTTCTTCATATAATATCCTCATTAGCAATGATGGTTTGGCCTTTTCAAAGATGCAAGTGGAAAAGCAATATCTATGCAAAACACAAATTGGTCAGGACAACAAAGTGGCTTCTGACCTCAGTACACCTGGCCTTACAATTGACTTCTTTCTTATCCTTCACTAAAGTGCTTAACTCTGGGCATCCTCCCAACTGACTCAAGCTCATTGAAATGATTTCTGCATGTGGAACTTTTCCTCTAAATATCAGACAATATCTGAACATGAAAAAAAAATTGACAGCCTTGTAAATCCTTAGATAATTAAATATCAAGTCATCAAAATTCATGAGTAAATTTTCTACGCAAAAAGTCAATTATGTTTTCAGCACGATATTCAGCAACCATTAATTAGATGAAAATAAAAGTTTAAAAAGGAATATGAAAAGCAAAGGCTCTGTGTGGAAATATACCTTAATGCCTTCTAAAACTGGAGCGGTGTCTTTCAAGGTCTCTGAATCCATTGCCAGGTCTACATTAGCCAGTTCTTGTTCTGTATCCATAGCAATTTGGCTTTTCTTTACATTAACTACCTGAGCTTCCAGATTTACTGCCGATTCCACTTCCTTCTGCAATACAAAATTAGACAGGTTGTGCTTCCAAATGAAACAACTGCCTGGAAACGTCTTATTTCACTTGAATACAATAACTGAATAGAATAATTTCTTTCCAACGGAAGACTACTGATTTCCTGGGAATTGACAAGCTAGATGGATGACACTTCACTCTGAATTTATGGTTAAGTCAATTAGAGGCAAGATCGTTTCTTCAAGGGTTGTTAAAAGGTGGACCTCACTACCCTAGAAGGCTGCAAAAATAGAATCAATAAGAGCTTTTAAAGGAAGATAGAAACTTTGGAAGGGAGAGCTCAGAGTGCAACTCTGCCCACTTATTTAATTATATTAAATAAGGCAGAGGAAATGAAATGAAAAGATCTGCCAAAAATAATGGCATACTTGTGTTCAGACCGATTACCATGCTGGTAAATCAAAGTATTTATGATTCTCGCTTCAATTCTCAAGAGGGCTCTGCACTTAGAAACGAACCAGTTTATATGAATTTGCTTTACATAAACACCCATACCCTGGCTTCAACCTGCAAAGTCTCTTTAGCTTTTTCAGCAGCCTCTGCCATACGTTCCATCTCTCGCTCCTTGTTTTCTCTCTTAATGGCCGCCTCTTCTTGTAAGGTTGCTTCCAACTTGGCTTTATTATCCACTTTGTCACATTCAACTTCTGCGACTTTCACTTGTGCTTCTTTTGCCTACAGCAAATATATGGACAAAGAGTCAGGTCAAACAGCAAGCTGGAATCGCTTTGAGAGTCAGATAGCAGCATCCCTTGGTAGGATTAGGACAGCAATGAGGGGTTTCTCTGGAGTCAGGATTTAGATTCCAACACACACTGGTGTTTGGTAAAACAAGGAATTACATACCACATTATCTGGCAAGGTCTGCAAGGTTGTCTTGAGTTGATCAGCAGGTGAAAGTGTATCAGGAAGGTACATGGCCCTGGACAAAAGTAGCAGTGAAGTTGGAATGTGCTGGTTCAGGTGCAACTCTGCCCACTGTAACAACAACAAAAAATAAATTGATCATTTTGAAATAAAGTATTCTATTATGGTTTATTCTCAACTGAAGGAATAGACGTGAATATTGTTCGCTTCAGCTATGGAACTCTAGAAACTTGAGAGTTCTATTGAATTTATATTTTCATCTGGTCATCAGCGCTGACAGAGCAAATTTTGGGGCTTATAGAACATTTCATGCAATCCCAGTAGGAATTTATTTAGTATGTTTAGAAATGCACAGTCACTATACTCCACAGAAGATCCTGTGAAACACTTTGAGACGGCTTCTGACATGAAATCACTAAATCAAATTGAAGGATTATGTAGCAACAATTTGTTTTGTAATAATACTTGCATATGATATAGCACCTTACCAAGTCTCTTCAAGATGTCCCAAAGTGCTTCAGAACATACTGTAAAGTGAATTGACTGTACATTTTGTGGGCAAAACACAGCAGCCAATTGCGCACAGCATCCCACAAACAGTTGTGGATTGAGATTTTTTTTTAAAAGGGGTTATTACCTCCGGAAAAGCAATCCATCAATCGACTAACAACCAGGTTCCTATTTACTACAAGGTAAACAGAGATTTGTGGAGAAAGGAAACTGGCCAATATTGCACCCTGGGAATCAAACCTAGGCCCTCTCACTTCCAAGGCAAGTGCTCTAACCACTAAACTATAGGATTCCACAAAGTATTTGTATGAATTCATTAAAATATATCTGCCCCAATACATGTTTGGTGTTTGACTGAGTTCATTAAAAATTATAGCAAAGACAGGCAGATATTATAAAAGTACATTATTTTGTGTGTTGAAAATGCAACTTTAAAAGCAAGCAAAGTTATGGGCACTTGATATAAATAAATAGGATATCAGTTAAATGGACAAAAACACAATCACACTCCATGGCTGTTTGTGGACATTCCTGGCACAAATTGGTTGTCACATTCACCCAACACACATTCAGTCACACAATTTTACAGTACATGCCATGAAGGGCTTTGAGATGCCTCGACAATGTGATAAGAATGTAAGGATTATTTGTCAATTTTTAAAAATATTTGGTATAGAAAAGGAAAATATTAGTAATGTGTTTTTTTTTCTTTGAGAGTATGTGACAACAGAAAAACAACAGCTTTATACAACAAAGATGAGAAGGTAGGTAAATTGTTATTTTATAATGCGAGGACTGGATTATAATCCAAGAATATGGAACACCATATTGACAGTTGGGTGCTCACTAATCTCTTTGAATCATTTGATCATATAATTGAACTGACAGATGAAAGGTGTCCTCAGGGATCTAAATTAACACAAATTAATGACAGGTTGGCTAGCTGCAATGAAAACTGACTTGGTACCAGGAGGCAGGGGAAAAAGCTTGGAAAAAGCTCAGAAGGCCTACAAGAACAGCAACAAATTACATTTGTGTATCGCCTTTCACATTGGGAGGACGTCCCAAGTCGCTGGACATAACCCAAGGCAGGAACATATTCTAGATCTCCTGCTGTTGTACTATTCGTAACAGATTTAGAGAAAACGTACTGCAATATGAGAAGAGCTAGACAGCTTATGTGGCTTTCACTGGAGAAGAGAGAAACACGATCCAGGTATGTAAATTGCTTTGAAGCATAGATAATATTGCTGAAAGCAGGCTATTTGACTTGTGACTATAAAACTATATTTAAAATGTAACTAGCCTCAGATGAGTTTAGAAATCCTAAAGAATTTTAGCCAACACAGAGAACGTGGATCAGAGGCCACACAGAAGCAGCTGATGACATGACCATCAACTCCTGCAAAATAGGAGCTACATATTGGGGTTGGAAACACTGATAGAGAAAGCAACAGTGTAAATGGCACCACAATGTCAAAAAAAAACACCTTGGGATATAAAGTGCCTCTAGGGGGATAAATAGATGGGGTAGGGTTCCCTCAGTGGATTAGTAATACAGGCAGGAAAAAAATAACCTAAATTCCTGGTCTGTACTGATGATTTAGATGATATTAGCCATGGAAGTACTTGCAGTGTTTCAACTAGTCTAATCAGCCTTGTTTTTGGAAGGTAAAAAAAATAAAGCCAGGGTTCCACTGCCAACTGCTATACTGAAAAAATGTAATGTGTGGACATGGGTGATGAACAAGATCAGACTTGGCTACAATCTACTCTGCAATCAAATAGCCTGTAGACACTCAATAGCAGGGCTCATATAAAACACCCTAACCACTTGGTCGAGGCATAAGAGTACTGCTGATGTACATGAAACCTTACCAACTAATCATAACCTTCAGCAGAAAAGGAGCAAGCAAAAAGAAATACATCAGTGGGCTTGGTTGCATGTGGTTTGCTGGAGGAGCAGCATTGACCAGCTAAACAGCCTCCTCTTGTTCCATTCTTTCACAACACAATGCTGTGTTTCATCAGTTTAGTTGGCAGATGCTAACCACGTGACTTTTTTTTCCACTCACTTGTTTAAGTTGTTCTCGTAGGCGCTCCTCAGTCACACCGAGTGCTCTCATTCCACGTGCTCGACAAGCAGCCTGCAGTTCAATTACATTCAGAGTGTCCACTCCTTCCTGTGCAATTAGCTGGAGGTAGAAACATACATAGACCAAATTACAAGAATGAAAACAAATCAACTTGAAGCAAGCAATACTAATAGGAGACAAATCCAACTAATTGTAAGTATCAAAAAACAAAATAAGATATTCAAATGAAGAAGCCAGTTTGAACCTACCCATTAAAACATTTTCTTATCAATTGTGTTCTTAGGCTTTTCCACTTCTACCTGGTTTATCAAGCTCAACAAAAGCAGGCAATCCCACAGTTCATATATGATTGATTTAGAGAAAGCATAATGTATATTTCTATGCAATAATGTTCTAAATAATTGGTATAGCGGCATATTTGTAGAAATGCAGTAAAACTACTTTTACTACTACTCTTATTTTACATTCAAAAACCTACAACACACACAGCAAGGCAACCAGAAGTTTAGAGTGCACAATCCAAAAACTTCACACTTTCTGTAAAGACCATTCCCTATTCTTTAAAAGAAAACACAACTCTTCCTTCTCCTTACTAAAGCCTTGACCTCCCAGATCCCATGAATCAACCAATAACTTACCTGGTCATCTGCACGAATAGAGCGCAGTTTCATAATCAGCTGGAATCGTAGGAAGTTATTGGTTCCTATTGACTGCAACTCCAACAATTTACAGAGGGCTACCAGTTGAAGTCGTGTCAAATTATCCAGTGTGAGTTCGTCCTCAAACAATTTAGAAAAGCGTATGATTTCCTCATTACTGGGTCTTTCCCCAGAATCTCGGATCTGAAAACAAAGAGCAATTTATTAGACAATGAGAATTAAAAAAATCTGTAAATGTGGCAAATAAACCCTAATGGTACATTTATCACTTTCCTCCATCAATTTGTACTGTTAGAGGATACTACTTACATTTCACAAACTTCATAGTAAGTTTCTTTTAATAACACAAGAAATTATAGAACGGAAAAGACATTTGTTCTGTCAAGACCATTCTTCATAGCGCATGCAAAATTTACTTCACCATGTAGACTTCAGATCACTCACTATTGAACCACGGGTCCAAAAATGCACAAAAGTTACATAACTAAGGCCAATAAAACAAAACCATCAGGATATTTTTAAATCCACACTTAAATCTCATCTCAATCTGCATACAATCATATACTTCCCCTAATACTCTTTCCAAGCATATGCTTATCCAGTTATTTTATGAAGGAATTAACTGACAGATCAACTACTTTCATTGCAAGTCCGTTGCACATGTTCACTGCACTGAGGGGAAAATCATTCTGACAGGGAGCACAAGCTATTTGTTGGTGGGGGTGGGAGTAGCTGAGCAGCAAAGTTGCTGAAAACCTGCTTTGAAAATCCTACAATTACATTTCCATAAACAAGAAAACTATTAAGAAATTCACTTTTTATTGCTGCCAGGCTACCAACATATATATATATATAGTATAATATATATTTATATATACACATACATACACACACCTTATATCCATTTTCTTCCTAATGGTGAGATAAGGTTTGATGTGCATCTGTGATACCTTACCAAGTTGTATTTATAATAATAAGCCTTGCATTTGATATAGCGCTTTTCACATCTTCTGTATGTGAAATTGACTGTATATTTGTGGGCGAACGCGGCAGCCAATTGCGCACAGCAGTGTCTCACAAACGGTCGTAGTTTGAAAATGACAAATTTTATTATTGTTTTGTTTTTTTGGAGGGATTATTATATATGTCAAATCAGTACAGTGGACATCTGCAGAACTCTGCAGCTCGTGTCCTCTCCCGCACCAGACTTTGTGACCCCATCGCACCCAGCCTCGCCTGGCTTCACATCCCTCAGAGGACCAAGTTCAAAATTAATGTACTCACCTTCAAGGCCCTCCACGGCCTTGTCCCCACCTACCTCTCTGACCTATTAACCCCCCCTTATCAACCTGTCCGCTCCTCCACTCAGCAGGCTCCGTTTTCCCAGCACGGCCCGCACCACCATCGGCAGTCAGGCCTTCAGCCTCTCTGCCCCCACCCTCTGAAACTCAAGGCACACCTCAAGATCCTCCTCTTCAACCATGCCTTCGGCCATCCTATTACCCACTCTGCCCTACATCCTCCCTGATCCTAACCCCAACCCGTTCAGGTCCTAATCCCTGACTATTCAGTGACTTGGGACTTCCTCCCGTCGTGAAAGGCGCTTTACAAACATAATTTTGTATTGTATCTAAAAGACTGAAAAGCATCACAACTGAGCCCGATTCTAATCTCACCTAATCCCCATAAACACATACCTTGTAGCAGAGATCACTGGATAGCAATGAGTGCACAAACTCTAGCAGAGGACCATTGATCGCTAATATGCTAAAAGTCAATTCTAAACATTAAACTGACTGTATGATGGATATATTTGTTCACTTACAAAATACAGTCAATAAACTTCTACACAGTAAATCCAGTGAAGCGCTTGGAGACATCCTCTCGACATGAAAGGCTCTATATCAAATACAAGGATTGCAGGGCGAAACCTTGGGCAAGTTTCCGTGGAAAGCGCTATATCAAATGCAAGGATTATTAGTATTATTATTAATCATAATTATCGTAATCTAGACAACAACTTGTATGTATATAGCACCGTTCAGTCGGTGTGTCCCAGAGTTAGCTGACATACGAAAAATAAGTACTTTGGTGTGTATAAGCTTAAAGTACAGTTTGGTTGATTTTGATGAAAGCAGAGAATTACCTTCTGGAAAAACGAAGAAAAGTCCTTTGTGACATCTCCTTTGGCTGCTTTATTTCTCAGGGCAATCTCTTCAATTGTATCTTGGAGAAATTTTGCCATCTCAAGCTTTACCCTCAGTTCCTTTTTCAACCTTTCCTCCTGTAAACACATGAAAGATTTGTGCTGTAACCTATCTGGGAGCTTTTGAATTTTATTACCTAATAACAGATAACTTCATAATTGGTAATGCTAATAACCCTTTAGATTGCTTGCTACATTTTAGCAAGTGAAATACAAGAAAACTTAAAGTATTGAAAAATGTATACAAAGTAGAAATCATTATACTTCACAAAATCACTGTACTGATTTACCAATCCAAATAGCCTCCTTTTATTTAATCTACAAAAAAATTAATAATTTAGAAAAACACTAATAGACACCTTTCCAGGTGTCAATCTAGTCTGATGATAGCGCGCTCTCTCAGAAGGTTATGCATTCAAACCCAAAGACAGAAAGTTGAGCTCACACAGTAGTGCAGAAGATCAGGGATGGCCAGACTATTTTACCCATGCGTAGTGCGGCTCGCATATCACAACTTGGCCATCCTGTTCCAGATGATTTGGTCACTGCAGGTCTATTTGTCTCACTGCATAACTATAAGGTCTCATCCCTGATATCGTCATATGAACTTTACTCTTATTTATCACCACATCGCACATCTCCAAACCAGTCGTGCACCGTCTATTTCTAAACGGTTGGAGGGTATCTCAAGACTATCTAGTTTCCTCTAAAATTCCCTTAGCTGGCTGAAGCCGGTAGTTTATCCAGACACTTTCCATCAACTGAGAAATTCCACAAGAATGCATGCTCTCTCCCGCTTTGTTTCTGTTCCACACCACTGACCTGCTCTCCTTATCATCCAACTCTATATATACTCTTGTACTGATTCCACTCTACATTAATCAGATCATAGCAGCTCCAGTGCCTGTGACATTTACTCCTCACCGAGAGCAATGGCAGTAACAAAATCTTCAGCACCTCCATGCTCTTGAATTAGGCAATGATAATCAGAAGAGTTTCTTCAAAGACGGCTTCATCGCTCTTTGAAGCACAACAAACAGTTCTTATGTCTCACCTTTAACAGCCCCATTCTTAATCCTTCTTCACTTAATTAAATTGTTAGCCTTACTACTTCCCCTGATCGCCTCCATTCCCAAAGCTATCTTCAAGAAGCTTGGTATCATCTTTCATGCCAAATGTATCTTTTACTCTCAACAACTCTTAAGGGAGAAATAAAGTTGAATGATAAATTGCTCCAGGGGCAATGTGCTCCCGGAACAGGCTACTCTAGTGATATTACACAGAGGAGCCAGCACAGTGGATGGAGCGGTGGGGTGGCGTGAAACAGAGTGGGGGGGAGAGAGACAGAGAGAGGAAAAAAAAAGAAACAAACGGGCAATTTTAGAATTCTGTAAACTGATCTAAGGCTACTTGATCTCAGGAAAGTTCAGAAGTGACGTATACTTAGTTACTTAACTAAAAATGTTTTCATAAACAAACTTACGTGTACAAATTAAAAGCTTTCAAATTCTTACCTTCTTTGATTTGGTTTCGAAAGTTGAAGGAAGCATATTGGGGAAAAGTTTAACTACAACAGGAAGAAGGAGTTCCATGAATGGAACTATTACGAAGACAAGGAAGGGGACCAGACGAAACAGATCAGCACATGTCCTCAGAAACTGTGAACAAAAGATAAATGCACAATTTTTAAAAAATTCCATTTGATTAAACTTCCAGGTATGATTACATTTTTCTTCATCATAATTACATGAACATTCTTAATAAAGTCAATCTCCTGTACTAAAGTGATAAAAATGAACATATTGTAGGTGACTTATAAAATGCATACAACCAGCAAAAAGCATGATCCCACAGTATACTTAAAAAATATATATTTTACTGGTTCCAAGGTGCAAGATATCATCATCATCACCCACATGATTTATTTTAACAGCAAGAGTCTTTGACTGAAAGTTTCAAACTCTTCCTCCTGCCTCCCCCCAGAGTGACCCATGATTAAATGTAGCAATTACACATGCAAAATATACAAAATTGATCACAAAAGGTTTCCCCATTTAATATAGGTCAACATTTTGAGTGGCTATTTGTCAACAGAATCACATGGTCTTGACTGAATTCACGATTTGTAGTTATGAAATTATGCTATGCTACATTTAATTCCCTTCATCTTTTAAATTCCCTGCTCGAATAGCCATAATGCCTTCCTTTAGGTTTGTGAAATAATCAACTTTCAATAGCAAAAGGGACTTACACAGCATTCACTGGAGGTTTCCATGTACATTGAATAAGCAATTTGAACAGTCTGCTTTTAAACGAAAATCATTTAAGCCAACGTCTGAAATGGAAGAACATTCCTCCTGGAAGCACATCTCACCTGGATGCTTCATACATACCTGTTCTGGGCTGCTTTTAATTATCTTGCAAGATAAATAAACAGCTGAGCCTAACCTAATACAACAAAGAGCAATGAACACTGGCACCCCCACTAGAAACTCAGCTGCTGAATAACTAGAGCATGTTGTGCTCATTCGGTGATATGACACGTTAGCTTTTATCATGACTCTCTCAGTCTTTTCAGCAGTTGATGGGCATGAATACAAAAAAAACAGGGTTTCATGGCATAGAACATACTGGTACTGTATAGAATTTTTTCTACCCCATTAATTCAACACAGTGGGAACTCTTTACAAAATGACGGAAACTTAATTTTCTGGTGCACACCATATTATTTTCCTACAAGTGGAATAACTCATTACATTCTTTTAACCCTTTAAAACATCCCAAAAGACACCAACGCTAAACAAAAAGATAACCTACATTCTGCCCTCAATAAATCTAATTTTACTTTAGAACTGCAAAAATAATGGAAAACTGCACACTGACACTATTTAACTCTCTATATGTAATATATAGAGAGAGAGAGACTGAAGTTATTTTAAGACTAATCTAATTTGTTTTTTGCTAACAGTTACAAACAAGCACCCAGCATTTATCATCATCTCAATCCTTTCACATTATTTCACGAACAAGAGTGGTTATTCCCTTACTAATACGATGAAATAAGACCGGATGTCATTTCACTCAAATCACCCAATTCAAGAGGAGTGTTCAGTTGCTGGCAATTAAGAGTTATGGGTTATGGAGGAAGCAGTTGGGCCCGGTGAAATAGAGGCGGGGGTGGGGGGGGTTGAAATCAGCCCTCGGGATGCTAGTTGGATCATCCAGCTGTATCTAGAATACACATACCTGTCTGTGTTCTCTCCTCGACAGAGTATGGCCATTCAGAATCCGCCACAGCATCCTTGCTGCTATCTTTGTGTCAATCCACAATAAGCGGAAGCCATGGTAATAATGCTTCACCTCATCTGCAACCTTCTGACCAAGAGACCGTCGCACAATTTCAGCTTCTATAGGGCTATACACGGGACCGCCTTCTTCCAGACGCTTATTCTTATCTTTCAAGGACTTTAGAGACTTTTCGACTTTGGAGTCATCATACAGCTGATGAGTAGAGTGCCACCATCTCATTGAAACACATGGCATTCCAATAAAATTCATGTTGGTAGCAGAGGTGCATGGCAGGGGAGCCCCCACCACCCCACAGTACAAACGCTTTGGGCCTCTTCTGCAGTAGCTATAGCGGTCCCTTATATGCAAAGAACTGTTGCTTGCAGACACTGTGCTGCAGTTTCGGAACAAAGCATTTCTGCAAAAGGAAAGGTAGNAAAAAAATTAGTTAGAGCAATTTCAACAGAAATAAATAGAAGTGANTTTTTTTCACCCATGAAACAACAGCGTCAAATGACTAATAATAATCCTTGTGTTTTGATTTAGCGCTTTTCACGTCTTCTAGACGTCTCAAAGCGCTTCACTGAATAGACTACTTCACTCAGTATATGATCTCTTTTCTGGACTGTTAAAACCATTTAATAGATGCTTCTTACCCAAACCTCACAGCACATTCAATTAAGATACCATTAGGCACACACATTTCATTCACATTGTAAACCTAGATAAGGCTAAGCCACATCAGAACAGCTGTGCAGAATCAATACAAGCTGTATCATGGGACCGCTTGTCAGGATATCTATAATTAACAGTGCAAACTGGTTTTAACTTCAATGAATAAATATTATTGATTATCTTATTAGTATAGCTCAATCCCAACCAGCAATAGTGAATGTACAAAATGTGTGGTTTAATGACAAAAATCTTTAATAACAAAAAATATGCTTTCTCCTCATTTTCCATCTACAATTCAAAGTCAAAAGAGTGAGCAATCTGCTTCCAGGATTCCACTAAAACCACCTCACTAACCATTAAGAGCTTCAGAATTATTTGAGAATCATTTGAGAAAGGAAAACAAAGAGTCAACAATGACAGAATCACATCAAGCTTCCTTTCACCCACAAAATACAGTCAATTCACTTTACAGTCAATTCACTGTGAAGCGCTTTGAGGCGTCTCGAAGACGTGATAAGGCGCTATATCAAATGCAAGGATTATTGTTTGCCTGATTTGCCCATGTGTTCCTTACACATAAAAACCCCTCCACCTCTCCCATCTTTCCTGAATAAGCTGTACCCTTGTAATTTATATTCACCTCCTTTGTAGTGATGTTCCAACAATCAACCTCCTCCTCAATCAGCAATTTTAATAGTGACCGCTTTAATTTCAATTCTGATGATATTGCAATTATAAATATATATATTATAAATCAGCACTCAGTAAAGATCCAAAACAGGGAAATAGTGAATTTCAGTTGTACTTACGAATAGTAAGGTTGAATATTGACCTTTTAAAACAATTACTTATATTTTTTAACTATTTGGACAGTCAAAGAATGGCAGGGAACCAAGTGTTTACACTTGCAACATGACAAATAAAACAGTTATTGGGGCTCTATCTGCACACAGTTTAACTTTAATTTCTGCTAAACAGAATCCTAACACAGACAAAATGACATTTTTCTAGATAACTAGCATCTAGTTACTAATTAGAATAGATTGGAATTAGAAGAAATTCCATCTTTTAGTAACTCTTAGTAATTCTACAAAGCCAATTCCCTCAAGATTCATCATACTAACCTTAACTTTATGCTTCTATTTAGTCACATAGTGAATACCGACATAATAATAACTGGCTTGATTTCAAGTTTCTCAACTTTGGACCCACATTATAAGTAGAGTAACTAAGAACACCCATTCTGTAAATAGAATATTTCATTCATCAACTAGAAAAATGTTATTAAATTAGAGAACTTTGGTCTGCTCCAATAGATTTTACAGAACTCAGAGAATACCCATCAGTTGTTGTATATTGTATGGAGAAATTGTGTGGGGAAGTATATAAACATACTAAAAGAAAAAAACATTTGTAAAATGCTTATATTGTGAGAAGTGGGCATCGATTTTGCTGCTTTTATTGTTAATTGTACATGATATTATTTCCTTACCTGTAACTTGTCAACCTTAGTTCAGTGCAGTTGACACAGTTAATGTCACCAAAACCACCTATAACAGGAAAAAGAATAAAATGTTAAGATGAATTTTGTCCATAGAATTACACAACCCTGAAGCAGTTTTACACACATTAAAAAAACTATTAAGGTGTACAATACATTTTATTTCACTTTATTACAACACTTTACACTTAATAGCATTGTGGTCTGACACCAAGCTGGAAAGAGGGGAGGTGGCCAAAGCCACAATCGAAGAGGAAAGTCTTCAGGTGTGACTTGAAGACGGGTAAAGGGGCAAAACAGAGGGATTGAGTCTGGAGCTCCAGAAATTCAGGGCATAGAGGAGAACAGCCGCCAATGGTGGGGTGTAGGGGATGAAGGATTGGTATAACATCCGAGTCAGCTAAACAAAGAAGGCTAGTGGAGTTTGAGCAGATCAGAGAGCCAGGGCGTGAAGTGATTTGAAAGTAAGGGCGAGGTAATTGAAATCGATCTGTTCTGCAACTAAAGTGCCATTCTTTAGCCATGCAATACCAAGCATACCAATAAATACATTCACTTCAAACATGTTTGGAAGAGTTTTCCATTAACACAGAATAATGCACATTGTCTATGTTGGCATAGATTTTGCACTGACAAACTAGAGAAACAGACTTAGAAAAACTGTCAGTATTGTTGGACATGGATTTGTAATAAATGTCATGGTGCAGGGATAATTCTGCTCAATTAATGAACAGTGCCTTTCAAACTAGTAAATAAATTTAGCTTTCTGATCATGTAAGACTACCTGAACATAATAGTGTTTCCCTATACAGTTCTTTTCAAGTAGGTGACCAGGAGCAATTCCTATACAGAATGGGAAATTATAAAAGGTCCTGGAGCACTTCACATTTAGAAAGGCAAAGAAAGATTTTGGAAAGAAATATCTACATTTTTAGCTGAAAAATTTGAAGAACTCTATCAAAATTAATACCTCAGTGAGGATAAATGCAAAGACCTCGTGGTCAACTTTGTAATGCATAGAATTTCACAGCAGTCACTCAAGGTGTGACGGTACAATGAGGATGTCACAAACACTACTTATCACCAGCACAAAGCACATTGGCTGCCAATACCAATGGTATCCAACGCGCACACACAATTTTTTTATTATTTAAAAAGTAACCATTAATTTCAAGGTCCTCAAACTTGATTTGCGTAATTTATAACTTGCATCACTCCCACGTAGTCATTTTCCCTGTACATTCAGCCGCTGTGAATCAAAGTGCAATACTGCCATCTCAATACAACACTATCCCCTGAAGGAACTCCAACCATTGTAACACTCCTAGGTACATGTTAATCTTGATCTCTGAAAACATCATCACGCGAACAGCCATGATTTTGGAGTTTACCTTTTAATCCAATTCTACTCCATCATTATATTGCCAAATCCCTTCTCAATCTTTTGTTGCGTCTTCAGTTCGGTTTCAACCTTACGGTCGTTTAAGCCTGCGATGTTTAAACCTATCCAGCAAGTCAACTGCACTCTAATAATATGAGGGGTCTTGTAAGTTTACTTATTGTGATCCAGGTGCTCAATGTGTTAAAGAAAAATCCCAAAACAATCAGACTGTGTGGGCTTACACCAAGAATGACGATGGGTTTGTTTTTAATCGGTGCAGTTTCAACATCGCTCATTGTCCATTGTGAAAAAACTCGCTTTATGATCTCATAGCAACTTCCTCCTCACATCATAAAGCATATGATGAGGAGGAAGTTGCGTAATTTGGAGTCCTGTAGCTCAGTGGTTAGAGCACTCGCTTTGCAAGTGAGAGACCTGAGTTCAATTCCAGGCAGGGCAAAACCTTGGGCAAGTTTCCTTACTCCACACAGAGCCTAATAATAATCCCTCCAAAACCAATAACAATAATAAATTGGTCATTTTCAATCTACGACTGTTTGTGGGACATTGCTGTGCGCAATTGGCTGCCGCGTTCGCCCATAAATATACAGTCAATTCACTTTACAGTGTGTTCTGTGAAGCGCTTTGGGACGTCCTCCCGACGTGAAAAGCGCTATATCAAATGCAAGGAATATTATTATATAACTGACTATTTCAGGACAACATTTAAAAAAAGTTTTTTTTTTTTAATTTCCTTTCCAGAGTCCTGGAACGAGTCGGTGTTCCCAGCTTCGCTCCTTCACAAACCGTTCCAATCGGTTTCTGCGCTGCCCACAGCACAAAAACAGTTTGGGTTTCAAAGTGACAAACAACATTTTGTCCATCTGCGACCAGTGCTCCTTCCGTCTCCTCATCCTCCTTGATCTCTCTGCTGCCTTTGACACTGTCAACCATTCTATCCACCTCCTCTGCCGCCTCTCACCCCAACCTTCATGGTTCTGTCCTTGACTGGTTCAGTCCTATCTTTCATACCCTCCACTTTGTCTCCATGAACGGCTTCTCCTCCAGCCCCTGCATCATCTTGTACGGTGTTCCTCAGGGCTCTGTCCTTGGTCCTCTCCTCTTCAACATCTACATGTTCCTTCCTGGTGACATCATTCACAGACACCATTCCACATGTATGTGAATAACATCCAAATGTACCTCTCGGTCTCCGCCCTCGACTCCAATCACTGCTGTCCCTACAAAATGTCTGTCATACATCAAGTCCTGGATGAGAGCCAACTTTCTCCAGTTGAACATCTACAAGACTGAGGCTCTCCTGATTGGATCCCTTCAACACCTCCACACCTCAGGCACTGGCAGCATCACCATCCATGGATGCACACTCCATCTTGCTTAGCCAGTCCAGAAACATTGGCGCCTTGTTTAACCCTCAACTGTTCTTTCTACCCCACATCCGTGCCATGACCCATTCAGTCTTCCCCCACCTCCGTGTCTCCTCCACTGCCTCTCTCTTAAGGCCACCAAAACCCTTATTCATGCATTTATTACATCTAGGCTTGACTACAACAACAAGATTCCATTTATAGAGCGCCTTTCACGTCGGGAGGACGTCCCAAGGCGCTGAACAGTTGGGTCAGGACCCGAGCAGGGGGGAAATGGTCAGGGTGAGGGGGGAAGGAGTGAGGAGGGGGAAATGGTCAGGGTGAGGGAGGGAAGGGAGGGAGTGAGGAGGGGGGAAATGGTTAGGGTGAGGGAAGGAAGGAGTGAGGAGGGGGGAAATGGTCAGGGTGAGGGGAGGGAAGGGAGGGAGTGAGGAGGGGGGAAATGGTTAGGGTGAGGGAAGGGAGGGAGCGAGGGGGGGTAGAGAGTTGAGAGAGGAGCTGAAGGCTCGGTCAAAGAGAAAGGTCTTGAGACCGGCCTTGAAGGAGGAAAGGGAGGAAGCGGCGAAGGCACTGGGGGATGGAGTTCCAGAGCCTCGGGGCTGAAGGCCCGGCCACCGATGGTAGGGCGGTTGGGGCGGGGGATGTGGAGCAGACCAGAGCCAGAGGAACGGAGGGTAAGGGCAGTTAAGTAGGGGGATAGTAGGTCAGAGAGGTAGGAGGGAGCGAGGCCACGAATGGCCTTGTAGGTGAGGATGAGGATCTTGAATTTGATGCCATTCATATCAGGAAGAATAGGGCAAAAAGCCTATGAAAAATAAAGACTTGCATCGGGTTCTAAGAAAATCTGTTCTAATACTTGGGAGTCTTTAATCATGAAGCGGACAAATTCAATACTGCAAACAAACCAGGATGGAAGGGAAAAGTGCACCAAGTTTTTAAAATTATAAATTAAAATTCTAAAGAAGCATTCATTCAAGTTGAATTGTGAAAGCAAAACTGGAGGACTCAAAGTAAAAAGAAGCCGCTAATGAAAATACAGAGATTAAAGAAATCTCTCCCAGCCCCCTTCCCAGCAGCAGTAAGGGGGAGAGCAATGCTCAATCATCCAGACATCTATCTGCCAGTCATAGGAACATAAGAATTACTAAACAAAAAACAAGGTCCACCCCAGTTCGCCTTCCACCATCCTGGCAGTCACATGGACACGTCATGTCCTGAACTACTTAAATACTGTATTTTTTCCTAAAATAAATCTATCTAATTTGCATTTGAAAGAATCAACACTTTCTGCTTCCACCGACTCCCAGGGGAGCCCGTTCTGCTTTCAGTCTATGCTGAAAGTGAAAACACGGGTTCACAGGACACCCATTGCAAAATTGCACTGTAAATGAGCTGTTTAATAACATGAGTGCCCTGTATTATGGCAACCTGAACTACTGTACGTGCAGGACCCCAGATACAACATGTCTGGGGCATTACACAGGACTCCAGATGAAGTTCCTGCAATGTTTTAGTCTTCAGGGAAATGTTCAGTGATCAAAAATAACACTTATATATTACTGTATTGGAGTATGATTGTTGGTTGGGTCACCAATCGTTATGTCCAAATGGGGCAAGGCAGAACTAAACAAAGCAAACAGGATGCTGGATTACACTGCTACTTAGTTAAGTCCTGTAGCTCAGTGGTTAGAGCACTCGCTTTGCAAGCGAGACACTTGGGTTCAATTCTAGGCAGGACAAAACCTTGGGCAAGTTTCCTTACTTCACACGCCTAATAATAATCCCTCCAAAACAAAAAATAATAAATTGGTCATTTTCAACCCATGACTGTTTGTGGGACATTGCTGTGCGCAATTGGCTGCCGCATTCACCCACAAATATACAGTCAATTCACTTTACAGCATATTCTGTGAAGTGCTTTGAGACGTCGAAGACGTGAAAAGTGCTATATCAAATGCAAGGATTATTTATATTATTTATTTAATACCTGCAGAGATTTACAGGAAACAGTGTGATTTTGGGCATTAAAATAGAGAATAATATTGGGGAGTGATTAAAAAGCAATAATATATACTCGGGCGAAACACAGCAGCCAGTTTTATACGCAGCAATGTCCCAGTAATAATAGTGCACTTTAACATCTCTTCTCCCCAGTTTGGTTTCAACCCCCTTTTGTTTTATGCTTCTATCAACTCTTTAACCCATCAACTAACACATTCTCTCCTTTGTCTTCTTTTTTTGTCTTCCTTATCCTGCCTCCCCCTCTCAACTTGTCCTTAAACAACCTCTCCCTCCCAACATGCCCAGTTCTGACAAAGGATTGTGGACCCGAAATGTTGACCCACTTTCCTTTTCCTTTCTCCATAGATGCTGCCTGACCTGCTGAGTTTTCCCAGCTCTCTCTGGTTTTGTTATTTGGGGGATTGTTGGCCAGGAGAAACTCCCTTCAAACTCCCTGTTAATCTCATATCATGGTTCATACAAACTACAACAAAAAACATTAAATAGTTTGCAGTTGTGCAGATTATACAACTGAAATCCAAGCACTCTGGGACACTACCCTGCATGAGAGGTGCTATATAATTTAAAGTTGTTGCTGAAACCACTTTAAAATCATAATCCAGGCTGCAAAGATCGAGTGTAATAAATGCTGAGTGCCCACATTTAACTTAGTAAATACGAATCTGCTCCGTGTCACATAATAAAGTTCCAACTGAAGATTTGAAAATCCAAGTACTTCCTCGATTGTGATCTACTCAGAATTCCAATAACTTGCATTTATTTAGGACCCTTCACATACAATATTGTTTCAGAGGAAAATAGGGTCACTCACCGAGCAAAGGAGAGGTGAAGGAAACCATAAGCGTGATTGAATAGATAGGTGTTAAGGTGGGACTTGTAGACAGATAGAGAGGAGGCGGAACAAAGGGGTGAGGGAGGTCCAGAGGTTAGGGCACTGAATCCAAAAGCTCAAGCTTTCTAATCTTTACAATCAACTTAAAAAATAACCCGAATAAGAGCAAAACATCCTAAAAGTATAATTAAGGGGAATAAAATCATATAATTTCATTGACCAGAAGAGTTTTGGTCTTTTGTAGTAAATAAAAAAATGTTTCAATGCTTTCAAAATACAAATACAAAATATTACAATTTAGATACTTCCAAACTGAAGTGCATTCTTGTCATAGAAACTGGTCATGGAATCTTGTGCATTCTTGTCATGGAAACTTAAATAAAATGGGAAGATTAAGAATACAACTCATTCTTTAATAGTACTGAAAAATGAATAAACCTATTTGGTATTAATATTTAAGTCCTATCGCATTACTAATTTGGCACATGCCATAGAGGTGCGGTTCTCACTTCCTGTCTGTGAACCTTGAAGATCCTGGGGCACTATTCGAAAAGAGAAGAGTTTCTCGCTCCCCCAGTGTCCTGGCCGCAAATTCATCCAAATAAAATCTGTCACTCACTTCATGACTGTTTGTGTGACGTCACTGTGTGTAAACTGGCTACCGTAATCACTCACAAAACAGTGAGTGTATCCTACGAAGTGCTTTGGAGCAGCCTGGGACACTACCTTAGTTGAGCGATGCTATATAAATGGAAGGTATGTTGTCCTCCCAACGTGAAAGATGCTATATGAAATGTAACAAATATTATTCTTGAAGCAAATATTTCAACAGACGACATAATTGCAATTAATCTATGAGTTCTGATCTTCTGAATTGATCTCGACAAGTTATTTTCAATACATTTGGTTGTATTTCTTCACCAAATGTTGCATTATGTCAACAACAACAACAAGCATTGATATAGCGACCTTCGAGGGTTTGAGACCATAGGCACAGTCAAAGAGAAAGGTACTCAGGGGTGATCTGAAGACGTAAAAGAGGGGACAAGACAGAGGATTGCGGCAGAGTTCCATCGTTTCTGAGCACAGTGACTGAAAGCACGACCACCGATGGTGGAGCGGAGGGGATGAAAGCAATCCAGGATGCCACAACCAGGGATTTCCCTCAATACTTCCAGTAAATGCCAATCATAACATCTGAAAGCCAGATTCAATACTCTCGCAAATAAGAAGTACTGTATATACAATCCCAAATTACCATTCAGCAAAAGCAATTACTTTGCTGTGTGGAGTGGGGGAGGGGAGGGGGGGGGGGGTTAAAAAAAAACTAGTGAATCCTAAAATGGAGTCATTTGCATAAGTCACTTCGATATTTAACATTGCACAACACATTATATAAGATGTCGTTTAAAACTGATTACTCATCCCGGTTAAATACTGCAATGATCAGCACTGACACTCCGCTGATGGGATTCCCAGTCATACGAACTGTCACTGATCAACAGCACAGGGGCCGTCACCTTCGCACCCGCCATCACTTTTGAACCCTGTTGCACACCCCCCAACGAAACGGTCACACGGGAGAAAATTGCGGGTCACACGTCGGGGACTCGGTCGAACGGCACCGGGGCCCCGGCGACTCGGCTCGGGCCCAGACTGCGACCGGGGAGATACGGGGGTCAACCTTTGAGATAAACACTCAACGGATAACTCGGCAACGAAGGGGAAAGGGGGCGCCGTACCGCACGGCAGTAGCGGGGGGTGCGCGGTGTCAGTCAGGGAGGGGAGCAGAGGGGGCGGCGTTTCTCGGAAGAGACATGGCCTTTCCCGGCAAAAAAAAGGCGGGCGGGCGGGTTGAGAAGGGCGCAAGCACCATAGCAACCGAGTCCACGCAGACCCGCCTCAAAGGCAATCTGCGCGGACTATTTTCAGTACAGTGTGTGGGACCACAAACACAAACGCGTTAAACGACACCGCTGTAGCGGTCACACGTACTAACGTTACCGCGGACGGCGCCACCGCGGCGGGACTCGGCCACTGCTGTGAATTTGCAGATTTCCCTGCGGGGCTCCCGCTGCTCGGGTTGGGGGGGGGGGGGGAGAGAAAGACGGGTCCTGGTGAAGGCTCGGGCCTACACGCTCACATTGTATTTGCATCGTCATTTCACTTTATTTTCGCCCCACGTCCGCTCAGAATCAGCCCAATCTCATAAGCAGATGGACCGGACCCACCGCGATGCCGGGCCCTCCCCCCCCACCACCCACCCCGGGTCAGTCAGCATCCAGGCCAGGCCGGGCCGAGCCGAGCCGCCCGGGGAGCTTCGCGTGCGAGACGGTGAAGTTCAAGTTAAATTCACGTTTCACATACATACGCGCACACAGCACTCCTTCTCCCGGTAAAGGAGCGGGACTCACCTTTCCCCATCTTTCCGCACCAGACTTTCGGCCCTTTCAACACAGACGAGCGACAGCTCGAAAACAACAACATGAAGGTCATGGTTTCTTCTTCCTTCGCCGCGGAGACGCCGTTACGGCAGGAGAGGGGGGGGGGGGGGGGGGGAGAGAGGGTCAGAGATAATTCAAATACAAAAGGAACTCTAGATCTTCTTCGAAATATATCCACGTTTGAGTGACTCAGCACGTTGCACGACCATTTCCCTCAAACCTCTCTTGCTGTCCTTTTAACCAGCCGGCTGCTCCCAGCCTGTGCCGTGACTCGCCCTCGAAAGTCAACAGGGCGCAGCCACTCTGCACTGCGGCGCCGCACCGAGCACAGTGCGCACGCGCGCCGAGCCGCCGCTTGCTCCAGCAACAGCGGCTGGGGATGGGGGAGCAGGCGAGATAACGCGCATGCGCAACAAGTGGCCTACGTCGAGGTGGTGGGGGGGGGGGAGAGACGGCGCCGCGCGCGCGGACCAAAGCGGGAGCTTCGCTTGAACTCGATCGGAAACAGAAGGGCACGTGCGCAAAACTTGCGCGCGCGCGCGCGCTACAGAGAGCGAGAGAGAGAGAGAGAGAGGGGGAGGATCCAACCGTCCGCGGGTACGCACATGCGTACGTCCATACGTAGAGCGCCAACTGCCATCTCGCGCCAATTTGTGAATGCCACCCACCACGTCAACGTCTGTGCGTCAATCACGCGAGCCCTGACTTTTTCAAACCGCGTTGAGCGCGCGCGCTCCCCACCCCCTTCCCCCCCCCTCCAACCCCGTTTCCTCTCGCTCCCCCGCCCTCCCCGCGACCAACTGGCGGTTTTTTCTCTCCATCAGTTTCAGGGCAAAAAAAAATCTTCCGCCTTTTTTTTGTGTGTGTGTGTGTGTTTCCGAGGTTGACGTCACGCGCGCTACGGTTTTATTTCTCTTCCCCCCCTCCCCCCTCGCCTCCCATCCCTCGTCAATACCATTGTAATACTCTATATCAAAATATCTATATTTTTTAAATCGGTCCTCTCCTCCCAATTCCTTCCTCCCCTCTCCCCTCCATCACCCCTTTTCTGCTTCACCACCAGCCAACCGACCACCGCCATCATCATCATCATCCCCGGAGACACCAGCCGGTAAGAAAAAAAATGGTGCTCGAAACACGCTCGTATTTCTATATCAATATACATTGAGGGGAGGGGAGGAGGGGGGGAACCGAGAGGCCGCCTGAGTTTATCGTGTGTGAGTGAGTGAGTGAGTAGAGAAAGAGAGTGGAGTGGAGGGGGGGAGGGAGGAGGCGGCGATGAATTTTTATTTTCCTTTCAAATGTTGTGTGAACGCAGCAAAGAAAACTGTCTCTCCCTCTCGGCTCTGCCGTGTCCGCAGCCAATGAGACGCCTGGGTTTTCGCGCTGATTGGCTTCGTTGCGGGAGGGAGGGAGGGGAGAGGAGGGGGGGGGGAGGCAGCCGAGCCGAGCCGAGGAGTTACTTACTGTACCCTATTGAAAGTACAGTGTCCCCGCTGAGGATGCAAGGATAACAGGTCTCTTTATTTTTGCTGGTATTTTTTTTTAAAAAAATAGATATGTAATAATTGATCACACAACTTGTTTGTAAACTTCTGGTGGTGATGGAGGGGGGGGATGGGGGGAGGGGGGAAGGACGTGTGGTTCTCGAGGCCGTGAGGGATTGCAGAGAACAGGAGGGACGGAATGAGAGAGAGAGAGGGAGAGAGGAGGAGGAGGAAGGAAGGAAGGAAGGAAGGAAGGAAGGGGGAGAAAACTGGTGGCTGACTCCCCAAGTGTGAGAGAGTGGCCACTAGTTACAGAGAAGTAGGCCCCGAATTGGCCCAAACAGAAGCTTGAGTTAGGGGGCATCAGATTTTTGTCTTCAGTCTTCTTGCCGCCACCCCTTCCCCCCCTCCACTACTCTCTTGCCCCTTCAACTTCCATCCAAAAGAGGCTTGTTTTAGTTACTGTTAGGCGCCCCTATTAATCCTCAACGCAATCATAGGATGACGAAAATGTACGTGCAAAAGGCGGTGAGCTTAGATTTAATCGGGTTGTGATGTGGGTTGAGTGTCTGTCTGTGTGCATTGCTGCTACTGCTGAATGTATGGAGGGCAGCCATGTTTGTAAAATTTTAAGATTGGGCTTTTAATTTTACTGTGTGATTTCTTAATGGGTTTTACGTTTATTTCAGTTTTGCAACAAGTTTTTTTTGAAGACACAGTATTGATGCATAGTTCAAGCTTCATTGCATATTTCTTACTGTTTCGAGAAGAACGGGGTAAGATGTGCTTCTGGAGATTTGAGAATGAACCATTGGAATGATAAAAAGGCCATTTTTGGTATCACACCAACTTGGTTATATTTGCTGCAGTTGGACTAACAAAACTGTTAGATTGAATGTCGCTGACTGCCTTTTAATCACGAGCAGTGTACATGCTGATGTGAGGAGCGGCAATTTAAACGTTTATTTTTCCCGTAGAAGTTATAATAGTATCATGATTTTAAACATTTAATCTGTGTTTGTTTGATTTATGCAGGAACCTAATTAAGGGCCATGTACTTTATTTAGTGCAGGTGAGGTGAATAATGCATTAAGTGTAAAAAGGCCTTTGGAAGATTTTTTTCAATATGATGTTTACTTTCAACTTTTAATTTTGGCAGTGGTTGCTTTATATTGAATTTGATGAAGCAAACAAGTTAACTAAGATTACACAGATCAACTAACACTTCTAGCTTTCCTGAGACTGTGGGACTGTGCATCTTTTAATCTTCATATACTGTATTACACTAACATCTTAATTTCATGAACAATTTATTTGTTAAATAACTTGTGTTAAATCTGCATGTCAGCATGTTTCATAGCAAATGCTAAACGCATTGGTATTGCACTGTTTTATGGATACAAATCTGTTTGAATGTATATTACTATAGTTGGTTACTACAGGGTGACCAAAAAGTTGTGATACCTTTACAATAATAATCCTTGCATTTAATATGCAAGAATTGTCTACAATGTCTAATATATCTTAAAGAAATTATGAGTTTTTTAAAAAAGATAATATGGTAACTGAAAATAACTTTTTGGTCACCCTGTATAACTGAAGTTAATTTATATCTTTGAACAGTACTGTTTGATTTTTAATGAGGAATCCAATGTTTGCTTCAATTTCATCCGGTTTAGTCATATGATGTAAAAGATTACATTTACACAATATCTTGTGTAAAAGAAAAAAATTGTCATGTTGCAATGTAGCTTTTTCTAACCTATATTGTGATGTCTGTTTTTTTCCTTTGGACTCGTGCTTTGCTTTGAAGAATTTGACTTAAAAGTAATATGCTCAGGTTAGGGTTGCCTCCGGAAAGTGGTGTGGCAGCTCATTGTTATTTTTGAATTGGTTAAACTTGCTTTTGTGATTTGCTAAACATGACCTACTGTGATTCTTTGCATTCAAATTGCAAAAGTAACACAAGATAAACCTTTGACTATGTTTTAATATTTTTAGATTTGCTTTGCTTGCTCACCTTAATATATATTACATTTCTGTTTAATTTTGGGCAAAAGAAAGTGTAATGAGTCCCTTGGATACTACTCTTCAAAATAAAATCAAACCATTTACAACCAAACTTGATGGTAGAGTTGCTATCAGTATCCAGCGTACTGTTATCATTCATTATCAGAAAGTACTTAGAAAAGGTTAAGAATTGGGCTACAATGTAAACACACTACAATAATTTATTACAGAACTTGCATTAAGTGTCCTAATCTTCTGAAATTGCAGATGTATGTATCTTGATTATTTGGTGTGGGGAAAACAGTTTTAGAATTGCTACAAATTTGGGATTTTTCCTCTCAGATCCTGTTAATCCTAGAACCTAATGGGGTAGGGTAGTCCTAGCTGGACCAACAGCATGGCTTTAATAATCCTTGCATTTAGTATAGCACCTTGCACATCAGGAGGGCATCCCAAAATGCTTCACAAGATTTACTGTGAAGTGCAGTGACTGTGTTTTTGTGGGAGAACATGGCAGCCAATTTGCAACCAGCAACATCCTATAAACTGGTTAAGCTCCAGCAGTACCTCAATGCACACTTTAGGTCACCAAAGCATGGCTTTTACCAATCTGCCTGAACTTTCAGGATTAGGTAAGCAGTGTACATCATTCCATCGGTAGAGTGCATACTCCATACCAAACAAATGGAAACCATCGGGCAATCATGATCTTTTTTCTACTCAGAAATATAAACTGCATCTTCTTTCTTCACCGTCCAAAAACAAAGCAGGAGTGAATTAGTACAATTGTATCCTACTCCGAGTTGTGTAAAGTTAACTGAATATACAACAATGATCAAACCCTTCGTGATCTGTATGGTTCAGTGATGCTCCACAAATTTAATTTAGGCACTCTTTCAGGGAGACTGCTAGTTACGTTTTATTTTAATGTCCCAAGAAGTGATCATAACCACCTGTGCAGCTAATATACAACCCTATTTGTGATGTGTATCAAACAGAACCAAGAATTCACTAAGAATGTATTATTGCCTATAAATAGCCTACATTTCACAGTAAATCCTATGAAGTGCTTTGAAACAACTCAACAATGTGGCAAGGTGCTATATGATATGTAAGGATTATTAAAATTAATTGCATTGTTGATGAATATCATTGTGACTTCTGGAAATCAAGTCACTTTCTGGCTGTTTAAAGTGATCTTTAAAATGTTAACCGTATTATTGAAATCTCATGGCATATGCAAACACAGAATAAAGAAAAACTCTAATTGTGTGTGAGTGAATTATGCTGGAAGAGACTTCTATTTCATTTTCTGTTTTAGTACTCTTAAAATTATAGATTATATTATTGTAATAAGACAAAGCCAAACAATGTAATTAGCTTTAGTCTTGGGAATGCAACATTGCTAAAAGTTGATAAATCTGGAAGTTTTTTATGGCATTTGAAGCATTTTTTCCCTTATTGTAATAATGCTTCATATAATTAGAATTTTTTCTCCTTTTACAGTGTTTAAACTGGTAACATCTGCATAGCATGGCTCAACCTTGCCGATTTATCGGAAATCCTTTGCCGCTAGCACAGGATTTGCTTAATCCCATATCTATGAAGCAGGTGCCTGAGATCCTCGGCATTGCAAACAGAAAGAGTCAGAATGGTGAAATGGATTCCGAGCACTCATTGCTGCCTGACAAAACTGCCACACAACTATCTGCTGCCCTTCAGGATGGTGTGATGCACCGATTAAATGGGCACGATGCGACTTCTGCTTACAGATCGGACAAACTGAAGGATTTGACTGCCCTTATGTTAAATGGAGATTCGGGTGCAGTTCAAGAACCACTATCTGTACAGGCATCTTCTCCTGTTGATTGCTCCATAGAGAATAGAGGGAGTGAAACACCGCCTCACACCACTCCTAAAAAGAGTGGCTCACCAGAGATTAAATTGAGGATTACTAAAACCTATTTGAATGGAAAACCCCTTTTTGAATCTTCACTTTGTGGAGATCTCCAAATTGATGATCCTGAGATTATAGAACACCAGCAGAATGTGGAGGAGAAAGAAGAAAATCAAGAGAGAAGAAAGAGGAAGAGGAAGAGAAGTGTAAAGTATGATGCTCTTCTTGAGCAGAATCTGGCTGAGGTGGCTCTTGTGTCCAAGACATCCAATACTCCTGATGCAGATGAAAAAGTGAGTATGGATAAAATGATTAGGTGAATTTTGTAATAGTCTCTGAGTACCCGGGGTGTAACAAGCATTTCCTGTTGCATTTTTGATAATTTATTGTTTATACCCGATCAGCAAACTGGTGACAACTGGGCCGATGTTTTTCCTTCCTGTTTACTTTTGAATTGGTTACATTTATTTATGATTCATCTACTTCGTGGATTTAAAATCCATTTTAGTATAATCTATTACTTACGTGTTGAGTTGAAAGAAAACTGCTTTCACTTATCTTCTTACTTGTGCAATATATTAAAAACTGCAAGATGTGTGTTCAAACACGTTGACTCGTGTACTTGTCTGCCGTGTGCAACTTTCTTTTTTTTAATTTTTGATCAGCCGGGTATCTGACACATGCGGAAGCTTATCACCATGCTTAAGAGTATCCAAAATAAGCTTGGAAATTACAGCGATAGATTGTTGGAATGGAATGCGCACTCTCTCCCTCGAGGGACGCATCCATCTTACCTAATTCTGGAACGTATTAGGCGCAGGTTGGCAACAGCCAAGGCTTGGAGACCCCAGAGTGTTGGGGTACTGCTGGAGTCTATCCAGCTAAATCCGCATAGCTTGCCATTGATATTGCTGTCCAGCAAGCTTTTCCTCTGCTTGTCCAGCTACAACAACAACAACAACAAGATTCCATTTATAGAGCGCCTTTCACGTCGGGAGGACGTCCCAAGGCGCTGAATTAGGGCTTTGGCTAGTGGGGTTAACAGGAGCAAAGTGGGGGCACTCCCTGCCCCCAGTGACTGGTCTGCCCTTCCAGGTCCTGCCAATGAGCCAGGCTGGCGGTGCTGTCATCAGCAGTGCCCTGGAATACTGTGGACGCGCCTGGCTGAGGAACTGGACTACCGAGACCGCCACAGAGGGCTGGCTCGATTCTGACATTACATTGCCAGGCATGTCACCTTGGAGCCAGTTATCCTTACTTTCTGCCACTCCCCCCGCACACCCACCCAGGAGGATAGTTTCTATAAAATGGACGCTAGAAGTCTTATGCTTGCATTTTCTTACAAACTTTAGTTTATCAATTATCTTTTTTTCATCTCCATTTGGCAAATCTTTTTCAGTGGTATTTGGAATTGTTTTTTTTACCACTTTTTGTGCACAGGCAATGTTAGGAAACTGTCAATCAAAATAGCAATATTTTGGATCACTAATCCCATTCAGTCGTGTAAATGTAGTTTAGTAGGCAAAACAAAAAATTAGTGCATTTGTAATTTTACTTAGTCAACAACTTGCATTTTTATAGTACCCCTCACGCAGGGTAGCGTCCAGGAGCGCTTGACAGTGGCGAAGGGCGTAGGTGACCATAGGCATAGTCGAAGAGGAAGGTCTTCAGACAATCTGAAGATGGGGAAAGAGGAGGCAAGTCGGAAGGATAGAGGAAGAGTGTTCCAGAGTTTCAGGGCATAGTGGCCACAAATGGTAGAACAGCGGCCACGAGGGACAAGTAGGAGTCCGGAGCTCGTCGAGCAGAGGCAGGAAGGGGCATGAAAGGATTTGAAGACCTGAAATCGATCCGTTCGGTGATAGGGAGCAGTGGGGCCTGGCTAGTACTGGTATTACATTTCTAAACTATGTTGAGGCATGGACAAAACATCTGTTAATGTGGAACTAGTGGAGCCGTTTGATTTTCATAATTCTGGATTTTTAATCTAACAGGAGGGTGCCAGAGACCTTAATTAAATTGATTTTTTTTAATGTCGATTAGTTCAAATTCAGTAGTAAAGTTCTGTCTATCAAATATTAAAATAGCTTTAAAAAAAGTAAGCAATTTCAGGCAAAATATTTGATTTGATTCTCAGCGATTTGGGTAGAGAATCTTACCTCCAGAATATATTTGACTACAAATACTTCTGATCAAGAAGTTTCCTTCTAATATTGCAATTTAAATATGGTGAATTTTAGGTAAATACAAGTTTAATATTTTCTTTTGTTATTTATATTCTTGAAATATGCACAAACTATTTTATTTCTTAACTGTTAAATAATCGTGTTGGTGAAGATATGAAGCCCCAAAGATTAAAAAAAATAAGATACTTTCTGATATATTTGTAGGATGAAGTATGGCAGGATACTTTACATGGGATGTTTCTATATCCAGTCTAAAAGTATATTTTTATTGGAACACCCAAATTTCTTTATCACTCAGCTGTTGCTTTTTTTCTTTACACTATCAAAGTAGATTACATACTATTGAAGCAGATGTATTTTATTCTTATGTGCCCTGGGGACCATACAGAATATTTGCTTCTTTGTGAAAGCAAACAATATTTCACACAAATATTAAGCGACCTGCTCTACTTTTAAGTTGTAATTTGTTGCAGTTGAAAGGAATATTTTATTGGTTATGTTCTGAAAAGTTGGTTTTGAATATACCATGGATATTTAGGTTCTCTGCAATTTGGTGCTTAAATTTAATTTATTTTGGTCATTTGATTGTTCCATTTTTGCCAGTGACTAATATTGAATTTTTAAAAAAAAAACTATTTGACAAGCATAATAATAATAATCCTTGCATTTGAGATAGCACCTTTCACATCTTCTAGACATCTCAAAGCGCTTCACAAAATATACTGTAAAGTGAATTGACTATATATTTGTGGGTGAAATCCACCAGCCAATCGCGCACAGCAGTGTCCCACAAACAGTCGTGGATTGAAGTACCCAATTTATGATTTTTTTTCTTGAGGGATTATTATCAAGTCTGTGGAGTAAGAAAACTTGCTCAAAGTTTCAGCCTGCCAGGAAGCATGTTACTTACTTAGAAGGGATTGTGATTACAGATTGCTTTAAGAGTTAAGAATGTAAAAAAAGGAGTACGCCATTCAGTCCGTCAACTGTGTTGTGCGGTTTGTCAACATATGTAAGTCAGTATTCTACAGGGTGAGGGTTCTGCACAATTTGCCGATTGCAAAAATGTATTCCTTTTGTAAAACTCACAAGTTGTATCAGTCGGGACTATGATAGTCAATATGACACAAAGTCTGAGTTGCAGGCAACTTGTGGAAGTCATATAAAATCTGATTTAATCAATAATCTACACTGTGCATGCGTAATTCATTGCAGCCAGTAAGTGTGTATGGGGTGACTAGTCAGGACTTAATTTCCCACTGCATTGAATCGCCGGAAAAGAAATACTGTACATGTGTCAACGGATCAAAACTGTTTCCTGCGATTGAATGCAGGCAGCTGGTAAGTGCGCATGTGCGGAATGGTTAGTGCGTTGTTTCCCGTGATTCCCTACAGCCTCAAAGTGCGGGAGTAATGGAGAGTAGGAGACCAGTGTTATGAGTTAGGAGGTGATTAATATGAGTAGTGCAAAGAAATCTGGGTGATTTTAATAGGAAACTGAGTGGGATTCTGCGACTTAGGCGATTATATGATTTATAAAGATAAGACGTGCAAGTTTTACTGTAGAAGCACTGGTGGTGGAACATTGAGAACTGTGAAGCTTTTCCAAAATACAGAAGAGCCGTGACCTGGATCTACGACAAATCCTGTGATCCAGATGGAGAGATGGTACACCTTGCTTTCATAGATGGTGCCCTTAACATTGGGAGTCTACCATCTGATACCTTTTGAATTCATGCCAATCTCACTGTTGAACATGAGTATTCAGAGGAGGGAAAAGAGTATTTGAAATGAGGAAAATTATTACTGTAGTAAAGTTCTTGTTCTAAATGTGTGGTTGGTGTAACTTTCTGAACTCTTTGCATAATTCTTAGCATTTACAAGAGATATTTGCAAATAGATGTTAAGACTTACTGGTTTCATTTTATCAGTGCAACTTTATAGTGTGCATATACAGTATACCATGAGGCATACCATTAAAAATCACACAATTAAAAATGCTGAACTTTAGTTCATTTCAAGATTTCTTTTTCAGAGAGTCCTTGGGGTCACTTCTTCTCGCATCGCACTATAGGTTCACCCAACACCCCATAAAGCCTTCCACAGAACATACCTTACTGGAAAAACTGCACTTTCTTACATTGACTCTTCTAATACATAGCAAAATATTGCACGCACTGCTAAGAGTACTATTTTTGGACAAATTGAAATGTTTAATCAGATCATTGAGGTATTTGAAGTAAAAAAATATTTAATTGCAGGAAAGCTATATTGTATGGGAATAGTTGCAAATCTAGAATGGGCCATACTATAGAGAGATCTTTAAAACCATGATGGGTTTTGATAGTTAGTAGGGAGACATTTATTTCCACTGATTGTGAGGTGGTGACTAGACGGTGTCAATTTAAGATGGATAGCAAATGAGGAGATTTCTTTTCACACACAAAACTAAGATATGAAGTATATCTAATCAAAGATCAGAAGGCAAATAGGTAAAGAAAGACCAGTAAAGGTCACCACAAAAGAATGAATGAAAGTATTATCAGATGTAATGAAGGACAATTTGAAACATAAAAATTGTACAATATAAGTTTATATTTTTTAGAATCTTAAATTTACTGAATAGCTACATGAATTAAAATGCAATGGTGGTAAAATGTGCATTTTTATTTCAGCTAAAATATTTTATATAATTTTAAAATGGTGAAAAGTGACATTAGTAACTTATCATTGTAAAGTATTAATTCTAAATAAATGATGGGAAGTATTCATGTGCTTAAGTAATGGTGATGAAAATGTTTACCTCCTGTTGTGTACCCTGCCATTAGTATGTCATCAGAACCTGTGCACATTCACAATTCATTACAGACTTGCAGAAAAGACATGAAATGGAGGCCATGCGGGAAATTCTGCAACACCGTATAGGAAAGGCATAAAAGTACGCAACATGACTCAATTCTTTCATGCTAGTGTTTTCAAATTGATCATAGTACAATAAGTGGCTATCTGAAACAGACATAGGTCATTTAACTCCAACATTCACAGATTGTTCTGTATATCTTCAATTTGTTTTCTTTGGTAGTAAGGTTGAAAAAATAGAACAAACAAAGAAATATAAACAGTGAATACTTACCTTGCTAATAAAATTTCTGGATATTACATGATTCCTCATTAAAAATGACCATTTTATTGCATTTTAGGTATGTGTAAAACAAAAACACTAAGTTGTGACCAAGAGGAAGTAATAGAGATTGTGAACCCATTTTTTTTGTGGAGGCAAATAGCTGCAGTATTGAGACTATTTAACTTAAAATGAGCCGTAGTTCTATATCTACTTATAAAATGTATTTTCAGTAATGAGTAATAAGATTTAAGGAATGCTTCAGTGAAGTACTGTATTGTATTTATCTTTATAAAACTCACTGTATTTCCCAGTAGGTGTGGAAATGTGACCTGTCTGATGAGGATCGACAAAGAGGTGCTCTTAGATGAAACCCTGTGCTGATTTTAATTTTAGCATGCATTTCCAAGCATGTTTAGCTTCCCTCTCATTTTGTTCCCTTCATTCCCGTGCATGCGGCTTGCTCATTATCTGGAAGCCAAGATGAACTAATAATCCTTGCATGTGGTACAATGCCTTTCACATCAGGAGGAAGTCTCAAAGAATATACTGTGAAATGTAGTGACTATTTGTAGGCAATCCCAGTAGCCCAATTGCAGACAGCTTATGTCCCACAAAAGGGCATGAAGTGAATGACCAATCTTATTTGGCGTAATGTTGGTTTGAAGTTGTGCCTGAAAATTGTATTACTGTATTTGTATAAGATTTTAGGTTTATGGATTTGTAGTCTTAAAACTTGACTTAATTGTTGAGCTGAATTTCTACATCCTTTATAAAAGAAAAAAACTAATCATTTATTTATTGTGCCTTGCGTTCCAAGCTTGTGTTTTACTTAGTACAATATTTAAAACTGCTTTTTTGATTTGTTTGCTCACACAGCTTCTTCTCGAAATGAAAATCCCTCAACTATCGTTTCCATACCTCATTTTTGTCCTGCAATATTTCCAAGCTTGAAAAATAAATACACTTTTCAAAATTCTTCTTTATCTCTCCTGTTAAGCTGCATTGCTCCCCCCAAAACCTCTTAAGTAAGGTGCCAAAGGGTGGCTGGTACCTATCTTATTTGATGTTTAAAAGGGGCAAGAATAGATACTTCAGAAGTCAGGATATTAAGAAAATTAGAGAGGTTAGGGAAATGGGGTTATAGATGTGCTGTTAACTTATAAAATGGAATAGGCTTGAAGGTTTGAATGACCTACGTTTGTTTCTCACCCACATTCATACAAGCATTCTTTCCGGTAGGACTCACAAGGATAATCCTTGCTAATTCCTCTCCCACCTCCCCCTTACCATAACCAAAAGGTTTTGAAGCCAAATATGTAATTGTAGTTCTATCTCTCTGCCCTGTCACAGATCATCTGATTCAGCGCAGAAATTAAGACCTAGAAGCATTCTTGCTTGGTATGGTTTCATTTTAGCAGTAGATTGGCTGATATTTGTGCACAAGAACATTTCTACTGCAGCTTGAAATGTTTATTTTTAGGTAGAGAGTTGTATTTTTGACTTGACTTTTTCATATAAAAGTAGTTTGAGATGGTTGCCAACTATTTTGTGGAAATTGTTTTTTAAAAGTTGGGTTATTGGCTGATGAACTTCTAGGGGGATGGAGTGCTGCAGTGTGTTAGGAGAATTGTATGCATACTAAGTGATGAAAAAAATGAGTTTATGTATTCAGAATCCTTAAATTCCTAGTTTGAACAACAAAAAATTGCATTTATATAGCGCTTTTCTATTGGGAGGATATCCCAAGGCGCTGGACAATGATAGGCTTGCACATGACCTGTGGGTTGGGATCAGAGAGGGGTGGAGGTTTCAGATTTTCAAAGGACAAGTGGTTACAGTACACTCTACGATTTTACAAAAATTGGTTTGGGGCAGAGGTGACAAAGCTTTGTCTACAGGTGAACATGCTGTATTTCAACAGTGATTATGGTTTGCAACTTAGTTGTGCATATAGATAAGTTCGGGTCCTTACGCCAACGCTTTTGAAAGAAGAAGTTTTTTTCATTCAGCATCCAATATCAGAATCCCTGTTCAAATACATGTTGGATAGTTGATACAGAGAGTTGATAATTTTCCAAACTTAAATTTCAGTTGTTAACTCCAAAAAATGCATCTATATAGCACCTTTCACATTGAAAGGATCAGGAGGACAACCAAGACCCAATAGTCAAAGGTTTGAACCTAAGCTGGACATGTGAATTAGTAAGAGTCGGAGGATGACCGAAGCCACAGTCAAAGAGGAAGTCCTTGAGATGTGCCTTGAAAGAGGCAAGAGAGTGGGTGAGGCAAAGGGACGCTGGGATGGAGAGGTGGGGACATAGGAACAGGGACAGAAAGGCTGAAGGCCCGACCGCCGATGCTGGGGAGGGCAGGGGGCATGGAGCAGCCCATTGCCAAACGGAGAGAGCAAGCAGGTTTGTAAGGTTTCAGTCAGTCACAGGGGTAGGGAGGACAAGACCAAGGAGGACTTTAAAAGTGAAGACACTGAGTTTTTTTTGCTAGAATGATTATTAAGATGGTGAACTAGATGAACGAGACAGCAGAAACAATCTTAAAATTATCAACTTATGGATATTGTATTCACATTTGAATAATTAAAAATGCAAGCAACATTGACATTGAAAAAAATGCTAAAAGGGTTGGAAACACCAAGACATTCTACACTTCCTGCGAAAATCCCTAAATTATAAACTGTAGTACTGTAATGAGTTGTCATTGACTACCTACGCAGTACTTAAAGAAAGGAACTCAATGGAATCGTAGAACCTTTCTATAGAAACAAAGTGTTGCGGAGGAGGAGGAAACCATTCATTTGAGACCAAAAAGTCTAAAACCGTATTAATCCACTTTAACTTGTAATTGGAAACGAAAACTGTGCTGTAGGTTTTGTACTCTTCTAAAACTAATTGTGCTTGAAAGTGGGAACAAAAGAGCACTGATCATCTTTTCCAATGTCAATAGCAGTCATTCTAGAGTTGCCTCCTAGATTTTCCAAGAGCTTACTCCCTACTTTTTCTAATTGCAACTTTTCCAAACCAAACAGAATTGCCCAGCAGAATTCTTAACAATAATGAATTTTCATAACTTGTTGTCCGATGTTCTCTAACCACCAACAGGTGTTAAATTATGACTTTTAATAGGCAGTTTTTGTGCTAAATGCATTGTAGTATAGATCCATTGCAGCTCATGATACAAGAATATCTTGACATGGTTTAGAATTTGTGACTGAGTTTAAAGAAAAATAATATTGTACTAATGTTGTCTACCTATGCAAAAAGAGAATACTCAATACAGATTATTGCATCAAACTCTACTTTTAAATTGCTGAAGTAGATGAACCTGTTGCCTCAGCTGATGAATGCTTTGACAAGACTATCAGCCTGGCTCAGTCCCTCTGAGTCAGAAGGTTGTGGGATCAAGCTTTGCATAGGGACTTGGAATCACATATTCTAAGCTGTCACTCCAATGCGGTGCTGGGGTTGTGGCATTGTCGGAGGTGCCGTCCTTCGGATGAGGCGTTAAACCAATGTCGCGTCTGCCTGTTCAGATGGTTAAAGATACCATGGCACTATTCAAAAACAAAAGGGAGTTTCTCCCGGTGTCCTGTTTGTTGGCACATTGGCATGTTTTGTGGGACATTGCTGTGCGCAAACTGGCTGCCGTGGTTTGCCCACAAAACATACGTCAAGCCACTTTTCAGTGTATCCTGTGAAGTGCTTTGAGACATCTTGATGATGTGATAAAATGCTATAATCAAATGCAAGGGTTATTCGTATGGTATAACCTTGTGGAATCGAAGTCTGAAAAATTATTTTCTGAAGTTCACTAGCATTGGTCTTTTTCTTACATACAGATTGCTAAAGAAGACCTAGAGGAGGAAGAAGAAAGGGATGAGGAAACAAAAGAAAAAGACAAAGAAAAAGATGTCCCAGTGAAGTATAATGTTGGAGACATGGTGTGGTCCAAGGTTTCTGGTTACCCTTGGTGGGCCTGTATGATTTCTTCAGATCCCCTGTTGAATACCCACACAAAAGTGAAAGGTATTTGAAATGATACTTTTTTTAATTAATGAAACAATGTGATTCTCTTAACAATTCAATGTTATGAGTTTTGAGATACTTCTTGATTTACATTTCAACAATTTATTTAGAGAAAGAATCATTGCTGTGGTTCAGTGACCAAATTTGTAAAGGAAATCACAGAATTTTCCTCATCCTTTGTCTTTAAAAAATGCAAGAAGAGACTGTCTAATCAGAAGCTAGGTGTACAGTGCAGCATGGGTTCACCTCAGACCTTTGAACAAATCTGTATTCAACCAGGGCACCCTAGAACTCTTGTGTGTGTTACAACCAAGTATGAAAACAACAGCAAATGGCATTTTTATATGTGGAGTCCTATGTCTTAGTGGTTAGAGCGCTCGCCTCGCAAGCGAGAGGACCTGGGTTTGATTCCCTGCCAGGCAAAATGTTAGGCAGGTTTCCTTACTCCACACACTTTTGTTTACTTAGCAGTAAGTAGGAACCCGGTTATAAGTCGATTGGCGGATCATTTTCCTGGGGATAATAATCCCTTCTAAAATATAAATAAAATGTCAATCCACGACTATTTGTGAGACACTGCTGTGTGCAATTGGCTGCTGTGTTGCGCCCACAAAATGTAGTCAATTCACTCTACCAGTATATTGCGTGAGGCGCTTTGAGACATCTCAAAGACGAAATAAGGCGCTATATTAAATGCAGGGATTATTATATAGCACCTTTCATCTCAGGAGGATGTCCCAAAGCGTTGGACAGTGAAAGGTTTGAACCCAAGCTGAGAGCTGGAGTCGAGAGAGGTGGGGCGGCAAGGGAAAGTGAATTAAATTTCTAATTTGTCAATTTTTATGCGTCCTAGATTTTAATGAATACAGTCAACTGTTGTCATCTTTTTAATTTGAACCATTCTATTGTGCTTATTCAGGTCTGAACAGGGCAATTGGTCGTCAGTACCATGTTCAGTTTTTTGGAGAAGCCCCGGAAAGAGCTTGGATTTTTGAGAAGAGTATAGTGCCCTTCGAAGGAGCTCAACAGTATGACCAGTTGATCCAAGACTGCGCCAAACATGCAACTTCCAAAGCTGAGAAAAACAAGGTAGAAAATTGTCTGGAGCTTAACAAAGTATAAAATGCTAAATCTGATTTTGGAACTAGCCACAATTTTCTTTATTTAATTACTGCACAAGTAGTAGTTCCAACCTTAGCAGGAAGTTAGCTGAAGTAACCTGGTGGACCAAAACCATTCTTAGAACTGTACGTATTTATTGAAATTGTCCTTCAAAATCCACATTACATTTCTTTACATTAATCGGAATATACCACTGATGCTGGAATTTTGTTTATGTATTTTTTTTAAGACTTCTCCAGCACAACCATTCTGAAGAAGGGTTCTACTTGAAATGCTACAGTATCTTCCTATTATGGATTGAAGCAATGTCCAATTTGTAATGTACATAAGCAAACTTGATCTAATCGGGTTAAATATAAACTACAGTTAAAATTATATCTCCTTGGAAGTAAGAGTATTTAAATGGATATAAACTGGACTTTTGAGTCCATGAGGTCGAGTACTCTCTGTGACACCATGTTATTTCCACCTATCCTAATCCTGTATTTTTTCTGTTACACAACAAAAGCAATGTAAATGTAAAGCAGAAAGAGCAATAAGGACTGAGAAACAGCTTGCCTTATGTTCCTTCCATAATACTATGGAAACTTGATGTTACAGCACACCCTTTGTTTCACTTGTTAAATATCTCAATATAAAAAAGTTGAATTGGAAAGGATTTTCACATCAAAGCTAGCAGTTGTTGCAAACCCATGAGACGTTCTTTGTGTGTGAGCCGAGATCGTGAGTGGTCAGACTTGAAAAAGTCTGGTGGGGGAGGTGCAACACAACCCGGCTCCATCCTGCCCTTGCATTGAACTTCCTGCAGAGGTCATCGAATAGCAATTCAAAATGAAAACCTTGGCTTTTTCCTCTTTCCCCTCTACTCCATATCCCATTTTTTAAAATCAAATTAGATGTTAATATTGGTCAATTTTTTTGGATCATCCAGGTGTCTGACTTATGTAGAAATTCATCACCATGCTAAGAGTAACCAGACAGTTCAACGCATGCTCCCTACTTCTGAAAATTCCCATGTTTGGAATGGAATACGCACTCTCCTGGCGAATGCCCTATTTCTGGAGAGGGTTAGGTGCAGGTTAGGTTAGCAAGTTCCAAGGCTTGGGGATGTCAGAGTGTTCATTGGGGTACTGCTGGAGTTTAAAGGGTTAAAATCACACAGCTTGGCAGTACTAAGACCACCATAGCAGGTTGATTACATTCCGACATTTCTCTGTCAAACACCTCATCTTGAAGCCAGTTCGCCTTGAAGAGAAACCCCAATAATATCTTCCCCCACTAGTGGGTCATCTGACATCCGACAAGCACAGGTTTGAGCCCCCTCACTAGGTGGAAGGCAGGTACCAAGAACTCCCTGCAAGATTCCTGGTGAGCAGCACAGACACATCTTTCATATACATACCTTGGAGACACCTTGAGTGATGGTTCCACCAATTGGAGGGGCAGAGCTTGAGCAACATTTGCTTACCTCTATGCATACCAGTCAGGGTCATTTCCAAGCCCTGGATATATGAACCCAGACTCCGTGTAACTCCTTCTTGTACCTGTCAAATGTTAATATTAATCCTGACATGAATATTTGAATATTAATCCTGGTATCTGTTTGTGGGACACTGCTGTGCGTAATTGGCTACCGGATTTCGGCCACAAAATAGTTACTACACTTTACAGTATTGTCTGTGAAACGCTTTGAGACGTCTCAAGGACTTGATAAGGCACTGTATGAAATGCTTTATCATTGGGCTCAACTTAAAACATTTTGTCTTTTTAAATATATTTGGTCTAGGGAGCCTGGAGGTCCCAGTAATTGTTTAAAATCTTGAGTGTTAAATGGTCATATCTACTATTGCAGGTTAATTGCAGTTCATAAGTGTCCTGCGTTATCAAACTAAAATAATTGCTATTCAGCAACTTTCTGAGGGTAAGCATATGTGTGCAATTGTTTTTTAGTGAGATTAATATTTGATTATAAGAATAATCGTTGCATTTGATCTCGCACATTATTGTGTCATTGAGTATCTGAAAGCGCTTCACAGAATATACTGTAAAGTGAATTGACTGTATATTTTGAGGATGTGCTGTGTAAAACCCATTACTGGAAAGTTTGAAGAGGTTTTATGTAATACTTCATCTTTCATTAATATCTTGTTTCTAAAATATGGAATCACTGAAACCTTTTGTTTTCCAGCTTTTAAAACCAATTCCTGCCAAAATACGTGTTCAGTGGGATGTTGGCATTTCCCAAGCTGAAGAAGCACTGATGATGACTCCCGAGGACCGAAAAGCTAAATATACTTTTGTCTACGATCATGACCGCCCACTACTACCTCCTCAGGTTGCAAAAGAAACTGGGGTTCCTGTTGAACGTATAGAAGGCAGGAAATACCCTGCTGAAGAATCTCTAAGTACTAAAGAAAATTTTGCGGACAGTAGAGGATCCAGAAAAAGAAATAGTAGCGTGCCAAATAAGAACAGGCGATGTTCCAAACCATCCGAGTCTCAAAAGACTCCAACTAAGCAATGTATAAATCGGACTGTAGAACCCAGTGAAGGTTCTCCATCTGAAAGGACAGTTTGTAGATCTTCAGACTCTGAGAGTGGAACTGGCTCCCCAATGACTAAGAGAAAATCTGGAGCACCCACTCAGCGGATCAGGAAATGTGATACTGCCTTCGCTCAGTTCATGGCCTTTTGTCAGAAACACCGAGATGAGGTTTGTCTGTATTGCATAAAGCCCTTTAAAATTAAGCTTATTTTGATCCTTAAGTTTTATTTCTTAACAAAATCAAATTTCTAGGTTTTCAGATTAGAAACAAATTGTCCAGTATTGTGGGGTTCAATTTATTGCTAGTATACCATATACTTTACATTTGAATGGCACCTTTTACATCTGCATTCACATTGTTGGCTGGGCACCCGAGATGGGCGAGTGAGCCGAGATGAGTGGGGAGGAGAAAGATGACTGAAAGCACAGTCAATGAGATGCATTTGAGACATGCCTTGAAAGAGGAGGAGTCGGAGTGAGGGATGGGTGGAGAAATACTGAAAGCCCCTTGGCAATGGGGGGGTGGGGAGAGGACATGAAGCAGGCTGCCACTTGCTTAGTGGCTGGGTCAGTAGGGTTGAAGAACATTGCAGCGGTAGCATGGGGCGAGACTGAGGAGCGATGTAATAAGTATAAGTTCCCCGTTACTTTCAACTGGAAATAACATGATAGCTTAAGTGCAAATTCTCCTGGTATACTTTTTGACTGATGGATACTGGATATTCCATAGATATTTAAATGACACATGTAGTCATGTAGCTTAGTGGTTAGAACACTCGCCTTGCAAGTTAGAAAACCCGGGTTCGATTCCTAGGCAGGACGAAACCTTAGGCAAGTTTCCTTACTTGTTTTCCTAGCAGTAAGAAGGAACCCAGTTATTAGTTGATTGGCAGATTGCCTTCCGAGGGTAATAATCCCTTCCAAAAAAATGGTCACTCAATCCACACCTGTTTGTGGGACACTGCTGTGCACAATTGGTTGCCACGTTTTGCCCACAAAATACACAGTCAATCCACTTTACAATATATTCTACAAAGCACTTTGAGATGTCTTGACAACGTGATAAGGGGCTATATTTAATACAAGGATTATATTATATTTTGGTTGCTTAAAGCTGTAGAGAGTTTTCTCTTGTGGTGCATCAAGGTTACAATTCTCTCTCTTTCCAAACCCTGACCATGGGGGCAGGTTTGCAGTTCCAGGAATGTAGTATGAAACATTCTACAGGAATAAAATATTTAGGCACTAATAATAATTCTTGCATTTGATATAGCACCTTTTCCTTTTCACATTGAGATGTCTCAAAGCGCTTCACTATATTAAACATTGAGTTTAAGTTTTTCCTCTTCAGAGGGTATGAGAAAGCTGAAGTTACTATATTGCCCAATTAGAGAGAAGGTGGAGTAAAAGCTGATCGTATTTTCTGAGATAAAAAAATGCAGCTTTTTATGCAGATCAGATTACAGCCTGAGTCTCGACTTCACTGAACAATTTTTGATGTATGCACAAACCAAAAAGTACAATTTGGGTGAAATTGCTAGTGTTGCTGCTGGTATTATTTTAATGAATAAGAAAGTGGAAGGTGTAGCATATAAACATTTATTTTGATGTAAGAGAACAATTTTAAATGTCTTCAAATTGCAAGTAGGAAACGAGGATTTCAAGTGATAAACATTAAGGTTTGCTGGAACAGATTTTCCCCTTGCAGCTATATGGCACAATTTTGGGGGAACAGTCTTCTAAACTGCACACTGCCCTAAAAGCATAAGTTTTTTAAAATTAGATGTACTATATAAAGTTGCTTGAAAACCTTTGATTGTATTGAACTCCATATAAGAATGTTGAGGCTTTTCAACATTCAAAAATAGTCAACGTCTTGAAACAGTATTTTGAGAAGGTTAATTTTGTTTTAACGGTCAAGGCTCTGCTGAAATTGGGAAATAATTCTGAAAATGTTGATATTTACAGTTAGCTGAAGAGCATCCAGATGCTTCCAGTGAAGAGATTGAAGAGCTGCTCGAGTCTCAGTGGGCTATGCTTAGTGATAAGCAGAGAGCTCGGTACAATACCAAGTTTTCTTTAGTGACTCCAGTAACTGATCACAAATCTCCTGCAGCTTCAGGTAAGAATAGATCATCAATGCAATAGTTTGATTCTACACTTTTAATTAATTGAAAGATAGGCAGCTGCTTCAAAGGGATAACCTTATTATTTTAAGCTTTTTTTAAAAAAGAAATCGTGTCAAATATCTTGATTTAAGTGTTCAGTTGTCCAAAGACCTACTGTACATTAAAATTGTATGTCAGTTTTTTAAATATTTTGTGAAGTATTAAGTAAAAAAAAAATTTCATAGTGTTGTAAAATTTACTCTTTTTTTAAATTTAAAATTAAGGTGAAAACTGCCAAAACACATACCAAATTACTGTAGTAGTTAGTTTAAATTTCTCTGGCTGCATCAGATTTATTGTAATTTAAAATGTTTAAGAATTCATAGTGTGCTGAAAGCAATTGTATTCTAGAAAAATTCACGTCCTAATATTAAAACTAGAAACCTAAAGCAATTGGGAAAAGCATTTCCAAAGCAACTTTTCCTATTGTACAGGATTTTCAGCAGCATCTCCTGGAGCTACCAGACGTAAAGTGTTGCAGGATTCCCCAAAGAGAACAACTAGATCAAGTGGTAGGTCAAATGGAGTTTTTCTTGCAGTCACTTATTTCATTTGTGTACGGTCTCTAGTGACTGTTTCACACATGTGAAAGAGGATCTGAGGGTTCACACATAACAGTGACACATTTCCATACCTCATGCAAGTATGATGGAAATATTTACACAGTCTGTATAAAATTATAATAACTGCCATGTCTAATACAATTCCTGGAGATGCTATTAGTGGTTAGTGCCATGGTTTTCAAAATTATAATTTCTTAACTGAAAGGGACAATCTTGGATCTTGGATTGGTAACTGAAAATCTTAGCAAAAAGCCTACATTTCCAAACTGACTAAGCATCCCTCCAGGCAGAGAGTGCGTGCGCATTCTATTCCAACAATCTATCTCTGGATTTGCGTGTGTAGGTGGGATGCATGGAAATCTCAGCTTGGTTTGAATACTCTTAAGCATGGTGGTGGGTTTTCGCATGTCAGACACTGGGCTGACCAAAACAAAAGCTACTAAGCTCAATTATATGCCTCTGTGTTGTTTTTAATAGTTAGTTCAGATTCAACTCGACAAAGAAGACTGTCCAGGAAAATAGTAGATTACAGGGAGGATTCTCCAGAGCGAATTGGCTCTAACAGAAGATTAAAGCGTGATTACTACGAGGATGAAAAGGTACTTATTGATTTAAAATCTATCTTCAAAATTTGTTTTTCACAATTATTATTTACATTTAATGAAAAGGGCAGAAATGGAAAACAAGCTTTTTAGGGAAAGCTAAAATCATTAGGAAGGTGAAGTAGAAAAATAACTCGTCATCAAGTGTGCTTCAACCAATGGAGTTGATCTATTTCAATCAGATGATGCTCAGCAGATATCAGCCTGGACTTGAGTATGTTTAACGACTATAGTAGCCTTTCATGTGTATGTAATTGCATTGTTTATTTCTTTCATGCTAAATTACTTTTTTTAAATCTTTTTATGCACAGTATGATTCCAATAATGCAAACCAAACTGAGGCATCTGTAAGTGATGGTATTGAGGCTGGAGAAACCTCTTCTGTTGTTAACGCACCCCAAAACAGCCAGTCAGGTAAAGTGAAGGCAACATGCCTCTGGAAAAATGAATTTTAGTATGCAAAATTATTTTGAAGAAATTGCCTTAATTTTGCTTTCTAATTTCTATTATGATCTATGAATCAAAATAAGCAGGGTGTACCTGTACTTCATTTTCGTTTTGACTGACCAGTCTTATATTACATGTTCTCTTTATGCAATTTTACAGATATAAGCAAACTTTCTGATGCATGTAAACCACTGAAAAAGAGAAGTCGAGCATCTACTACAGAAACTCTGGCACCAGCTGTCAGCAAGAATCCATCTCCTTTAACTGTGTTTACAGAAAATGAGGTAATGAAAAAGTAAGACGGTTGCATAGAACTGAACTGGCTTCATTATTCTGCACTCATAATCCAAAGAGGCAGGCTAGTGGTGATTTCTCCTCTGGGAACCATTAATGAACTTGTGTCCTTGCAATGTGAATGAGAGTAGCCACAGACTCTGCACAGCAAAACAGCATTGTTTTGAGTTGCAATTTGCAAGTTGGCCAATACTACTAAGTTGCGGGGCAGAGCGCACGGGCCGGGCTGGATATGAACATGAAGAAAAGAACCTTGAATTCAGTCCCATGGATGGGGAAACAGTGAAGCTAAATGAGTGGGGAACCTGGTGCAAGAGAGTGCACAAGTTTTTAAGATTGGTTTTGAAAGCAGCGAGGGATGGGAAAAGGCAGAGATGGATTTGGCAAGAGAGTTCCAGAATGACTGGTGTCTGAGGCTTCCCAGCCAATTGGGAGAGGGGGTGAGGCTGTGGAATAGGATTGAGGGAGGTTGCTGTGGTACAGAAGATGAGACTCTTGAAGTTGATCTGCTGGGCAAAAGGGAGCTGAACTGGCTCCAAGGTGACATGTTTGGCAACGTAATGTCAGGATCGAGCCCACCCTCTGTGGCAGACTTGGTAGTCCAATTCCTGAGCCAGGTGGGTCTGCAGTACGCCAGGGCACTGCTGATGACAGGTGGTAGGGTGGTCCTGGACAAGTTGCGGGAAGTTGCAGCTGGACAAGTTGCGGGAAGCTTGCCAGACAGTGATGTCAATAGCAAGCTACGCAGTTTTAGCTGGTTAAACTCCAGTCGTACACCAGCACACATTCTGGATCCCCAAGCCTTGGATCTGGCCAACCTGCGCATAATAATTTCCAGAATTAGGTAAGCAGGATGTGTCCCTCCAGCGAGAGAGTGCATTCCATTCCAATAAACATCTCTGGAATTTCCATGTGTAGGTGGGATGTATAAAAGTGCTACACAAATGTAATTTGTTGTTGTTATATGGAACTCTGGTTTGGGTACTCACAGATGAAGCCTCGGTTGGAGTTTCATCTGGATTTTCATCTGCTGACTCTGCATGTGTCAGACACCCAGCTGACCAAAAAAAAGTCAGTGCTGTGTCTGAGAGCTCATCACACATCAGCAAAGACTATGAATTGAATCTGTGCCTTTGTGGTATATGAATGAACCATGGGAATAAACAACAACTTGCATTGATATAGAAGCCTTCACACAGGATACTGTCTAAGAAACACAACTTGTTAAGCAACTGCTGAATTTATAAACATTGAATGGATATTAAAAATTTAATTACACCTACCAAACAGCTTATGTAAGATTTTTAAATCCAGACTGGGAGTAGAATTGTTACTGATTTGGTTCTATGTAAATTCCCCCAAACTACGTAGGTATGTTTGGTGCTTTAAGTGTTTCTTGGGGTTCACAGATAGAATAGTTTGCTTGTTTATACAATTACAGTTAACCTCACAAAAGTCGTATCAGTTGATGTATTTAATATGGCTTATGCAAAGTATGAGTTATGTCAAACTTGCATCGACTATAAACTCCTTAACAGGATTAGGGTAGCTGTACGACTCGGGCGATTATTCGATTTGTATAGGTCGAACTTATGAGAGTTTTAATGTATTGCTGTTCTTGAGTACTATTTTGACATTGTTTGAACTGGAGTTGTACTATTGTCATGTCATACTAGTCATACTAGTAAATGTAAGTATAAAAGTTATTTAAATTCACTTCGTCTTTTTGCCCTTATGTGCAGACATCATTTGATGGGCAGCTGGAGTCAGCAGATGAAAGTGCAGATGAGACTCCAACAGAGGCTTCATCTGTGTCATCCAAAAAATCCCAAGGAGAGCGAGGAGGCAGTGCAGCAGCTAAGAAAGAAAGTGTTTGTCAGGTGAGACGGACTTCAAGCATAAATACAGTTGAAAGAATTATAGCTGTTCGGTCAAGTGATCAATTTATTTCATGAGCAAGAAAGAAAACTCAAATCATGAGTGCTGCAGATGTGACTGCGTTCCATCCGTCTTTCTGACTTGAGATAAACACTACTGGTCGCTGGATATTCTTTTTATTATGTGCTTGACTTATGAATAAAGAAACTGGCTCCCTATTTGTGTGCGTTTTATTTTTTTTTTAATATTGGAAATCTGCGTGATGAAGGTACCTTCACTCAGGTGATAATACTGATATCCGAAGAATTTGAAGATATTTCACAATTTGGTTTACAGGTTAATAGTATGGAACAGAGAATTTCCAGATTTAATTTAAATCATATAGCATCTTAGTTTGCAAGTCCTCTGGATTTAATATAGCCTCATCAATCCCAGATTAAGACTGGATTCTTCTCTTCCCCTACTTTCCAACATGTACACACGCATGCATGCACAGAAATCATTTCAAGTCGGTGATTCTTCCATATGGTTTGAAAGAATGAAGATTGAAAATGAACTTATAATTGAAAAATATAAACTATTTTTAAAATGTTACTCCGTGGAAAATCACCATCTCGGCCGTGTAGCAACCTTTGTGGGCTGGTTTTATATATGTTGCATCAGAGAACATCTGTAAGCCAACACATCGAGAAATCCTTACACATTTACCAAATGTTATTTGAAGCTGCGGTTTGACTAGATTGGAAGAGGTTATTCTACCTTCAACGTGAACACAAATTGGACAAGTCCTTCCTCCTCACCCACTTCCTAAAGAAGTATTACTTTTGGGGACTTGTGCCTGGTATGTGGAGGATAACAAAGTAAAGTAGTAAGGTAGTTTACTCCATCGGGTGTTGAGCAGCACTATGTGCATTCTTTAAATGAAGTTAACCTGCACATACCAATTATTTGACCGTTTGCATGTCTTGGGGGCTTATTAAGTTCCTTAACTTGGGTTTATGAATTTCCTATACCTACATTATACACCTGTGTTTAACTTTTTTAAAAAACTGACAAATGAACATCAAGGTTAAACAGTTGAATGAGTTTATACTCATATTAAAAAAAAGTGAGAGAGCAATGGATTCCTTGTTGGTCTCCTTGCTTATTCCTCTTCTGCCTTGTCTTCTCTTATCAAAAAGAACTGAAGATTGCCTCGTGGGGTTACTGTAAATAGGGAACGGGAAGGGGGCGGTGGTGTGGTTCTGCCTGAAAGTCTTAAAGGGACAGGCGTCCCTAGTGATTTCCAATGTTGGTATGCTGACCTCACCCACGGTATGTGGAGGACTACTTCATTTGAAGAATGAGGAATACTGCACCTAAAGGTGAGTAATCTATCTTTCTTCTTAGTTTATTTTAATTTAAAAGCAGAATTTACATTTTTGTTTATCGGAGCTGAGGTGCAGTAGATTAAAACTAAATATAATTGTGCGTGGTTAAAGCTGGAGATTTATACTCAAGTATTTGAAATTCAGGAATGGCATACACACTATTCAAATGTCAAAACTAAGCTTGGATTGCTCACCTTTTAAAAAAATCTTGGTGCATGAAGGATTTATGTTGATTGTAATTTGAGGATATTATCCTTTCCATAGATTAATGCATGGTTCTTTTCTTCTTAAAGGTGTGCGAGAATGCTGGGGAACTGCTCTTTTGTGAAGGACAATGTTGTGGGGCTTTTCACTTGACCTGTCTCGGGCTGTCTAAAATGCCTCAAGGCAAATTCATGTGCAGTGAATGCCTGTCAGGTAATTTATTTTTATTATAAATGCTAAAGTCCTTTTAACATGAATTGAGAGGTTACATGCAGCGTTCCATTAAGGGTTGACAGTTAAATCCATACTCTGAAAATTATTATGAAATAAAGATTTGATCCTTTTTAATCAGAATATGGTCATTTGACAAAATTATTGGTGTGATAGCCATCAGAACTTGTGCTTCTTGATAATGTCAGTTTTAGTGTTCACGTGCCTTTTTATAATTGCTTTGACTAATTGTTAATGCCTTCTTTGCATTTTGCAACCTATTCTACATAATACAGTAATAAATATGCAGTGTCCTTCAATGCATCATTCATACAAAAATAGCTTATCTTAAAGAAAACTTTCCTTAGCTACAGACTTCCCACTTATCATAGAATTATACAGCATAGAAGGAGGCCATTTGGCCCATCGTGTCTGTGCCGGCTCTTTGAAAATAGCAATCCAATTCAATCCCACTCCTCCACTCTCTCCCCATAGCCCTGCAAACTTGTCCTCCGCAAAGAATTATCTACTTCTCTCTTAAAAGTTGTTATCAAATCGGCTTCCACCACCCTTTCAGGCAATGCATTAAGAGAGAAGTAGATAATTCTTTGGGGAGGACAAGTTTCAGGCAATGCACTGTCTGAAAAAAAATTTCTCACCTCCCCTATGTTTCTTTTAAATTGGTGCCCTTGGGTTACCGACCCACCCGCCAGTGGAAATAGTTTCTCTTTGTTCACTCCATCAAATCCCCATCATAATTTTGAAAACTTCTATTAAGTCTCTTAATCTTTTCTGCTCCAAGGAGACTAATCCTAGCTTCTCTAGCCTCTCCTCATAACTGAAGTCCCTCATTCCTGGTACCATCCTGGTAAATCTCCTTTGCACCCTCTCCAATGCCTTGACATCCTTCCAAAAGTGTGGGGCCCAGAACTGAACACAGTCTCTCGCTGAGGCCTAACCAGTGTTTTATAAAGATTGATCATAACTTCCTGATTTTTATATTGTATGCACCTATTTATAAAGCCCAGTATCCCGTATGCTTTTTTAACAGCTTTATCTACCTGTCCTGACACCTTCAAAGATTTACTTATATGAACCCCCTTCACCTCCTTTAAGATTGTACCATCATCTTATACTGCCTCTCATTTTTCTTCCCAAAATGCATCACTTTGTATTTCTCCACATCAAACTTCATCTGCCACATGTCTGCCCATTTTACCAGTCTGTCTATGTCCTTTTGCCATATGCTACTATCCTTCTCACTGTTTACTACTTTTCCCAGCTTAGTATCATCTGCAAACTTGGAAATTGTACTCCCTATACCGAAGACCAAGTCTCAATATTGACTGCTGAGGGGGACACCATTGCACACTTCCCTCTAGTCAGAAAAACAACTGTTCACCACCACTCTCTGCTTTCTGGCTCCTAGACAGTTCCATGCTGCCACTGTCCCTTTAATACCGTGGGCTTTTATTTTGCTTACAAGTCTCTTATGTGGCACTTTTATCAAACACCTTTTGAAAATCCATATAAACTACATCAACTGCACTACCTTCATCCACACTCTCCATTGCTTCATCAAAAAACTTATCAGATTTGTTAGACATGATTTGCCTTTAACAAATCCGTGTTGGTTGTCCTTTATTAACCCATATTTTTCTATGTGAAAATTTATTTTGTCCTGGATTATAGTCACTAGAAGTTTTTCCCCACTACTGACGTTGCCTTCGTTCCTCCGGGTCTGGCCTCCTCCTCGTCCCCCGAGTCCTCCACTCCACCCTCGGCGGCCATGCCTTCAGGCACTATGCCCCGAGGCACTGGAACTGCCTTCCTCATTCCCTTCGTCTCGCTCCCTCCCTTCCCATTTTCAGGTCTCTGCTGAAGACCTTTCTTTTCAACCGCGCCTTGGTCACCTTCCTCCCCCTCCCCCTGGCACAGTCCCATCCGGCGTGGAGGGCGCTATATAAATCCAAGTTGTTGTCGTTGTAGGCTGACTGGCCTGTAATTCCCGGGTTTATCCTTCTGCCCCTTTTTGTGCAGGGGAGTAACATTCGCAACTTTCCAATTCTTTTATTTCCTTTCCCTTAGTAACTTAGGATGCATCCTGTCCAGACCGGGTGACTTATCTACCTTGAGCACCGACAACCTTTTCAGTACATCTTCTCTGTTTATTCTTATCCTATCCAATTTCTCTACCCTCTCCTCCGATACTGTGGCATTGGCTACATCTCTACTTTTGTGAAGACAGATGCAAAGTACTCATTCAGTACGTCAGCCATGCCCTCTGCCTCCACAAGAAGATTTCTTCTTTGGTCCCTAATTGGACCCTCCCAACCTTTGACTAACCTTTTTATTCTTTGTCTCAAGACCCTCCTCATCAACCGTGCTTTCGATCTCCCTGCTTTCCCCTCTGCCCTCCACCCTCCCCGACCCCCAGCTCGGGTCTGTAACTGTCTGTCCAGCACCTCGTAAAGTCCTCCCGAAGTGAAAGGCGCTTTACAAATATAATTTTGTTGTTTATATGTTTATAAAATACCTTAGGGTTCCCTTTTATGTTGCCTCCTAATCTTTTCTCATACGATCTCTTTGCCCCTCTTATTTCCTTTTTCAGTTATCCTCTCTGTACTTTCTATATTATATTTGATTATCTTCTATATTTTGGACCTGTCATTTATCAATAAGCCTCCTTTGTCTGTTTTATTTTAATCCCAATTTCCTTATTCATCCAGGGAGGTTTGGATTCCTTACCTTTCCCCTTTGTGGGAATGTATTTGTCCCCAAACTATCTCCTCCTTGAAGGCTTCCCATTGCTTATTAGCTTTTTTACCTGCCAATCTTTCTTTCCAGTCCACCTTGGCTAGGTCCCTTTTTAACTCACTGAAATTAATCCTCTTCCAGTTGAGTATCTTCACCTTTGATTGCTCCTTGTCCCTTTCCATAAGTACTCCAAACCTAATGATGTTGTGATAACTGTTGTCCACATGCTCTCCTACTGAAACCTGCTCCACTTCATTCCCCAGAACTAGATCCAGCACTGCTTCCTTCCTCATTGGGCTGGAAACATACTGATCCAGAAAGTTATCCTGCACACATTTTAGGAATCCTTGCCCTTTACCCTGTTATTTTGCCAGGCTGTTAGGATAATTGAAATCCCCCCTTATTGGTTTTGCATCTTTTTGAAATCTGCTTGTAGATTTGCTTGTCTATCTCCTTCCCACTATTTGTGGTCTATAGTCTACACCTAACAAAGTAACAGCTCCTTTTCTGCTCCTTAACCCTAACCAAAGAGATTCTGTTGTTTGATCCTCTAGCACATCATCCTTTTCTAGGGCCGTAACTTTGTCTTTAATCAGTATTGCCACCCCCCTCTTTTTTTCCTTCCATTTCCCTCCTGAATACATTGTAACTTCATTTGCATTTTCCATTTTCCAATGGTGTTTAACCATTGAGTGAGTGAACTATTGCAGGTGCCAGTTTCAAACCCTGGTCTTTTCTGAGTTATCTGATCTTCCTTCACATCGCTGGTGACCCAGAAGGCCACCAATTTTTTAGTGTGTGAAGCTACATGTACCACACTTCTTCCAATCAAATAAAATAATAATCCTTGCATTTAATATAACGCTTTCATGTCAGGAGGACATCTCAAAGTACTGTGGAGAGACTGTATTTTGTGGGCGAATATGACAGCCAAGTTACGCACAACAATGCCCTACAAACAGTCATGCAGTAAATGACCAATTTTATTTGGATTGTCGGTGGCTAGCACATCAGGAGAAATTACCTTTTAGTTTTTAATTGTGAAGTGGGATCATCAGTGTCTGTGACAGTACAACGCAAAACATCAGCATAGCATAATTACTTACACTTTACCTGGTTCCGTGAAATGCTTTGCAATGTTTCCACGTTATAGTGCTATAATCAGTTTCAACAGCTATTACTCTCTTTTCACACTGATCCCAAAAAAGTTTTTAAGCCAGCAATTGACTGGCCACAATAGGAAGAAGGTGAACAAATTGTTGTTTTGTATTATGTGCATTACAGAACTATCATTATTTCATACGTTCAGGGGTTTTAACTTGTGCTGCTATAATTTTGCTAGAACAAGTAGTTGATCTGTTTATGCTATGCTTGTTTGTGTTTTGTTTTCTGTTTCCATTGTAACATGCATCACCTGTGTGATCATAGGAATTTTCCTTATGCTTCTTTGTGTTTTTGTTTTCATTTTGCACACACTTGTTTTGCTTTTGCACCTTCAATCCTAACACAAGTATAATATTTTGAAGTTGACAGCTCTGTCCCCATGCTACTTATAAAGCTATGTGATGAGGTGGGGTAGTGTGATCATTTCAGTACATCTTATTGCTGCTACGTGACTGATCAAGTTGCCTGACTTGAAACTCACAGCAGTTGCAACTGCTTACAAGACCTGTTTCTGCCATGGATTTTACCAGGTGAAGTTCAGTTCATTGTTACAGCATGATATATAAGCACAACAAAGCAAAAGATATTGCACAATATTTGTCTGTTGCTATTAACAAGCTGCTTTAGCAAGTATAAAGAGGGTAAAGATTTATTTTGGAGACAGCCCTGTATAAAGCTTTGGACTTTTTTTTTTCTTCCTCCCCCCCCCCCCCCCAATTTTAAACGTCAGCCAGAACCTGTGTCCAAACTGGTGTAATCTCTTTGCATACATATTTTCCCAGTTCTCTGCTGGTTCAAGTGCTTTATACAATTAAAGCACTCTGACTTGGTGCAGAAAAGTTGCTTACTGGCTGAGTTGCTTGGCCACATTTTCCTACGTTATTCATGTCAGGCTTCCAATTGACTGCCATGTCACACAAATTTGCTTCAGGCACTGATGACAGGGAGTGAAGATTCTATGAGATAAGATGAGCAACTAACATTTCAAGTTCATTTGTAAAAATAGTGTTGGTCTCTGTTACAGTAGTTATAATTCTTCAGAAACTAATGTGACTTTGGTAATGTATATTTGATAACATCTCTCAGGCACTAAATCAGCTTAAACATATTTACATGAACACATTTTTAAATAGTTCACAACCGAGTACTTCAACCGATTCTGAAAACTGTAAAGAGCAATCAATAACTGCAGTTTTATACATACATCAGCTTTTAAGCACTAAATATTAAATAGTGAGGTATTTTGATTTTACTTGTTTTTTAAGAAAATTTGCTTCTGTGCCAATTTTAAGGTATGTGTCTTAAGCGTTTCTGTGTTTTTCTTTTTATTATGTATTTATTTTGTGCAGGTGTTCACACTTGTTTTGTGTGTAAGAAGAATGGGCCTGATGTTAAACGTTGCATTGTTCCTCTGTGTGGCAAGTTCTACCACGAGGACTGTGTGAGAAAATACCCCCCAACTGTGTTTGAGAACAAGAGATTTCGATGCCCACTGCACAGTTGTATCAGCTGCCATGCCACAAACGCCACAAACCCCTCTAACCCCAGGGTAACAAAAGGTGCAAAACCCCTAGGATAAGTGAAAATTCCTTAGAGCACAGATTTGTTAAAAAGCATTGTAATTTTTTTTAAATTTGCTTAAATGTTGAAGTTTGTATGACAGGGTTTCAACTTTAGATAAGCTATAAAATTAGGTACAGTATTGAGGTGTAGTATAATGGGAATTGGCTCAAAACAGCATATTATAAAAGAAACGCGGTAAGTTTTGCTTACACTACTTAAAACTAACTTAAGATGCAGTATAATTGTACTGCCAATTCTAAAAGACCACTGTCATACGACAGAATTATCATATATGTACCTTCTGTACCAAGTCCCTGAACTGGTTTAGTCACAGTGGAATAAAACAATATTTTCAATAAACTCCCAATTTGACTTATGTGCATCTAAACTGCTATTGCTTAGTCTGAAACCTACCTTAGGGGACGAGTGGGTACGATATTAAAAGCCAAGACATGACTATACTTGCTAAAGTAGAGCTATTGTGTTGTGTGTGTGTGTGTGTGTGTGTGTACAATTGATGAGAAATATCTTAAAGCTCCATTTCCCCATTTATTGTTTTAAATCCTTTTAGGAAGTCCTCATTTATTTCTCCTTTGAAAATGTAGACTGTTTTCAATGCACTTCATGACTGTGAGGCGATGCACCCTTGTTATCAGTTCTCAGCAGTTTTTAAATTTATTCTGTCTGCAATTAAATATAGAAATCCATAGGAAAGCCAACCAAGTCACTTCTACAACAATTATACAAATGTAAAGCTAATAACTGGTTTATTTCTAATGCTGGAAAAGCTTGTCATTGCATTACTTGAAATTGTTTGATTTCTCTTACAATTTGTATCTGCTACATTGATCATTAGCAGGCCCTCAAGACCTGTACAATATAAATTAAAACTTACATCTTTGGAACTGAATACACTTAATATTTTCAAACTAGTAAAAGTGACAAATTCAAATATGCATCATAATGTTCTGCGTAATTATTGTGTATTTGCAGTTCCTCTGAAAAATGGTTCAGATTAAAAATTATTCTTAACAATGAAAATTACAACGGTTAACAGCAAGCCTCAAATGTGTCATTTAAAAATGGAGGCTATTTCTACTTAAAGAAGAAAAATACAGTTCTTCAGACTTAAGTATTTCCAAGGGTCTTTTTAAAACTAGTTTTGGTACATTTCAATAACAAATATGGGTGAATGGAGCTTTAGGAAGCTTGCAGTTATATTTAAAGCATAATGCTAAATTTTCTCTGTATCCTATCAGGAAGAATGATGCGGTGTGTCCGCTGTCCTGTTGCTTATCATGGAGGAGAGACCTGTATTGCGGCAGGTTCTGTGGTGCTGGCAGCAAACAGTATTATCTGCACCAGCCATTTTGTTCCAAAAAAGGGCTATAGTCACCATGCTCATGTTAATGTCAGCTGGTGCTTTGTGTGTTCAAAAGGTAAGTTTAACTACTTTTACTTTTTTACTTGTCCTTGCATTACTTGAAATTGTTTGATTTCTCTTACAATTTGTATCTGCTGCATTGATATTTAGCAGGCCCTCAAGACCTGTACAATATAAATTAAAACTTACATCTTTGGGACTGAATACATTTAATATTTCCAAACTAATAAAAGTAACAAATTCAAATATGCATCATTTGTTTTGAAATTAAATTTAAACTTGAAAATAAAGTATTTAAGTAGATCCTAGAAAGTTACAACACACGTGTTTTGGTCAGCTGACACATGCAGAAACTCATCATGGTGCTTAAGAGTCTGAACCAAACTACCAAGGGTTCTCCATATGTATGGCTTGGCAAAAAGCAGTTTTTTGGGGGTCCAAATCTGAACTGATGTTTTTTCCCCACATTTGACACTTAATATCTAACCCTACTTCCTTGCCTGTTCTCTTTGTGCTGCATGTGCCCCTAAATTGTTTGATAATGCTCTTTTGCAAATATGTGTGCATGTGTGTATATATATATTATATATATATATGCATAGTCTCTTCAGTAACTGTCTACCATTCGAAAAAGTGCTGGGAGTTTCTCACAGTATCCTGGCCAGCAATGCCCCAAATAAAATTGGTCGTTCACTTCATGGCTGTTTGTGGGATGTTGCTGTGAGCAAATTAGCTACTGTGTAAAATCTTGTGAAGTGCTTTTGAGACGTCTCAACAACTGATAAGGAACTGTATCAAATGCAAGGATTATTATTATTATAAATAAAGAACGTATCTCATTATTTCACATTCAGTGTATGGAGTCCGAATCCATTTGTAGAAAAATATCACTGGTTTTCATAAAATTCCATTAATCTAACGCCCTGGACTACTTAGTTGGCTGAACACCAAATGCAAAAGGTTCTAAGTCGAAATTCCAGTGGATCTGTTCGGCTCTCCACTCTTCAGGATTTTAAAATGAGTACTCTGTCTGCTAATGTGGTGATGGGAAAAAGATAAATTGGAATCTGCCTGTGGCTCCACATGGTCACATCTGTCACTATCTAAGCTGGTATGCAATAATACAAAGTACTGTTGATAATTGATCATCTGAACTGGCTCATCAATGAAGCTGGGAGATATAGTGTAGATGTAGTGTAGTACAGAGAAATCCTCAACTCTGAGCCTTAATTCGTAGCTGACTCCGGCCTGGATAAGTACAAGCTGTACCTTTTTATATTAATGGAAAAGGAGAGCTGCTGGTCAGAGGATTGAGCAAGTCATCAAGGTTGCTCCCAGAGACAAACTGAACCAAAGCACAGGCAAAAAGGTATCTGTGTTTTGAAATTCACAAAACCTTCTTCCACTCTTACTGTAAAAGGTTATTTTTGTTTGATGAATAATGGATTTTGTGTTATAGATTTCTCTAAAGGTCTTGTATTTCCTGCAGGGGGCAGCCTGTTGTGCTGTGAGTCCTGTCCAGCCGCATTTCACCCGGAGTGCCTCAATATTGACATGCCAGAAGGCAGCTGGTATTGCAATGATTGCAAAGCAGGCAAGAAACCACACTATAAAGACATCATATGGGTGAAACTGGGAAGCTATAGGTCAGTTCAAACAACTTTTTTGTTTCATGTGAACTATGAAAATGCATTACGAAGGTATAAATTAAATACATAATTCCAATGGCAGGAAACCGTTTGAGTCCCAGAGTCATTTTTCCTCATCCTCACTTATAAAGCTCTCCACGGCCTTGCTCCTCCCTACCTCGGTGACCTATTAACACCATACCAACCTCTCCACTCAGCATCCACTGGCCTGCTTTATGTTCCCTGGTCTGCTTCATGTTCCCCACCCTGCTCACCTCACCATTGGCAGCCAGTCCTTCAGCTTTTCTGCCACCACTCTCTGGAACTCGATCCAGGAATCCCTCTGTCTCGCCCCTTTCCTTGCCTTCTTCAAGGCCCTTCTCAAGACTTTCCTCTTTGATCGTGCTTTCGGCCGCCCTCCCATCCACCCCTCTTGATTCCAAACCCCAATTCGGGTGCAAACCCTTAACTGTCCAGCGCCTTGAGGTGCCCTTCTGACATGAAAGGCACAATATAAATATAATTTTTTTGTTTTGAAAAATCTAATGTTATATTTATAAGGAATTGTTACCGTGTAATCTATATCACTTAGTGTTGTGCTGGGGTAAAACCTCAGTGTTTATTCGGAGGAATGCTGACCAGTGATTTCATGTTGAGATAATATAAATTGGGAAGTTAAAATGAAAGTAATTTGAATAAATACAAAGAGTGAGCATTTTAATGCATTTTAAAATAAGAAAGAACGCTTGCTGATTAGTTGTGCTTTTCTATCTCCATTTGCAGAGATTGGCTATAATTCAGTTTCATTCTGTCACATTGCAATACAGAAAATACTGGAAATCTGAAATAAAAGCAGAAAATGGTGAATGTGCACTGCACATTTACCAGAATAAAATGAATGTATACTTGAAATATTAACCTGAAGTTTTTAGTTGAACGATCTTTGTTCTACTTCATATCCCCCGCCCTTATCCACCCCATTGGGTGGGTCTTCAGCCATTTACCCTGCTCTCTGGAATTCTGTCCTGGATATGAATTGTGTATAATTGCCTGACATTTTCATTGTAAATATTGCTGAATTGTGTTGCTATAATATTTGGAAACTGAATGGATTTTTATGTGTTTCTGGAGACTAGAGTTGATTTGTTTTGATGCTTTGCTTCATTTGACTGAAGTTGAAAACCTCTTTAAGATCATGTTTTTGAAACGAATATCTCAAATAATTTTTTCCCCCCCCGAATACAGGTGGTGGCCAGCAGAGATCTGCCACCCAAGGAGCGTTCCCACAAACATTCAGAATATGAAACATGAGATTGGAGAGTTTCCAGTTCATTTCTTTGGATCAAACGACTACTTTTGGACTCATCGGGCACGTGTGTTTCCCTATATGGAAGGGGATAAAGGATGCAAAGACAACAAAATCAAAGGCCTCAGCAAAGCCTTCAAAAAAGGTACTATAATGAAAGTAATGGTTAATTGAAAATATTTTTGTGTTTTTAGGCTCTCGACTTCGCGAATAGCTGAAATGGTCACTGCATTATCATTTGGAATAAGAAAACCATGTTAAACAAAATACTATAATTCAGAGTTTTGAGTTATAATTGTTGAAATAATAGCTGAAAGGGAGTATTTCATGCTTCAGTTATCAATTACTGAGGTTTCACACTGGCTCAGTAAGATGGAGTGAGCTTCCATAAGGTTCAAGGAGAGCCTTGGTTTTACTGACGTTTGGCTAAAGAAAGTTGGAACTCATCCAGGACGTGATGTTTATCCAGCAATTGGTCAGAACAGCAGTAGTCCTGGAATCATGGGTAGAGGCAAATAGAGAGTGTTGGGTCAAATCAGCATTCGTGTGGAAATGAACTCTAGGCTCACGGGTGATATCACTTAAGGAGAGCAAATAGATAGTGGAGAGGACCTTGGATAAATCCCTGAGGAATGCCGCAAGAGACTGTTCAGGTATGGGAGGAGAACTATTTGAAGAGGCGCGCTGAAGATGCTGGGATAGATTAGAATGAAACCAGGAAAGGATCAGAAGTGGAAGTGGAGCAAGAAGTATAGACTGAAGAAGGAAAGAGTGGGTCGACCAGCAAAGAGAGTAAGGAGAACATAAGAATTTGCTCAGTGAAAGAAAACCAAGATCCATCTAGTTTGCCTTCCACAATCCTAGCAGTCGCTTGACATGTCGTATCCCAAACTATATATTGTATCCTGAGATACTATTTTCTAGCAGAAATAGATCTTTTTTTCTTGAAAGAAACTATATTTTCTGCTTCCACTGACCGTAGGAAGCCTGTTCCATAAGTTTACTACTCGCTGACTGAAGTAGTGTTTCCGCAGATTTGTTCTGGTTCTACTGTTCACTACAAGATAAAACAGTTTATCATGGTCTAAATCATCTATTCCCTTCAGAATCTAAAAGACCATAATCATATTGCTGCTCAACCTTCTCCTTCAGTGTGAACGTCTCCAGTTTACTTAATCGTAGTCCCGTCACTCCATCCCCTCAAACAGTTTGGTTGCCCTCCTCTGTATCCTCTCAATCACGGCAATATCCTTTTTATATTGCGGTGATCAGAGCTGCATACGGTATTCCAAGTGCAGTTGCACCAGTAATTTATAAAGCGGCAGTTTTACCTCACTATTTCGTCTCAATATCGCCCTTTTGATACAGCCCAGCATCTCGCTTGCCTTACTCACTGCTACTGATCACTGTTGCGATAGCTTCAATTTATTGGGAGGAGAGAAATGGGGGCAAAGTAGTGTAAGGAAGGGGAAGTGGTAGGAGCCGTGGCGGAGGGAGACGCTGGTGTGGATGATCTGGGTGGGTGGAAGGGGACGTGGGGGGGGGGTGGGGTTGTGGTAGGACGATGCAGCCAAGCAGATATTTTCATTCTTTGAGGCGAAGAAGTCTAGGACCTCTTCACACCTGCCATTTTATGTGAGGATAGAGGGAGTTTGAGCGGGTGCACGGAGGAGGTGATAGACAGTGGGAAACGGTGTATTTAGGTTGTTTTTGGCCTCCAGGATGACTTTAGAGTAAAAGTCAGTTTTGGCCTGTGAAAGGGAGAGGCAGTAGGCAAGGAGGTGTTCAAGCTACAGCTGGCGGTGAATCACGGGGACGGATTTTTGCCATCTGTGTTAGAAAATCCGGGTTTGTGTTTTAAATGAGTAGACATGACTTATACCAGGGGGAGTGAGTGGATTTGGAAACAGTGGATTTCAGGGGAGCCAGGGAATTGAATGTTGTGGAGAGACGGTCAACAGCTTGATGGTAGCATCAGGATCGCTGCGAGTGGAGGACCAGAGGGAGGGAAGGTCCGAGGGAGAGAGGGCATTTGTGAAGGACATGGGGAAACTTTTTCCAAGGGTGGAAAAAAATGGTGGAGGGCTTGGAAGAGGCGAGGGGGATGCGGGAGGAGAGGGAGATGAGGAAATGGTCCGAGGTGGCCTTGTCCGTAATCGGAAATGTCTCGGCCATGTGTAATGACGAGGTCGAGGGGGTGGCCACAGTAGTGGGTCGACGAGTTGATGTGGAGGGTGAGCTTTAGGGAGGAGAGGGCAGTGAAATCTGAGGAGATGATGCAAGAGTAGTTGAGGTGGAGATTGAAATCACCCATTATGAGCAGGTGTTCAGTGCAGTGGGACAGGGATGAGAGGAGAGAGGAGATATCAGTGAGGAAGGAGCCAGGAGATCATACCTCCTCCAGTAAACTAGGAGGATTTTGAGGAGAGAGAGGAGGGATGGTAGAGGGTGAGGTGCTCAAAGGAGGAGAAACAGCCAGAGTAATAGGGGGATAGACCAAGGGAAGTTTGGGAAATGAATGCCACCCCGCTGCCACTTTGGATGAGGTGTGGGGAAAATTGTAGCCAGAAGGGGAGGCTTCAATGAGGGGGGGAGAGCCAGGTTTCCCTAAGCCCAAGAATATTGATGTGCTCATCTAGGATGAGAACATGGATAGTAAGTGCTTCATTATGGATAGGTATGCTGGTGAGGGTTGGGTGGGGGAATGGAAGAGAGAGTGGTATAGAGAGGCTACTGTGCCAGTGGAGAGGGAGAGGTTGATATTGTCGGCTAGAAGGGGAACGAGGTGGGGAAGGAATCTTGATGGCTAGCAGATCGTCTTTCATTTCCAGTTGCCACAAGCCTGTTTTCTTTAGCAGCACAATCAGTTGTCACTTTTTATGATCATAAAGTGAACATTTGTACTTCATTACAATGTTTTTAATGAAAATAATATTGCAGCTTTACAGGAAGCTGGAGACCGTTTTCAGGATCTCAAAGCTCAGCGAGAGACGAGAGAGGCTCAGGAAAATGAGCGCAATGGTAGAAAACCTCCACCGTATAAACCCATAAAGGTAGGAATGCAATAGTCAACTGTTTTATTTGCTTTACCCTTTTACTAAAGACACTGGCATATGGAATATGGGCTGCTCTCCAGCACTTGCCCAAAATTACCATTCGTGTGCAAGTATTGACAGCGAATAGAATCATAGATATTTGAGCACAGAAGTATACCATCTGGCCATTGTACTGGTGCGTGAATATTGGCAAGATTTTTTTTTAATGGAGCTGATCCTGTCCTCTTAGCTTGCTCGCACTTCAGTTACTTCTGATGAGTGAGTTCTGAAAAGGTGTATAGATAAATGTTTTACATATTCCCCCTTTATAATGTTGTGTTGTATTTTAGCATGTTCTTTATGAAAAGGTATTGTTAAAAAAAGTGAAAACGAGTTACATATAATTGTATACTATATGTGAATAAAGCTATTGTATTCAAATTGGTTAATTGTGCATTCATTTCAACACTATAAATTACTTCTATTTTTGAGTTTCGATGAGTTTTTAATTATTTTCTTCTTTGGCTTCAAAAGATCAATAAATCTTTTGGAAGAGTGCAGATATACACAGCTGATATTTCAGAGATCCCAAGGTGCAACTGTAAGCCTACTGATGACAACCCATGTGGCCTGGATTCAGAGTGTCTGAACAGAATGTTAATGTATGAATGTCATCCATCTGTCTGCCCAGCTGCTGGACAATGCCAAAACCAGTGCTTTACCAAACGTCAATACCCTGAAACTCAGGTTGTCAAAACTGTTGGAAAGGGTTGGGGCCTGATTTCAAAGACAGGTATAAAAAAGGTAAGTAATTGTTGCACTTTCCTTTTTTTCCTTTTCTCTTTAAGTGTATTTATGATCATGATCATGCCATTTATCAGCTATAACTATTTTCTTGTGTTACCCTAAGTCACTCAACTCCCATGGGCTACAAAGATTAGTGAAGAATAATTGGAACACTATTAAATTGTTTTCAGTATTTTTCATAATGTTTTCTCTACCCAGAAATTGCTTAATCAAGCAGCATCAATATGAGGCAGTCCCAACGGTACTGCTTTCCTGATGCCCCTGAAATGCAATATCATACTGTTAGGACGTCAGTTGAAAACTGCAGTGTCCAACTTTTTTGATATGCCTCTTTAGGTGCTTCCTATAAGATAAAAAATTATTGATGAATTTCTGTATTTTGACACAGTAACTATTAGAGTTACAGAATAACAGTGGGAGAGATCTGGAAGAGGATCAGTAAAACCATAGGATTTGATGGCACACAGAGGCCATTCAATCCATCATTTCTGTGCCAGTTCACTCCAAAACAATCCTTTAATTCTTGTTTACATGGCCTTGCCCCAAACCCCTAGAGCTGATTCTTTTAAGGTATTCTTAAAAGCTAATATGATTCTGCCTCAATCACCGCTTCTGGTAGGCATTCCATATTATAACTTCTGTGTTAAAAATTCTCGAAACCTCCTCTACTTGCATGTTTACTAATTATCATAAATTGATGCCCTCGAATTACTGCCATTAGGTGGGGAATGACTTGTAGCATATCTGGAAGGGCAGCTATTTGGGATTGGAAGTATGCTATTCTAATGAACAATCTNAAAAAAAAGGTTTTGAAATGTGAAAATGGCTTTTTCTTGCTTGAAAATGTTCCATCAGTGCATGTTTTGATTCCTCCAGGGAGTATTTGTAAATGAGTACATTGGAGAAGTGATTGACGAGGATGAGTGCCGAGCAAGAATTCGATTTGCCCAGGAACATGATATCGCCAATTTCTACATGCTCACTCTTGATAAGGTATTGGAGAGAAAAAATTCAATCTTACATTAAGTTAACTTCCATCAAATTATTTGGATGGGGGAATTTAAGCAAGTGATTATTTTAAAGTGAGAGAATGGTTTGGATTTGTTGAATATTTTCTTTACAATCCATCACCTCCTCCATGCACATCCTCAAGCCCCCTCCTCACAGTCAGAGATCTTAGACTTCTTTACTTCAAAGATTGAAAACATCTGCTTGGCTGCATCGTCCTTTCCCCCCCCCCCCACCTCTCCCATGTCTCCTTCCACCCCACTCAGACCATCCACGCCCCCTTCTCCCTCTGCCACGGCTCCTGCCACTCCTCCCTCCTTACACTCCTTTGCCCTCATTTCTCCCTCCTCCCAATCAACCTCAATCACCCAGATGAAGTTCACAACCTGCTGCCTCGACCCTCTCCCCACCCAGCTGCTAGTCACTCAACTCCTTTTCTCCCCCTGCTGGCCGACACGGTCAACCAGCCACTCTCCTCAGACTCTGTTCCACTCCCCCTGAAAACCGCTGTTAACACACCCCTCCTCAAAAACCACCCTCGATCCCTCTAATCTCTCACACTACCATCCCATTTCCAACCTACCCTTTCTTGCTAAGGTCTTGGAACGCATTGTTGTAGGTCAACTTTGGTCACATCTCTCCCTCCACTCCCTCCTCGAGTCCCTGCAGTCTGGTTTCCACCCTGCCCACAGCACAGAGACAGCGCTTATCAAAGTCACAAACAACGTCCTCTCTTATCTGACCAGAGCTCTCTCTGGCTCCTCGTCCTCCTGGACTCTGCCACGTTCGACACAGTCAACCACGCCATTCTCCTCCACCGCCTCTCCTCCCTCATCCACCTCAGTGGGACCACACTTGCCTGGTTTGAGTCCTACTTAATCAACCGCCTCCATTTCATCTTGGCAAATGGTTTCTCCTCCTGCCCCCGCCCCATCACCTGTGGGGCACCCCAGTTCTGGACAGGCTCCACTGGCTCCCCATCATCAACTTCAAGATCCTCACACTCGTGTTCAAATCCCTTCTCTCTGACACGTCCCTACCTCTCCGACCTCCTCACTCTCCAATCCACCACCCGGCGCCTCCGCTCGACTCACAACAGCCTCCTGCTCAGCCCTCTCACCCTCTGCCCCACCATCGGAGGTTTAACTCTCAGCCACTACACCCCGAAACTCTGGAACATTCTCCCTGACTCCCTCCTCCTTGCCCCGTCTCTCCTCTTTTTCAAGTCCCGCCTAAAAACCTTCCTCTTCAACCGTGCGTACGCCCCCCCCCCCACTCCCCCCGGTTTGGAGTCAGGTTCCACCACTGTTAAGCACGCTGAGACACTACCCTCAGCAGAGGGCACTATATAAGTGCACGGTGTTGTTGTAATTGATTGTATTGGTGCTAAAGTCTTTGTTTACCTATCAGTAAGTAGAAACCCTTGTTAGTCGATTGGCGGATCACTTTTCCAGGAGTAATAATTCCTTTTTTTTAAAAAAAATTGGTCACTTCAATCCATGATTGTTTGTGGGACACTGCTGTGTGCAATTGGCTGCTGCATTTCACCCACAAATATATACAATCAATTTACTTTACATGTGAAGTGCTTTCAGTCGTCTCCAAGATGTGATTAGGCGCTATATCAAAAGCAAGGATTATTATTATAAAGTTTTGAAAGATCAATATTGGCCCAGATCTTATTCCAAGGTATCTAAAAGGTATCTAAAATTATTTTATACTGTACTTAAGTAAAAAATTTTGTTAGGTAATTGCTTTCCAGTAGCATAATGGGAGTACAATACAAAATTACATTTGTATAGCACCTTTCAGGTGCATTTGTATAGCACCTTCCATTGGTCACTTCAATCCATGACTGCTTGTGGGACACTGCTGGGCGCAATTGACTGCAGTGTTTTGCCCACCAAAAAAAAGTCAATTCACGTTACAGTATATTCTATAAAGCGCTTTGAGACGTCTTGAAGAGGTGATGAGGCGCTATATCAAATGCAAGGATGATTATTATTATTATCATTATACCCCATATACCTATGCACTAACAAAGTATAACCAAGTGCTTAGATGTTGCACAAATAGAGATATAAACAGGGCTTAAAAAATGACCACAAACATTAAAGGATGGAAATAATAGTAACTAAGGATTAATGGTTTCAATGCTAATTACAGAGAAACATCAGATATGGAGCTGAACCTCACTGAGGTGGAGACAATTATGGCTGAAAGCTAAAATAACTAAAAAATAAAGTTTTACCTAAAGAAACCTGTACCCCACCGTACCTGCTGCTGCCCAGTTCAGCATGTTGGTCTCTGTGTAGACTGTACATGTTTACATTAACTGCAAATTTGCATGGGTCTTAAAGCAGTCTAAAGCAATGGAGGTACCAAAACAAGGTAGATAACGCATTCTACGGATAATTGTTCATTTTAGATTTCCTTTTCTCATTCCTTCTCGTCGTCCTCACTGTAGCTTAATTAAAAATCTAATAAAAATACAATATTGAAATTAGTTAACCCTGAAATAGTTTAAGAACAAAATCTAGCCCAAAGTAGAAAGAAGCAACTTGTAATAGAGAAAGGGCATGTGTGTGGATTTTGGGTGACGGCAGGATTAGACTCAGCTACCATGCTACTAAGGTGTAAAATAGAGGGGTGACATTTAATTCCTAGCCGCCACTTGTGAGAGGTACCAGAGGATGATTGACGACTTTGAAAACGTAGCCAATAAAAGGGGAAAATGGGAGTCAAGCTGGAAAAGGGAGAAGAGAAAGTTGTCAAGTAGGATAAAAACAATTCAGAGTCCCTCTTGCCAACAACAACAAAAAGTTGCATTTATATAGCTTCTTTCACTGTGGTAGGACGTCCCAAGGCACTGTAAGTGATTATTATTAGTATTAGTGGAGCCCTGTAGCTCAGTGGTTAGAGCACTCGCTTTGCAAGCGAGAGACCTGAGTTCAATTCCAGGCAGAGGGCGAAACCTTGGGCAAGTTTCCTTACTCCACACAGAGCCTAATAATAATCCCTCCAAAACCCAAAACAATAATAAATTGGTCATTTTCAACCCACGACTGTTTGTGGGACATTGCTGTGCGCAATTGGCTGCCGCGTTCGCCCACAAATATACAGTCAATTCACTTTACAGTGTGTTCTGTGAAGCGCTTTGGGACGTCCTCCCGACGTGAAAAGCGCTATATCAAGTGCAAGGATTATTATTATTATAGGTACTTGTCCTATTGTATGGTAGTTCTGCAGACTTTATTTAAAGCCTTACTGTCCTACAATAATAGTTTAATGATTTGCTTTGTTTCAGGACCGAATAATTGATGCTGGTCCAAAAGGGAACTATTCTCGCTTTATGAACCATAGTTGTCAGCCCAACTGTGAAACACAGAAATGGACTGTGAATGGAGAGACTCGGGTTGGACTATTTTCTGTCTGTGACATTCCAGCAGGTAGGTTACACCATTGATGTTCTCATAAATAATAATTCAGATCTTTCAAATATTGTAGAGCAATTTGTGAGATTCACAAAACGTTTTGTAAGGAGTGAATCTTGCACTACTTGGATGAGCTTCAAGATGACCTATAGGAACTCTGCTGAGGCACCATTCTCCTGAGACGAACCTTCTTTAACTACAATCCAACTTTACAGAAGTGTATGAGTATTCCGCGTGGATTTCCGTAGTCAGTCTAAAATGTATCTGGGTACTCTCAGGGTTCACAAAAGGGAATCTGTTTTTGAAGCCTGCAATTAGACCCTCATAATCCATTTTAACAAACAATTCACGTCTATATAATGCCTTTCACATCAAGAGGACATCTCAAAGCACTGCATTGGGACGTCCTCGTGACGTGAAAGGCGCTTTATAAATGGAATCTTGTTGTTGTTGTTGTTGTTGCATGCAAATGACTGGGAGCCTTTGGGTGGGGGTGGTGTGGAGAGTTGAGGGACCGATAGGTCACCAAAAGCACAGTCTAAAGAGATGGGTTAAGCTGGGTTTTGAAGGCAAGGCAGGTGGGATGCAGTTTCAGAGAGCAGCAGCAGAATGACTGAACGGTTATGTACCAATAGTAGGGTGGATTGCCTTGGGATGTTCTCCCAACATGATAGGCACTACATAAATGCAATTTATTGTTGTTTGAGTGGCCGTGGGAAGGCCAATGTTTGCTGAATGGAGGGAACGTCCAGGGTACTAGGATCACAGAAGGCTGTAAAGGTAGAGCGAAGCTAGTGGAATCTAGCGAGGATGGGGGTGATGGGTTTATGAAATCTGTTGAAGGAGAGGACATAAGCTGCAGAGTTCTAAATAGTCTGCACTTTGTGTAGGGAGGAGCTGGGGTAGTCTGGCAAGTAGGATATTATAGTCGACATGAGCTCATCCAATTTTATTACATAGTTTTACAAGTTGTAACTTAAATTTTGATTGCTTGGGTGGAGGCACACTACATTACTTTTGACTTATGATGCTTATCTTAATTCGAGAAAAAATGACTGCTAAGTAATAGAAATTCTATAGTAATTAACTTTCCCATCTCCTTCCAAGATGTAGGGATTATAAAATCAAATAGTTTGTTGTTGATCTTTTCACTTCACCTGCTTCAAAATACATTCCACGGGAAGATCAAAAGCAAGCTAGTGCAATTTACAGGCCCTTACCATCCATATAGAATCATAAAAATTAGTGCAGAATGATGCCATTCGGCCCATTGAGTCTGTACTAGTTCTCAGAGCAAGGGGACGAGAAAGTAAATATGTAGTATCTATTGTGTCTTTCCCAGTTGGAAGCAAATGATTGGGAAATGGGCTTAGCCTCAATTGGATCGGAATTTCCAGCTACAATGCCCTCAGTTACTAGTGTTTTAAGAGATTTGGCAAAGAGCCAGGAATTCATGAAGCAACTGCCTTACCTTTTTTGAAAAAAAATTCTATTGTAGGTAAAATTAGATGTCAGCCTGGGTCCATTGGTAGCACTCACACCTTTGAGTCAGAAAGTTGTGGTTGAAGCCCCATGTGTGGACTTTGAACTTTCACTCCAATGCAGTGCTGGGAGAGCTTTATTGTCGGAGGTGCTATCCTTCAGATGAAATCCTGAACTTGAGCCTCGTCGGTCTGTTCAGGGGACGTTATTTAAAAAAGATAAAGGAATTTCTCCCTAATATCCTGGCCAATAATCCCCCAGATTTAAAAAAAATGGTCATTCATTTCATGACTGGAACATTGATTCAGCCTAAAAAGTACATTCACTAACATTCATTCTCATCTTGTAAAGTGCTTCAAGACACCCTTCCGACCTTAATGAGGTGCAATATCAAATGCAAGGATTATATTAGAAAATCATAATATTAGAGTCTTATCACCACTGTGTAATACTATGGAATACCATTGCTGTAAAGAAAGAACTAGTTTGACTGAAACATTTATAGGAGCTAAATAATTAAACCAAATTGAAGACTATTTAGTTAATGCACCCTCAACATCCCCACACCACATCTTTCAAACGAAAATCCAGCTTTGGCAGGAGCCATGTTTTCACCACCTGCTTGCATGGTGGTCAAATGGGGCACTGCTCACTGACTGAGTGCCAACAGTGTGATTTTCTTTTATTTTAAACTGATTGGACACAGATGACAAAGTAGTCAGTTCTGTTAATCATTAAAATGTGAGCAGGCCACCAGAGATTTTTAAACTTTAAAGGCTTAGATTTACACCAGCTGTGTTTTTAGTGCAGCCAATTGCTGAAAACTTCACTTGCCAGAATATCATGTTTCTCTCCAAAAATAATTAAACACAATCAGTGATTAGTGTATCACCGGTAACATCAGAGGCAAACTCAGATTGAAGATAGCTCATCTACTGCAGTCCGTATGATCAATGCAGTTTGCTGATTTTACACCTGAGGTGTGTAGTTGATTTACCACTGAATTTCAAAGGGGACTTGCCAACTTTTGCAAGCTATGTTTTTCCCCCCTCCCTACCCTTCCCTAGAAGAACATACTTTCTCACCTCCTAGTTGTCCTTGTTGGCTTATGGCTGAGTTGAATAACTTGCAGCTGGTGAGAATTCATCCGTTGTACAGTAACATCACTCAATTACATGTTTGAGCTCTCTTTTTCAGTTTTCTGACTACAGTACAATTTACTATTGTATTGTTCCTTTCATGTCAGGAATATTGTTATATAATAACAATCCTTGCATTTGATATAGCGCCTTATCACTTCGCAAAATATACTGTGGAGAAGATCTATTCCAGACAATGTACCAGTAAAAAAAAATCTTCATTTGATATAGAATCTTATCAGACCAAATCATCCCGAAACACTTCAGAGTATATTTCTGTAAAGTATTAGTGACTGTATTTGTAGCCAAACGCAGCAGGCGATTTAGACACAATAATGTCACATGGTGAATGATCAATTTTTTAATGTGGTGACTTGTTGGTCAGGTCACTAGGGAAAACTTACTTTTCTTATTATGGGATCTTTAATGCCAACCTGAACTGGCGTCTGGGACCTATATTTAATGTCCAACAATACAGTGCTGCATTCCAATGTCAGCCTAAACCAATAATTTATCTGGTGATCTTGGTATGCAGCCACCAACACATACTGCCGGCTGCGGTGCGACTTTTCATAATCCGCGTTACTCTTCTCTCCCTCTCTCCCCTTCTCAAACCAGTCTGAGAGACTGGAAGGGAGCTCACGCATGCCCAACCAGCCCCCACCCTTGCGGTGCTCCCTAGGAGCTGTAACCTGGCCAGCTCCTCCGAAGTAATGGGCTCCGCGCACGTTCGATCTGCAAGGTCTACCATGCACTGTGTTCCACAACTGTTCCTCCACATAGCCCTGGGGCTGCTGTGGCCCCACAAGAGATGCATGTGACCGCATTTGAGAAACACTGGCCTGGAGTATGAGCTGAACATCTCAACGTGGGCCTTAGAACTCACAACATTCTGACTCAAGAGGTGGAAATACTACCAATTGACTCCTAAATTTCTCAATGGATTCACTCCCACTTTAGGCTATTTTCTGAACAGTAAATCTGTAAAAACTCTGGCAGTGTTACACTGACAGTAAAGAAACATGCTCAGTAAGAATTTGGTATTTATTTCCTTCTAGCTTGAGGTTATCTGTGTAAAGCCAATTTGTGTCTTGTTTATTTGTTTTATTTCCATTGATTAGGATAAAGGAAACAGGAGTAGGTCTCGAGCCTGTTCCGCCATTTTATAAGATCATGGCTGATCTGTACCTCAAGTCCAGTTACCCGCCCTTGCCCCATATCCCTTAATACCCTGACCTAACAAATATCTATTTAGTTTTTAGATATACCTTAGATTTATTATATCAAGTGGACGGATTTTTGATAAAAGGTCTGTTCTTCCACCCAAGTCATTCTTCTCATATTGTAAAAGGTGTTTGTGGCAGTTATAATGCATATTTTTATTTATTTGTCATTCATAGGGATTGAGCTCACCTTTAATTACAACCTAGACTGTCTTGGCAACGAGAAGACTATCTGCAAATGTGGTGCACCCAATTGCAGTGGATTCCTCGGAGTTAGACCAAAGGTATGCTTAATTATTCTGTAAGGAAGGAAAGCATATAACTGTATGAACAATAAGGAAGTAATAGGGCAAAATTTGTCTTTTTTGATTGTTTGCATTAATCGAGGAACATTCGATATGTACCAGTAGGTGGAGCACCTACTCCAGGTAAGTGGAAAATATATGTCTGACCACGCTTTTGGTCACTGTTCCCCTCTTCAAATCCCACCCTCCGCTCTAGTGCCCAGACAGAATTTGTTGACATCCTTCTGACATGAAAGGCGTTATAATAAGTGTACATTGTATTTCCTTCTTCCAGTTTTTTTAAATCAGACTTTTAAAATGTGTTTTTTTAGTCATTTGGGTACCTTGTAACTTTTTTATTGCTTATCATGTTTTTCTGGTCCTAATTAGCCAAAGAGGAAACTTGTGCTCTCCTCGACCCAGGAATAATTTTTAAACCATCGTCACATTTAAATCTAGTTAGGTTTTGGGATCACTTAATTTGTTTTCAAAAGGATGAGAGCAAATGGTCTGAAAGACCTTCATCTGAATCTCTCTTGTGATCTTCTGATGGAGGATGTTGGGTTAATTCATTGAAAAGGACGATAACTAAAGGATGGCTTCTGTGAGGAAAATTTGGCATCTAATGTTTCAAAATCTGGAATTCTGTAGAACTGGTTAGAGCACTCGCCTCGCAAGTGAGAGGACCCTGGGCAGAGCAAAACCTTAGGCAAGTTTCCTTACTCCTCACGCTTATGTTTACCTTAGTAAGTAGGAACTTGGTTATTAGTCTTATTACAACCTGGATTGTCTTGGCAATGAGAAGACTATCTGCAGATGTGGTGCTGCAGATCCACCTTTCCACATCTGCAAATGTGGAAAGGTGGATCGCTTTCCAGGGTAATAATTCCTTCAATAAGTAACTAAACGTTAACGACTGCTGTGGGACTCTGCTGTGCACAATTGGCGGCAGCATTTCCCCCACAAAAATACAATCAATTCACTTCACAGTATATTCGGTGAAGCGCTTTGAAATATCTCAAAGACTTGATAAGGTGCTATATCAAATGCAAAGATTATTATTATAAAATTGAAGAACAGGATGGTTTGTATTCAAAATAATAAACTAGCGGAATTGCAGGATTTTTGTATTGAAAGGATGATGAGCATGTGAAACAGCCTACGTTGGTGCAACTAAAAATGTTCATAAAAAGAACTGGATAATCTCTTCAACTAAAATGATTTAGAGAAAGATTGAAGAAATCTTGAAGGAAATGGGATGGCTCGCTCCCTCACTCGGACTCTCGCTGGCTTATTTGGGCTTTTTTGCTGCCTCAGCAATTCCCCAGATAAAATTGGGCATTCACTTTATGGCTGTTTATGGGAACATTGCTGTGTGCGAACTATCCCATTCGCCTACAAAATCTACAGTAACTACATTTTACAGTGTAAAGGTGTCTTATAGCGTAGTGGTTAGAGCTCTCGCCTCACAAGCAAGAGGAACCGGGTTCAATTCCCGAGCGGGGCGAATCCTTAAACGAGTTTCCTTATTCCACACAGCTCTGTTTACCCAGCAGTAACTAGGAACCCAGTTGTAACTAGGAACTAGCGGATCACTTTCCCGGGGTAATAAACCTTTTCTCTCTTCCCACCCCACCCCAGCCCAAAATAAAATTGGTCATTCAAACCACGACTGTTTGTGGGACACTTCTTAATTGACCGCTGTGTTTTCATTCATAAAATACAGTCAATCTACTTTACAATATATTCTTTGAAGCGCTTTGAAACGTCTCAACGACGTAACAAGGGACTATATCAAATGCAAGGATTATTATTATTATGCCCTCTGAATTGCTTTGAGACATCCTTCTGCTGGGAAAGGCACTATTTCAAATGCAAGGATTCTTATTAGAAAACCAGGGCTAATGGATATTTCTTTCTTTAGTCAGTCAACTTTTAATCTAGTTTGAAACCAGTTTTATTACCCCAAATCTAGCTAACCAATCATGCATTTACTTTCGTTTTTAATTTTACAGACTGCAAGCAATGGTTCGGATGACAAAGGAAAAAGGGGAAAGAAGAAAATCCGAAAACGTAAAACTAAACATGAAGGAAGGAAAGAGCATGAAGATGAATGTTTTCGCTGCAGAGATGGAGGACAGCTTGTACTGTGTGACAGAAAAATCTGTTCGAAGGCTTATCACCTATCCTGTCTCAGTCTTACAAAACCTCCATTTGGTAACTGCAGTTCATAACCTGTGTAATCTCTTAAATGTTAATTGCGTAAATTCTTAAACTTTTAAATTCAACAGTCATCCATGAAATATTAACTCCATGTGGTACTTTTTTGGTGAAAAACTAAGTATATGATAGTATTCTCTTAGATTCAGTTAGACAGATGAGGAGAGAAGCTGAGTCTGATTGGGATGCTGATGAAGCCGTGGGTTCATAACCGCTCGATGCGGTGTCTCATTAATGTTGATTAACAGCATCCTACAATGATGATGAGTGTCTTTATATGCACTCCATCACTATTAATCAAACTGTCAAGAACCTAATAGTATTTTGGTTTATTGAGCTAATAATTGCAGAAAATTATTGACCTCCTAATTCAAAAATAGGAATGCCCTTGACTGGCAAAGAGTGCAGTAATTCTGCAATGCTCTTAAATCCCTCATTTGAATTATTTGCCAAATGGCTATCTAATTCCCCCTTGGGCTTTGGTAGTGCAATTTGCCACCACTGTCTCTCTGAGCAGACTTCCACTTTGTTTGAAGTAATTAAATTGGAATTAATTGTCTTCATCATGACTCTATTGAGATTCAGTGCCCATTTCTAGCTTCTTTTTATCGTGTTAAAAAAATATTGTTAGGTTACATGAAAGAAAAAGGTTTTAAGTGGTATGGAGATAAAGTGGGCAGTAGAATTGAATAAACAGCTTGCTCTGAGAGATGATGCAGACTCAATGGGCTGAATGATATCCTGCATTGTCAATTTCTATGATTCCATATAAACAATATATGGGGTGGGGGGGTTGTGTGCAATATGGATCATTTTCTTTATAGCCATCACAGCCTGTTTCAGGGGTCTCTTGGAGCTGAACTGGCTCCAAGGTGACATGCTTGGCTATGGAATGTCGGAATCTGTGGTGGTCTTGGTAGTCCAGTTCCTGAGCCAAGGGTCTACAGTATTCCAGAGCACTGCTGATGACAGCCCAGCTAGCCTGGCCGACGAGCAGGACCTGGAAGGGCAGACCAGTCACTGGGGGCAGGGAGTCATCCCACTCAGCTTCTGTTAACCCTGCAAGCCAAAGCTCTTAACGGGTAGGGTGGTCCTAACTGGACAAGCAGCGGGAAAACTTGCTAAACAGCAATATCTGGTGAGCTACGCGGTTTTAGCTGGTTGGAATCCAGCAGTTACCCCTGCACCTAATACTTTCCGGAATTATGTAAGAAGGATGGGTTCCTCCAGGGAGAGAGTGCACATTCCATTCCAACAATTGATCTCTGGGATTTCCAGGAATACTCTTAAGCGTGGTGATGGGTTTCGCATGTGTCAGACACTAGGCTGACCAAAAAAAAGTTATTTCTTCCATACTGATGTGCAATGGCACTATTGGAAAAAGACTTCCTCGGATTGCTTTGAGACGTCCTCCTGATGTGAAAGTTGCTCTATAATTGTAAATTCTACTTAGGCAATTTTCTATTCACTTTAGAAGTTCAACCCCTGCATTCTGCGTCTTCCAATTTTCTGGACCCATCTCCAGGGTAGCAATTTGTCGAAAGCTTTGGTGAAATCTAAATATATTTAAATTGAATCTTGAGACAATATAAAATGCATTGAACTACATTGTCACAGTGAAATGTCTCTCACAGCCATAGAGTGTCAGTGTTAACATTTCAGATTAGGCAAGGATACTAAATCATTTTAAAAAGTGTGATCTGACACTTAAAGAAAACAAAAAAAAGCTGATTTTATCCGCCCCCCCCACCCATTTCATTTTGCCGACCTGCTTCCTCCAAAACCCGGATATGTTACGTTTCTGGAGGGGAGACAAAAATATTGCTTATGTGGCCTGCGGATGTTTCTCAAAGATGACATCCAGCCCTCAGCAGCCAAAAGGTTGCACCACCTTGCAATAAAATATCAAATTGACCGTGATTAGCCTCAAAGTTCTTTGCTATATTTGATGCTCTACACATTGTGCTGTGAAGTCATAAGATTTAGACTTTAGACCAATTTTCTCATTTGGTGAATTTTTGATACCCAGAGAAGTTTCTAATCTGATCTCTCTGTGGTGAAAAGGTCCACTGGGGTTTCCACAGAATTATTAATAGCCTGGGAACAAGTTTTTTTCAGGGTAAAAAAGACTCCAAAACAATTTGGTTGGCTATGAATAATTCTCCATATATCTTTGTGTTGTCAGATTTTTAGTTGATGCAGTTCAGGAATTTACAAGAATGATACCGCAGAATAATAATCCCTCCAAAATAAAACAATAATAAGTTGGTCATTTTCAATCCACAACTGTTTGTGGGACACTGCTGTGCGCAATTGGCTGCCATGTTTCGCCCACAAATATACAGTCAATTCACCTTACAGTCTATTCTGTGAAGCGCTTTGAGACGTCGAGAAGACGTGAAAAGCGCTATATCAAATGCAAATATTATTATTATTATTACCAGGGCTGGCAGGTTACTGCTATCAGGATAGACTGGATTGGTTAGGTCTTTTTTCACTATAGAAGAGACGTTTAAGGGAGGACCCAATAGAAGTATTTATAAAATTATAAAAAGGTTTGATAAGGTTAACATAGATAGGCTGTTTCCACTGGTTGGTGGTCTGTAACCAGATACAAATATCTAAGGGACCTAAAAGAGAATTTAGGAGGAGCTACTTCACACAGAGGGTAATAAGATTGTGGAACTCGCAACCTGAGGTGGTGGTTGAATCAGATAGTGTAGATGTGTTCAAGAGGACCTTCACATGAGGGAGAGGGTAATATAAGAGCATAGGAGGAAAGAAGGAATGGGTGAAGACTCATGGAGTATAAACACTAGCACTGCCTGGTTGGGCCGAGTAGCTTGTTTCTGTGCTGTATATTCTTTGTAAGGAAGGTATTCTATTGAGATGTGTGAGTCATTATCTTGACATTGTAATGCTACACTACTGAGAACACTTTACGTTTCAGATATACCAAGTTCTAAAATAACTTGCTATGAAAGAATTGGATACATACTTATTGAACGTTAACTATTTTCTTCCAATTCAGTAGTAATCCTATTCACGCTTAATTAAGTTTGTCCATTCACGCAATTAAGTTTTATGAAGCAGCTAATCTCTCCCAAGTGCTGCACAACTGTCACATATCTTCAAAATAATCTCAACAACTGTAAGGTGAATAAAATGGAATACAGTTCATACTCAGAATGTTCTTGTCCCTTCCCTTGCCTCTTTCAAGGCCTGCCTCAACACCTTCCGCTTTGACTGTGCCTTCAGTCATCATCCTACCCCACCTCCTTTTCCCTCTTGATTCCAACCCCCAGCTGGTGTACAAGCCCTTGACTGTCCAATTCCTTGGGACATCCTCCCGATGTGAAAGGTGCTATAGAAATGCAATGTTTCAGTTGCCTTATTTTGTTGATTGTTTATTTTAGTAAATATGGTACAATAGATCTTGACATTGTGATGATGGTCATCAGTTTATTTAAATACACTCAGAATCCCTGAACTATAATAGATTTGCATGATCGGTCATGTTTCTCTCCTCAGTTTCCCATTTCCCATTGTGTTGAATTGTAAAATGCAACTGTTTCCATACTAGATCAGAATTCATGGTAATGGAGAGAGTAACTCAATTTTCATGGGAAGTGGGATTGTGGAATACCACAAATTATTGACCTTTGGTGCTCAATGAAAATCCAGGTGTAATTTTGACTGGAAACAAAAAATATTAATCACTTGATGAACTGTCCTGTTCTGCTGTTAGCAACCATGACTCAATTATGGACTAATCTTCTGTCATCCTTCTTTCAGGGAAGTGGGAGTGCCCCTGGCACCACTGTGATGTCTGCGGAAAGCTTTCTGTTGTTTTTTGCCAGTTCTGCCCCAACTCTTTCTGCAAGGACCATCAGAAAGAGACAGTCTTCAAGTCCAAACTAGATGGACGTCCTTGCTGCTCCGAACATGACCACTGCAACACAGCAGAACCTCTGGAACAATGCAAAAAAATGGAGACCGTCCTTTCTCTGAAGGACACAGTGAAATCAGAGTCTTAAGAACCGCAAAGCCAGCAATCGAACCAGTTACAATGCACAGTGAATTACTTGAACTGCAAACACTATTTGAAATTGTTTTGGTAAATACTCCAGACATACACTCCTCACAACTTACTATACAAGATACGTTTGCAGGAAAAGCATTCTTGATTCCTTGAGCCATCTCCGGCAGTCTTAACTGCGTCTGCACTGATAACTCAAGACTGTGGCTGCATAAGCTCACAGTCACCGGGACAGCAAAACTACACAGCATTACATTTACACTGGGAATGTTTGGTTAAACTATCCTATCAAAGCATTTTAAAAGGGTAGATTACAAAAACCAAAATGCAGATTGAGATTGAAACTAGAAATTAATAGCATTTATCAGTCATTAAAAGTGTTAGAAATATAATACTGAAAGAAATGACACTATTAGTTGTTCTTCATTGTGTTTGTATGCGTTAGTGTAGTTTGCATTAATAGAACCTTTTGTAACCCTGCTGGTTTTTATGGCAGTGCATAGATAATCATTCATGTTCAGCGTTTTAAAATGTCTCTTTTTCAGGGCTGTTTGAATTGTCCAAATGAGTCCAAACAGGGATTGAAATTGTATTGCTGTTACTCAGTCATTACAGCAATTTGGGTTTTTTACTGGAAAGTTCTGGTCAGACAAATTTTATTTAAACCATCTGTAATAACAGTAAATACAAGTTCTGTTTAGTCAGATATGTACCAAACTGTGAACCATGTTCACTTTAATTGAAAATGTTTTGGATTAGTGTTGATGTTTCCTCTAGAGGTTTTATTTGTATTTTTTGGATAACATGTTGCTTTTAACAATGTGCAAAAATCATACAAGAAGGAAACCAACGTTTTTTTTATTAACCTGTGAGATGAATTATGACATTGTGCTTTGTTCAAAGCAACGCTCACAGGGTTCAATCCCTAGCTTTAGTTTTTTGTATATATTGGTTTATTCTCGTCCTTCAGTAGCTCCAGTAAGGGTCGAAGAGTAGACCAGCCCATGACAGCTTTCAGATTTACACAAGTGATATTTTCATTTTATACCACAAGTGTCTGTAAATGCAGTGGTATAAATTTGTTATCCAACATATGTTGGATAAAAATAAATAATTTTCATGTTCCATTATTTGCATATTGCTTGTGGCATCACCTACACCCTGATTTGGTAGCTTGCAGCTACTACCTTGAAAGTTTCCTTCAGGGTGATTAATGAAATTTATTAGTAATGAAATTTCATCTCAGGACTAAATTGGAATGTATGCCACCCGTTATTTTCTTGTATGAGATTTAACCTTGTCCACTCAGCAGACTGTTGTATATTTCCCTTTCCTTCCCATCATCTAGGGTTGGTCACTGTGGTATTGAATGTTTCAGTTGTATATTCTAAGCAAAATGTTTTTTTAAATCTTTTAATTTTTAACATTGTCTTTTATATTGAATTGGACCTAAAACCTTGTTCCAAGTGGGCATTAGTACTGGAACATGATTTGGGGGATATCAACTTAGCGCATGATATTCAGATTTTTTGGTATTGTTTTTTTAAACAAAAGTTGTGAATATTGTTTACTGTCCAACCCAAATGTGTATAGTTTAGAAGGAACATAGTTGGTGCATCTTCCCTGTTACAGAGCCATGGTCCAAATGTACAGTAAAACTTGCACAAGTTGTCTTTTTTTAAATCATATACAATCGCCTAAGTCGTATATGCACCCGAGTCGCATTCAATTTTGCCCAAAAAATACTTAAATTTCTTTCGACTAGTTGTATTTTATAAGTTGGATAAACAGCTAAATTGTAAAGGTTTCTTGGTCCCGAATCCCATGCTTATCATCTCCTAACCCGTAACCCCGCTATTGCACTTACCAGCTACATTGAAGTATGCATGCGCAGTGTTCCATTTGAAACCAGCATGGGAAACAAACAACAACATATTGCATTTATATAACGTGTTTCACGTCAAGAGGATGCCCCCAGTGCGCTGGATAGTGAAGGGCATACACCTGAGCTTGAGCTCTGGACTAGAGAGAGAGAGAGAGATGGAGATGGGAAGATGACCGAAGGTACAGTCAAAAGAGGATGGTGTTGAGACGAGCATTGAAGGGGGTGACATGGAGTAGCTCTGAGGATGGAGTTCCAGAGGGTGGGTATAGGAAGTGATGGAACAGACAGGGTGGGGGGTATGGAGCAGGGCAGTGCTCGAAGTCTTGATCCGTCACGGCATGCACACTTACCAGCTGCAGTTATGTGTATTCCATTGAAACAAGTGCGGGAAACAAGGTCTTGACCACTGTTACCTCTAAGCTGCGCGGGTGTGCAGCCGTGCAGCAGTCTGTTGTGGGCCGTGCACTTATTCGGAGTAAGTTTTGATTTTTTTTACAGTGGTGCACACAGCCCAAATTCATTCTGCGCATAACCAAAAAAAATTTGAGGGAACTCTAGTTTTGACCCATTCTCATGGCATCGGGCAATACAAGTACAATAAGTGCACGTTAGGGATGAGGACCTTATACTTGTTTACTGGGTTATGTGTCAGTCGTATAAAATCTGACTTATACATAACTTTATGCAAGTTTGCCTGTAACTCATATTTGCATAAGTCATATTGAATGTTATGGACCCAATTGATACGACTTATGCAAGTTTGTACCATGGCACTGTCAGGTAAAACGTAAGTTTATGCCAATACACCAGTAGGGATAGTAGAGAAGGCACCACCCACAAAGGTTAGAAAATCCCACCTCCCCCTTTCCAATTGTATCATCTCAGCCTTATGCAACAGTTACCAATCAGGACAGTGTACATAAGCATAGTTCTGTTAAAGCAACATTCTGATAGTAATGCACACAAATGATAAACTCAAATTGGCATCACTGCTTTTAAACTCAGTTCAGTAGTGAATTGAATTTTTCACCTGTGGTTAGGGAATTTGGCCCAACCACTAGCTTACATGAAGATGTATGAAAATAAAACACTTCCTGCTATCAACTAGTGATTGTTTGAATTTCACAATTTTCATGGCCTGTGGTCTGCTTACAAGTGAAGGAATAACGGTGGAGTTGAGAGGAAATTATGTAAATTAAGCTGAACTTTCATGCTTTAAGTAGCCCAACAGTGTCTTAACTGAAGAAATGTTTTGTCTTGGGAGTTAAAAATAGCCTCTGCTAGTTACATTTATTCCATAAGCAGTGGTGTAGGAGTTGTGTCTTATCAAAATATTTGTTTGAGGAACCTTTTTATCTTTGAGCAGTAGTTTTAGCTAATCATGAAGCAAAGGGCAAATATGAAAGAAATCTTAGAATCCAAATTACAATGGAGTACATTAGAGTCCAGATAAGGCAAAGGGTTATTTTAGAGCATTTTACCATAGAGAGATGAAATTGCATTAAAATGAAGACTATTCAACAAAGTTGATATCAACGAGAATTAATTTGCATTCATTTCAGATGAATTAAGCAGGTGTTTGCAATTAATTCTCCTACTTGGTTCATACNTTTTTTTAAATCCAATTTAATAACAAGACCCCAGATACAAATGTCTGGATTCAAAGACTTATTGATGAATCCATATTGAAGCTGCTGTATATCTTTCAACACCACTGTGCACCTCAAGATTTTTATTTTTATGACATTTTTGAATTAAAATGACTTGCTTACCCAGAATTGTAACCAATTTCATTTGAAATGTAGAGATTTACGTTTGTGCCTGATGATGACTAACCATGAAGTTGTATTTTTCTTCCCTCTTTCCCTCCTCTCCCAAATACAAAATCTCTTCCCCATTTTTTTATTCTCGTACAGCTCTCAATAGGATACACAACGGTTCCAGAGATGGCCTTTTCCTGGATTTCGCCACGAGGAGCTACTTGACAAAAGTCTGGTCGCAAACTTCGTCTCTGATTTTCCAGATGTGGTGTAGAGGTCAGTATCATCCCTACATGCACTGTACAGTAGCAAACATGTCATTACTACTGAAAAAATGTTTTGAGAAGCTTCATTACACTGGAAATACAATTATTATAGTTTCTGCACTGTCGCAGATTAATGAATGAGATTTGGATATAGTCCACTTCAGATTTTAAAATGTATCAAAAGTTCCAGTGAAGTTTTTAAAGATTTGAGATTTATTGGAATAATTGATTATAAATTAACTGGATCGAAGATTGGTTTAACAAACAACAACAAATTACATTTATAATAGTGCCTTTCACTTCAGGAGGACGTACCAAAATAATAACAGAAAGTAGAAGGTAATAATTGATAGACATGATGGACAAGATTTTTGCCCTGGGTTGATCGACAAAAACTTAAGTTTTAGTGGGGTTCACAGTTTTTTTTGTATTGGACTATAGTTGAGTTTCCAGAAATAAAGTATAGAGGTGTTCTACACAAATTAAGTACATGTCTCACAAATGGAACATGTCTTAAATGTGGATGAACAAGTTAATGGTGATATAAGTCCCATTGGTTCATTCACAAGAAACTTGGAACATGCACCCGATAGTGTTATTGACAACTAAAATAATCCAGTCACCAGCCCCAGTACTCAGCCATTGGAATGTATATCAAGGGCATTTCACTGGATGCAGATATAGAAAATTGCAGAACAGATGGAGACCATTCAGCCCACCTTGTCCAAGCTGGTACTTTGAAAGAACAATCTGTCCATATACAATATGTACTTTTCCCCATACCCATGGAAATTATTTTTTATTAGATGTTCTAAAAAGGTTAATTTAACTTTGTATCCATTACTCACCCCACATGTAAAATGGACGGTCCCCACCCTACTGGGTGAGCCTACATTTAGTGCATCCCCATCAATTGACAGTGCTTCAGAGACAGATTGAAGAAGTGAGGAAGAATCTGTAAACTTGAGTGTGTGTGGGTGGCGGGGAAGAGTTAGGAAGATAAACAATGAATTGGATGAAAAAATATTGAGATACTTTAGTACAAGTGTATTTGGTGATTCCCCTTTATGAGTTATGAAGGAGGTAGATAATAAGATTGATATTGTGGTGCATACCTGGGCCACAATGCAAAATGAACCATCCCCAAAGGGGTATGTGAGACGGACCCACTCACACAAAAAAAAATGTTAAAAGTAGAAAAAGACAAACACTGGGCAGATTGGTCAGTTTTGCAACATCGCAAACGTACCTATGATTATAAGCCATTAGTCGTGGCAATTTTAAGTGTTCCACTACGCTCATGATTAAAGGGACTGTGTTTTAAGGCAATAAGGAATAATACAATAAAAATAACCTTACAGTCGATGCAAAAAGGTTCCTGTGTGTTTGTGTTTGGCAGCTTCTGCAGACAGAACAGCAGCACCCAATAAATCCCTATTTCCAGATGCCCAGTGTGTGTCCTGGTGCAGTGAATCTAGTCTGTGGTGACCAGCAAAACTGCCCATCACTTGGCTTCCAGCCTTGATCACCCACTTTCCAAAATATACGGTCATCCAGGTATTCCTGCTGCTCATCCATTCATTCATGAGGGGGGAAGGGTGGGTTAGGAAGGTAAAGAGATAATGATTTGGACTGATTTGAAGACTATTGAGAGACTATAATAATAGTGTATTTTGTAATAGTGTGATAGTGCATCGCATTCTCCTGGTTCTCCTCACCCCAGATTGCTAGATGTCCCCATCCCCACATCACCTCTTGTTATCACTACAGAACAGGAGCCAGTTTAACAGTAACTATCATATTGCTAGCTCCCCGCCTCAGTGCAGGGTCGTGGGCAATGGTAACAGTATCTGTTCGGGTGCCCCGGCTCTTGATTACAACAGCAGCTTCAGTCACACTTTCCAGCTTTTAACAGTGATTAAAACGCGAGATTCCCTTTTTTTTTGCAATAAAGCAGCACCGCCCACTTCCCTCCAGAGCAGAGGCGCCTTCCCCCGGGGCTGGGTCTTTCCCGTTCTGTCTGCAGGCTCCACTGCCTCCTGCTGCAAAACTGGCAGATGACATGTCACACAGCAAGAGCTTCCAGACTGCTGGCATTGCCAAGGTTTCTTGGAAAATCGTCCCAAACCAATAGACCAAGTGCCGCCCGGCAATACCGCAGGTGACTCCACCAGCACATTCCCTGCCCGGGTTAGAATAATAAATAATAATAATGATAATAATAATCCTTGCATTTGGTATAGTGATTTATCACATCCAGACATCTCACTGCGCTTCCCAGGATTCTACTGCAAAGTGGATTTCTCAACTTTTAGTATTAGGCACACAAGATTATTTCAAGCATCTCCAGATAATTTTGGCAAAGGAATCTGGGTCTCTTTAATTCAGCCAATTTATTTGCATTGCAGCAAATACAGGATGACCAAAAAGTCATGTTAGCTGCCCTATTATCTAAAAAATGAATATCATCATTTCTTTTAAGATTTATTTTTTGTGGAGTCCTGTAGCTCAGTACTCGCTTTGCAAGTAAGAGACCTGAGTTCAATTCCAGGCAGCGCGAAACCTTGGGCAAGTTTCCTTACTCCACACGCTTAATAATAATTCCTCCAAAAACAAAAATAATAATAACATTGGTCATTTTCAATCTACGATTGTTTGTGGGACATTGCTGTGAGCAATTGGCTGCCGCGTTCGCCCACAAATATACAGTCAATTCACTTTACAGTGTGTTTTGTGAAGCACTTTGGGACGTCCTCCCGACATGAAAAGCGCTATATCAAATGCAAGGATTATTATATTATTATTATTATTTTTGGTCACCCTGTGTATAGAATAATAATAATCCTTGCATTTGATATAACGCCTTATCACGTCTTCGAGACGTCGCAAAGTGCTTCACAGACTATACTGTAAAGTGAATTGACTATATTTTGAGGGCGAAACATGGCAACCAATTGTACAGAGCAGTGTCCCACAAACAGTTGTGGATTGAAGTGACCAATTCATTATTATTATGTTTTTGAAGGAATTATTATCCCCGGAAAAGCAATCCGCCAATCGACTAACAACTGGGTCCCTACTTACTGCTAGGTAAACAGAGACGTGTGGAGTAAGGAATCTTGCCCAACATTTCGCCCTACCGGGAATCAAACCAGGTCGCTTGCTTGCGAGGCGAGTGCTCTAATCACTGAGCTACAGAACTCCATAATATATATATATATATATACACACACATACACAATGTCTGAAGGCGTTGGACATTCAAGAGTTTGCATCTCGAGAGCGGTGGAGAGCAAAGGGTGGTGTGTGCAATTGGCTGCCACGTTTCACCCACAAAATACAATTAATTCACTTTACAATATATCCTGCGAAGCCTCTGAGACATCTCATTGAACATAAGATGTTATATCAAATGTAAGGATTGTTATTATCTTTCAGATCCACCTCGGTTTAATCTTTCCCCAAGAACAGCACCTAGGATAATGCAATCCTCCCCTCCCAGGCACCTGCACTGGAGTGTCAGTCGAGACTATATTGGTGAACCCACATTAATGTTATCTTTCTCCACATGCCCCCAACTGGTGGGAAGATGACAGAAGGTGCAGTCAAAGAGGAAGTTCTTCAGCCATGTCTTGAAGGAGGCAAGGGAGGGGGCGAGACAGAGGGGCTCTGGGATGGAGTTCCAGAGGGTGGGTGCAGAGAGGCAAAAGGTTAAAGACCCGACCACCGAAAAATAATCATCTTATTTGTTTAAAGCAGCAAGGACCAATGACACTGAGCACAAACAGTACAGAATTTGATAGTGGAAAGTATACAATTAACCTATGGGTTTCAAAGTCATTTTTAGTCCGATTGATTAATGATCAACATTCAGTAGTTCCTTCACATCATTAGAGTCAGTTAAACAAATGACACCACGCTGGCTCTCTCTTCTCAAATGTCGACTGTGCCTTTTTTAAAAAAAACAAGAATCTATACAGTAGTTCATTTTATTTACCTTTTATTTTCACAAAGCACAACTGATGGAAGTGTTTGATCTTTATAGCACAAAGGAAATTTAAACATTTGAGAAAAAAAGTGGATAAGGCATTGACCCTTATTTGGTCTAATGTAACTTTGTTTTCTATAAAATGGGGGAGAAAGGGAGCTTGTTCTGAAGATTTTCAAGCTAATAAAAAGCTGCAGGCAGATCCTTCACCTTTCAAAATATAAACTATCTAGAATGGGGGGGGGGGGGTGTTGATTCAAGAAGTTATTAACCTATACCATCTATTTTTACCATCAGGAGTCCTGTAGCTCAGTGGTTAAAGCACTTGTCTTGCGAGCGAGAGACCTGGGTTAAATTCCCGGCAGGGCGAAACCCTGGGCAAGTTTCTTTACTCCACACGCCTGATAATAATCCCTCAAGGAAAAAATAATAATTTGATCACTCAATCCACGAATGTTTGTGGGACACTGTTGTGTGCAATTGGCGATTTTTGCCCACAAATATATAATCAATTCACTTTACAGTATATTCTGTAAAGTGCTTTGAGACGTCTAGAAGACTTGAAAAGCGCTATATCAAATGCAAGGATTATTATCATCAATTAACATCAAAGTTGGCCCAATGGATACAGCACATAGTTTGGGACATGACAAGTACATGTGACTGCCACGATGGTGGAAGGTGAACTGGATGGACCTTGGTCTTTGGTCCAGCAATTCTTATGTAATTATAAACACCCCCTTTCGTGTACACCCACCATAGTTTGACTACAAAATATAATGAAAAGCGTATTTCATTAGTAGTCTTTATTTTTTAAAAAAAAGAACAAATTCATTCAAAAAAATACAAGATTTTAAAATCAGTTTTAGTTCTCCATCAGTTTAACTCTGTCTGGCAAGCTTTCCTGCTGCTTGACCAGCTAGGACCACTCTACCAGTTAAGGCTTTGGCGTGAAGGATAACAGGAGGCAATTGGGAAAAATCCCTGCCTCCCAGTCTTCTCCCCCCCCCCTTCGCTAGTCCAGACTGGCTGGCTCAGGAATCTGTTTACTGAGACCACCGCAGAGAATTAACTCGACACTGACATTTCAGAGCCAATCACTGTCATAGTAGAGGCAGCTCAACTCCAATGAGATCCCACTTACCTTCTTTCTCCCCCTCCCTCCCTCCCTCCCTCCCTCCCAGGAGCACAGTCACAAGTTGGTCATTTAACCCGGTTAGTTTAACACTGCTCAGCAGAGCTCCACAAAGTGAATATTTCTACTATGCACGGTTCTGTTTGAACCAAGAGTTCAGGTCAACCATCTTGTGTCAACTTTCAACAACTAAAAACAATGTAACTGCTTCCTACGCACCTGGTTTCAAAGTACGCCTATGTTAAGTGCATACAAGCAATAGTTAATTAATCAATCGATTAATTAAGTGCCTTTTTTTAGTTACCTAACTGGCAATACAGAAACAGTCATTTTAAATCTTAAAAACTGTAAACGTAATAAAAAATGAATGCAAAATAGAATAGTTTTCATACTGCCTTTTGATATTTGCATCATAACTAGCGAGTAGGTTGTGTGCAGATATGGGGGAGTTTGGTGACAAAGGCACCATAGAATGTTTTTCAGTACAGACTCCATCCATGAGTTGCATTCCCTATGCAGCCAGCCAGGCAGCCAGCCAGGCGGGCAGGCAGGCGGGCAGCCAGCCAGGCGGGCAGGCAGGCGGGCGGGCAGGCGGGCGGGCAGCTGTTTTGTTTCCAGAAAGGGGCAGAGACTTGCACTTCTCTGTGTCAGCCTCTAGGTGGCAGTGCTGCGCAATACTCTGGTTGACCTGGCGGAGCCCACATCAACCAATGGTATTCTCATGGCAAATATGTATATATATATATATAAAATATACTGATCAGCATCACAGGCCACGCTCGATAGTGTAAGGCTCAGGGACAGTCCACAGCCCTCCACACCCCCCCCCAAAAAAAACACAGCACAATCCTGGTCCAAAAGTAAACCAACCAACGAGGCAAAAACACTATATGTGTTCATTGTCTGCAGTGGACCAGAGGAGTGTGGGGGAGCCAGTGGACTGTATGATGTGGGTGGTTTTTATGAGGGTGTACATGTCAGGTGTTAGCAGCGTGAACAGCCCAACCTAAATTTTACCCCTCCATAAACTCTCTTGTGCCTAGGGGAACAGATTGATCCGTGGTTACCAGCCTGCGTACACTGGCTCTCTGTCCCAGGCTATTCCGTAGATGGGCTGAAACCCTCTGCTCGGAGTCTCCTCTTTGTTCAGCAGCGGAGTCCTCGCTGGGTCCATTGGACGTGCATCCTTCTTCCGGCGAACAATCAGTATTATTATCAGCAAGATAACTGGAGAAAACAAAATAAATCAAATAGAATGGAAAAGGACACGCAACAACAACAACTTACATTTACGTAGCACTCCTTAGGCAAGGTAGCCTCCCAGAGCATTCAACAGTGGCGGTGCATGATGCTGAGCCAGGGGGATAGGGGAGATTACTGTAAGCACTGTCAAAGAGGAAGGTCTTCAGACGCGACCTGAAAATGAGGAACAAGGGGGCAAGGTGGAGAGATTGATGGAGTGTGTTCCAGAGTTTCGGGACATAGTGGCTGAAAGGGTGCCCACCGATTCTGGGACAGAGGGCCCAAGGGATAAGCAGGAGGCCGAAGCCAGTCGAGCGGAGATCAGATAACAATCCTTGCATTTCATGTAGGACCTTTCATGTCTGGATGCCATCTTTTCATAGGATTTACTGTAAAATGTTGTGACTATGTAACGTTTGCGGAATTTGGGAATACCTTATTCAGTTTCAATTTGGACGCGGTTTGTCCTGAACCGGCTTCCAAACTAAATCAAAGAATTTTCCTAAATTCTGCACAATCTCACACCATCAGTTTGAACAACGCTGTCAAGGTCACAATCACAAAGGGATTTCAGGCCTGGTCTCTCACGTTAGCTGTTCAAGCAGTTCTGATATATTAGAGTGAATCGAGGACTTCTGATTCACTCTATAGAAGTGGAAAGGTAATAAAGAACAAGAAGAAGCATCCGGATTCCCATTTTGTTTCCTATCCAGTGATTTGGTGAAAACTTTGCATTTTGAAGATAATTGCGGCAGCCCATTTGCACACAGAAATGTCTGACATACAGCAATGAAGTGGATTGCTCGCCAGGACACTCTCTTCTCTTTCTTTGAGTCGTGCCATGGATCGCCTCACAAGCGAGAGGACCAGGGTTCAATTTCCGAGTGGGGAGAAACCTTAGGCAGGTATCCTTACTCCACATGCCTCTGTTTACCTTGCAGTAAGTAGGAACCTGGTTGTTAGTCGATTGGTGGATCGCTTTCCTGGTATAATAATCTCTTACCCTCAAAAAATGTGGTCACTCAATCCACGACGTGCTTGTGGGACACTGCTGTGTGCAGTTGGCTACTATGTGTCATCCACAAAATTCAGTTAATTCACTTTACAATATATTCTGCGAAGCGCTTTGAGACATCTCAGTGACATGATAAGACGCTATATCAAATGTGAGGATTATTATTATTATCTTTAAGGTCCACCTCAGTTTAATCTTTCACCCAAGGACAGCACCTCGGATAATGTGGTGCTCCCTTCCAAGGCACTGCATTGGAGTGTCAGTCTAGACCACATTGGTGAACCCACATTAAGGTTATCTTTCTCCACACGCCCCCAACTGCTGGGAAACAGTAAGAAAGATTCCATCTACTCACAGGTTGCTGCCACCACGAGCAGGAAGATGGTGAGTGGAGCGAGCACGCACTGACTTCCCGATTTACGTAAGAACGTCTCCATACAGAACTGAGGGGCAGTGCTTCCCGCTGGGCAAAACGCATCACCCGGACACTGGAGAGGATTGATGTCTGGACTCTGTAGGGGAGACAGAAGTCAGTAAATCTTCCATATTAAAGAAAACAATTCTGAGGCTCTTCCTTAACAGAAACCACGACAACAATTTACATTTGTACAGCACTTTTCACATTAGGAGGACGTCCCAAGTTGCTGGACAGTCGAGCATTTGCAGCAGAGCAGGGGGTTGGGATCAGGAGGGGTGAAGGGCAGGGTGGGTGGGGGTAGGAGGGTGACCGAAGTCAAATGGGACAGGCTTGAGAAACCACGAGGAGTTAGAACTAGCAATCGCTTTACACTCAAAGTGATCACAAGAAGGTCACTTCAACAGAGGGAGCATTCGCCAACATGAACTTCCACAGACATTGAACAATCCTGGCTTAGTGCCTGACCTGGGGATGGGAGCAGGGACTTTGAGTGGAGGGGGGGGCGGGGGAGTGACAAAGCGCTGTGAAAGAGGTGAGTCTTGAAGACGGACCTTGAAAAAGATGAGTGAGCCAGCGAGTGACCTGGAGCGACATGGGAGTTCCAGAGAGCGTTGACAGACAGGCTAACTGCCCGAATGCCAATGATGGGGTGTAGGGCAGGGGATATGAAGCAGGCTAGTGCCCACTATGTGAATAGCAAAAAACAAAACTGCGCCTACCACCCCCCAGCAAACCACCTCCAAACTTTCTAAAATTATTTTGAAGTGTAAAGAAAAGTGACTTCGGACTGGGCTGAAGTTAGTCACATCAACTGCTGATAGTTTCTGCCAACATTTGCTCGGATTCAGGAGAAAACAACTCCCTCAGATTTAGTGTAAATGACCCTCCACACATCGAGCAGGACTTTGCACTGAGAAGGCAGCAGGCTGATAGAATGAATATTTTCAGCCTGTGCACAGCTTAACCCTACTTCACACTACGACATTGCAAACGTGTGACAACTTTAGTGGGATTTAAACTAAGTTATAATGCTGAGGTTCAAAAGGAAAGTACAAAAGCAAATGCCTTTGTCATCTCTCAGCTGAACTACTCTAAAGCCCTCCTTGTTGGTCTCTCCTTCTCCACTATTCACAAAATTCAGCTCATTTAAAACTCTGCCGCTCGCATTCTCACCCACACCAGACTTCATGCCCCGATTACCCCAGGCCTTGCCAAACTCCACTGACTCCCTGTCACAGAGCGGATCGATTTCAAGATCCTCACTCTAGTGTTTAAATCCCTCCATTCCTTGGCAGCCCCCTATCTCTCTAACCTCCTCTCTCCCCACAGCAGTACCCACTGCCTCCGCTCCTCTGGGTCTGGCCTCCTCCGCGTCCCCCGAATCCTCCACTCCACCATCGGCGGCCGTGCCTTCAGCCACTAGCCCTGAAACTTTGAAACTCCCTCCCTCAACCCCTTCACCTCGCCCTCTGTTTCCCCATCTTCAGGTCGCGCCCGAAGACCTTCCTCTTCAACCACACTTACAGTCACCTCCCCCCTCCCCTGGCTGGGCCTCGGGCTCCGCGATTGTTAAGCGCTCCGAGACACCACCCAGCGGAGAGGGTGCTATATAAATGCAAATTGTTGTTGTTGAGAAGCAGGGTATACACAGCATAGAGAAGTGGGGGTGGGGTGGTGGGGGGAATAGCACTCAAAGTTTCTATCTGAACAAGTGATTGTCTGACATACTAAACCATGGCTCTGTTTTGGGATCTTGTGCAAGCAGAACACCACACCCAGAGAACTACATGTAGGTGTGGTCACTGCAACATAACATGGCCGCAGTGAAGGGCAACAAACATGATACTCAGTGCTGGGAGGTGAGCTGTGAGGAACAAGATAAGCCATAACTCTTCAGCATCAAAAAGGAAAGTCTCAGAGGGATGGGCTTAGAGGTTTAGAACACATGATAAATGGGATTTAGAGAGTATTCCACAAAGTAGCGTTTTCAGATACGCCAAGACCGCAGAACAAGAGAGCCTGGGGTCAAGTCTGTGAAGAGCAAATTAGGGCAAATACCAGGACACATTTTGTCTCACAGAGGAAAGGCAGAATAAATAGACATTTGTGTTTATGTGTGTGTGAGAGAAAGAGAAAAAGAGAGTCACACAAACACCAGAGAAGGAACAGAAAAAATGAAATGGATTAAAATATAAAATATATAAATCTCAATATAAAATAGTCACAATTAGATCAAATAGGGGAAGCTAGAAGAAATTTCTTCACACATAGAGTTGAGGGAATGTGGAACACCTGAACTCGCAGTTACTCCTACCACAAGGAGTTGTTGAGGCAAATAGCATAGATGTATTTAAGGGAAAGGTAGATAGGTACATGAGGGAGAAAGGAATAGAAGGTTATGCTTGAAGGTTTAATTGAGGAAGGGCAGGAGGAGGCTCATGTGGAGCACAAACACCAGCATAGACCAGTAGGGCCGAATGGCCTGTTTCTGTGCTGTATATTCTAATGTATTCTAAAAGATCTTCCATCATATAATCAAATGTCTCACATACACACACATTTTACAACAAACCAGGTTCAATATTTCAGATGTTAAATTGTATTCCATTCACACAATCACACCAACAAAGGCCTGCGTGAAAGACCCCGTTACCAACAGTTACTAGCAAGTTACTAACAAGTTACTCGCAGTTACTCACAGGGCAATAATAATTCTCAGGACAGATGTTGCATTCCTGCTGCCCCTGCAGAGTCTGGTAAAATCCAGTCCTGCACATCCTGCACCGGAGCTCATTTTCTACCTTGTGCATTCCTGCCAAATAAAAACATTCCACCATTCGTTCTTCTTGTTCTGATATCACTGCAAGTTTCAAATAATAATAATCCCTGCATTTGATATACGCCTTATCACCTTGTCGAGACGTTTCAAATTGCTTCACAGAATATATTGTAAAATGAATTGACTGTATGTTGTAGGCGAAATGAAGCAGCCAATTGCACACAATAATGTCCCACAAACAGCCATAAACTGAGTGACCAATTTTATTGGAGGGATTTTTGGCCAGGACACCGGGAGAAACTCCCTTCTCTTTTCGAATCATGCCATGGGATCTTTAACATCCACCTGAACAGGCAGATGGGACCTCGGTTTTGATGTCTCATCCGAAGGACGGCATCTCCCACAATGTAACATCTCCCCAGCACTGCATTGGAGTCTTAGCTTAGACTATGTGATTCTAAGTCCCAACGTGGGGCTTGAACCCACAAACCTTCTGACTCAAGAGGTGAGAGTGCTACCACTGAGGAATTTTACTCTTCAACACCCCCACCCCAATCTCTTTTCTCCCAGTTTAATGATTTAGATACTGAAGGGGTGAGGTGGGGGCAGGGGCTGATCACTGGACACAGTTACCTGGGCGACAAAAGGAACATTTTTCTGTGGCTGAAGACAAAGCCTCCTGTCCGGCAGGGCACATGGTGCAGTGGGTGCAATGAGTTGTGCTTCAAGAAAAAAAAAGACACAAGGTTTATATAAACGCAGCTAGAGAAACCAGGGCACTCTGCCTGCACAGGTACCTGTGAAGGAAAAAAATTAAGGGATTAAACGTAGAGGAAAAGCTAGGAAAGCGATTGCAATGTGCTCAGCCGGCTGACTGCTCTCTGTGCCCTGGCTGGTTGATGCTTTAAGAAACAGTGGCCAACATCATTCCCACATTTGCTGCTGTGCCTCCCCAAAGCAGGAAGCGATGCTGACAGCAACCTGACAACCCAGTCGGCCTCCGTTTTGTCTGGGAAAAGCTAAAATGGCCAACTTCTGGGTAATTCGGTGGTCGTCGATGTCACTTCCTGATTGCACGCACACAACAAAACAGGAAGTGACAACAAACTAACCCAGCCGTCCAGCAGAGGGAAGCGGACACACAGTGAGTGAGTTCACAGTGAACCTTGTAATAAGTAAATTGAGGCTGTAATGGGCTGTGCATATAATATATAAATATAAAATATACACGGACACGTGCTCAGCTCACTCGTTTCCTCTACACCAGACACCTTTCACAACTAAAATGTCCGACTTCCAGGTCATTAGATCGCTGCCAGTGTCACCTCCTACTTTACACATACACAGTAAACAGGTAGTGACAGTGGCGATGAGTTAGCAATGACTCTGAAGTCAGATATTGTTTCTCTGGAATGAAGGAACCGATGAGCACACAGGGATCGAGCCAACCCAGCCAGCAATGCTCATAAAAGCATAACCAGCTATGAGCATTAGGGCTGCCGCAAATGTCACAGCAAACGGAGGAAATGATGTCAGCAACAGCCCGACAATTTAGACGTCAGACACCTTCTTTGAGCAGCAAACCAGCCAGTGCTCAGAGAGCATCACTGTACTCACGTTCCCACTTTTCCTCCTCATACAATCCCCTCAATATTCTTCCTCATTGGGTACCTGTGAAGTGGTATGTAATAATAATAATAATCCTTGCATTTGAAATAGCGCCTTATCATGTCTTTGAGACGTCTCAAAGTGCTTCACAGAATATGCTGTAAAGTGGAGTCCTGTAGCTCAGTGGTTAGAGCACTCGCTTTGCAAGCGAGAGACCTGAGTTCAATTCCAGGCAGAGGGCGAAACCTTTGGCAAGTTTCCTTACTCCACACACCTAATAATAGTCCCTCCAAAACAAAACAATAATAAAATTGGTCATTTTCAATCTACGACTGTTTGTGGGACATTGCTGTGCGCAATTGGCTGCCGCGTTCGCCCACAAATATACAGTCAATTCACTTTACAGTGTGTTCTGTGAAGCGCTTTGGGACGTCCTCCCGACGTGAAAAGCGCTATATCAAAATGCAAGGATTATTATTATTATATTATTATTAAAGTGAATTGACTGTATATTTTGTGGGTGAAACGCGGCAGCCAATTGCGCACAGCAGTGTCCCACAAACAGCAAAACCTATTTTTTTGGAAGGATTATTACCTCCAGAAAACGATCCACCAATCGACTAACAACCAGGTTCTTACTGACTATTAGATAAACAGAGGCAATGTGGAGTAAGGAAACTTACTGCCCGGATTCTAAACCGGATCCTCTTGCTTATGAGGTGAGCACGCAACAACTAGGCTACAGGACAGTATCAACATCCAGAACACAAATGATCAAAATAAAAAGAGATCGGAAACCCATCAAAACCTGCGGAGTGAGCTAATGCAATGATAAACTGAGGCCGCAACACAGAGTGAGGTGTTACATGTCAATCCAGGTGAGTTCAATGACAGACGGGTTTGTTAATACTTCCGACAGCTCAACAAGCTTCCCTGACTTACTTGCAAAAGAATCCCTGGGAACAGGCTTCACAGGAAGTGGCATTCTTCTCGGAAAAGTAGCCTGGGAAATGTAGAACAGATTTTTAGTGGGATTTCGGGATAGTTCCTTGGTGTCAAGTGACAATAGCACCCATTGGTGGAAAAATAAGCAGCCCCCCCCCCAACAAAACAAAGTCTTGTTCCATTTGTTCCATGGGTTGGGGGGGTAGGCAGGGCAAAAGCAAAGAACAAAGAGGAAAATATTCAGCAATCATAACAGTTTGTATTCATGTAAGTCTCTTCACATCTCGGAGCGCTTCACAGTGACAAGGGCCTGTCACCATGTGGGGAAGGGGGGAAGTGACTGTAAGCGAGGTCGAAGGCAGAGAGTATTTTTTTTAGGTGGGATTTGAAGACCGAAAGACGGAGCAAGACAGAGGGATACCAGAGGTTAGGGGTGTAGTAGCTGAATTATTCCCCTCTCCTCCCCACAAAATAATTTGAGCATTTATTTCCTACACTCCACGGGGTGTTCACAAAGTTTTGTTAGCCCCTGTTTTTTTTTCTTACAATGAATTTTTATTTTCTGTTGCAGATGAGTCGAGTGTAACAATGTCTGACACCAGTAACTTCTTCCTCGCTCCATCCATGTCATGGAAGATGTCACACCAAACATGGTGACAGTTCATTATCTGCCATGAAAATGATGACGCTCACACACACCCATCCTCTGCACGTCTAGATATAGTTAAACACTTGTACTGAATACAATGAAGTACTTTCTAAACACAATTATCATTCTTCCACATGTTCCAGTTGTTGGTCAGTTTACTATGTAAAAAAAAACATGGGGGTAACAGGAATTTGTGAACACCCTTACACAATGACGCACACCATTACCTGAAGAGCAGTCTTGGCAGAGTTTTGAACCAGTTTCGTTGGCGTAAAACCCAGCTTGACAGGGCTGGCATTCAGTGCTTCCCGTAGAGCTATGGAGAGAGAAGTGAGAAAATATATAGTACAATACAAAATTACATTTGTGTAGTGCCTTTCACATCAGAAAGACGTCCCGCGGTGCTGAACAGTCATGAAGGCCTGACCACTGATGGTGGGGGGGTGGGCCAGCACCTGCTGAGCAGAGGGAGAGGACAGGTTGATATAGGGTTAGCATGTCAGAGAGGTAGGGAGGGGGCAAGGCCATGGAGGGCCTTAAAGGTGAGGACGAGGATTTTGAACTCGATCCTCTGTCACAGAGCTTGGTGCAGGACAGGACACGAGCTGCAGAGTTCTGGATGATCTGCAGCTTGTGGAGGGAAGAGTTGGGAAAGCCAGCAAGCAGGGAGTTGGCATAGCCGAGCCTGGATGTAATGAAGGCATGTATGAGGGCTTCGGCAGCCTGAGGGGATATTAGCTACATCACTACATTCCTCACTTTTTACAACTAGATTTGGTTTTGATCAGCGGAGTGTCAGACACATGTGGAAACCCATGACTATGCTCAAGAGTATCCAAACCAAACAGTTCCATCGTGACACCTAGACATGAAAATTAGTGTTTTAGAATGCAGTGTGAACTCTGATGAGGTGGAAACACACATCCTGCTTCTCCACTTCTCTAATTCCGGTTCCAGAAAGTATTAGGCACAGGTTGGCAAGAGCCAAGACTTGGGGACCCCAGAGTGTGTGTTGTGGCATTGCTAGAATCTAACCAGCTAAAACCACATAAATATTGCTGTCTTGCTTTCCCTCTGCTTGTCCAGCTTGGACCATCCTACCCATTAGGGCTTTGGCTTGCAGGGTTAACAGTAGCTGAGTGGGATGGATCTCAGCCACCAGGGTTTACAACTGTTCCAAATGTTATTCTTTAACCCATTGACTAACAAAGATGTAGAGCAGTACTGTGAGATTCCCCCCACCATTCCCCATGGACACTTGGAACATACAAACACTTTGGAGCTGCTGCTATGATTATTTTAAGTCAACATACTCTGGAATCGAATAATCGGATATAAAACAACAACAACGTATTTGTTCTTACTATTGTGGGATATAGTATAGAGTTTGGCACATGACATGTGTATGCAACTGCCAGGTTGGTGGAAGGTGAACTGAATGGACCTTCATCTCACAATTCTTATGTTCCAACTTCCATTTATATAGTGCTCTTTGTGCAGGATAGCTTTGGAGCACTGCACAGTGGTGGGATTGGTCACCAAGCCTGTGTGTGTGGGGGGGTAGGAAAACCATAGGCATAGTTGATAAGATAGAGGAGCACAACAGTTTGCTCTGAATTGAACCCACGTCACACAGTCACTGACCACAGTACTACTTGACATGCCGGGTAGCCCAGCTGGTTGAGCATGGAGTATGGGTCTCAAATGTTCTACACAGTACTGAATAGAGTGTTGCTGGTCAGCTCCTGTGCTGTAACCCAAACACCACCACCACCAACAACAAGATTACATTTGTATAGCGCCTTTCACGTCAGGAGGACATCCCAAGGAGCTGGACAGTGTACAGCATTCCAGAACACAAAACTCAAACTACAGAAAATTCGGTTTGAATCACAAAAAAAAAGTAGAGTTTGAAAACTTCAAAGAACCACACGAAACACACACACAGGAAAAATCTTCCTTCTGCCTGATCACAAGAGGTTATCTGAAGCTACATGAGCCAAAGTACCACATGCACACACACAACAATAAAGCAAGAAGGCACAAAACAAAAAATAATTCATACACAATACTGCCTACATTTACACAGCCTCTTTCAAGTCAGGAGGAAGTCTCAAACCGCTTTACACAGCTTGCTGGGCACCCGAGCGGGCGTGTGGGGGGAGGGGGGAAAGGAAGGAAAAAGAAAAATGACCAAAAGAACGGTCAGAGACAAATTTTAAGGCAGGCTTTAAAATTGGGAGGGAGTTCCGAGTTGAAAGATATGGATTTCCAGAGAGCAAGGGCTGATGGCTGAAAGCTTGTCCAGCAATAGTGCAAGCAAGTCAGGCAGGGGACATGAAGCAGGCCGGTGCTCACTGAGTGCTGGAGGTCACAGAGGTAGGGTTTGGGGCGAGGCTGTGGAGGGATCTGAATGTGAGGGTGAGGATCTTCGAAATTCAGTCCTGGGGGAAGGGGATTTATTTACACGTTCATAAATTCTTAGTTTTTTTTTAAAAAGCGCACACTCTTGGGCATTTGGAAGAAGCCCCCTCCCTTGCCTCCTTCAAAGCCAACCGTGCCTTCGGTCATCTTCCGTCTTCCACCCCCTACCTTGCCCTCCACCTCTCTCTGATCCTAAATCCAGCTCAGGTACAACCCCCTCCTTTTTGTCCAGCGCCTTGGGATGGCCTCCTGACGTGAAAGGCGCAAATTAATTAAGTAGAATTTGTTGTTATTGGTGCAAAACCTAAACTTGGCACCAAAAATCAGCATTATGGCCATATTTCAAGCAGCTAATGACCCATTTGTCAACCCTTGCAATGCTGATTGAAGAACAGAGACTAAAATGAACACAAGTTGACAGCGGAGAACAGTCTGGGCTGGTTACCCGGCAAATAGTCAGCATTCTGGACAATGAATGGTCACTTGGATCCAGCTCCAGTCACACACTTATGAACAAACCAGCATTAAATGGTTTAGCACGACATTCGTATAATTCATATCAACAGATGATGGAAGAGGCCTGAAATTGTGAAAAGCTCAAATCTCTTTAAAACTGTACAGAGATTAAACTGGGACCGAAGGATTTAATAACACCACTTATCAAACACTCAGTCATCGGGACAGAAACTGGAGGTTTAAAATAATAATAATCCTTGCATTTGATATAATGCTTTATCACGTTATTGAGATGTCTCAAAGTACTTCACAGAATATATGTAAAAATAATAATAAATCCTTGAATTTGATATAGCGCTTTATCATGTCTTCGAGACATCTCAAAGTGCTTCACAGAATATACTGTAAAGTGGGCTGCGTATTTTGTGGGCAAAACACGGCAGTCAATTGCGTACATTACAGTACAAAATTACATTTGTAAAGCGCCTTTCACATCAGGAGGACTTCACAAGGCGCTGGATAGTCAGGGATTTGGACCCGAGCTGGAGGGTTGGAATCAGGGAAGGTAGGAAGGGTGGCCGTAGGCGTGATCAAAGAGGAAGGCTTTGAGACGTGCCTTGAAGGAGCCAAGGGAAGGAGCGAGGTGAAGGGAATGTGGGATGGAGTTTCAAATGGTAGGTTCAGAGAGGATGATGGTGGGGCAGGCAGGGCGGGGGACGTGGAGCAGGCTACAGCCTGCTGAGCAGAGGGAGCGGACAGGTTGATATATGGGACACAATAGTGTCGCACAAACACAACCATAAATAGTCGTGGAGTGAGTGATCAAATTTTTTTTGGGGGGGAGGAGGGATTACAACAAAAGCAATTACTTGCATTTATTTAGCGCCCCTCATACAGGGCAGAGTCCCAGAACACTAGGGGTATTATAGAACGACTGCCTTTTGTTTTGCACCATCAACGTTTCTAATCTCATCATCTTCACTTAAATGTTTCCTTTTTCTTTCCCCGCTCCTTTCTCTGTTTGTCCTTATATAATATATAAGGAGGGTAAGAGGTGACCTGATAGAGGTCCTTAAAATGATGAAAGGTTTTGATAGGGTAGAAATAGGGCAAATGTTCCCACTTGTGGGGGAGACCAAAACCAGGGGCCATCAATATAAAATAGTCATAGATAGATCAAATAGGGGAAGTTAGAAGAAATTTCTTCACACAGAGAGTAGTGGAATGTGGAACATGCTCCCACAAGGAGTTGTTGAGGCAAATAGCACATATGTATTTAAGGGGAAGCTAGATAGGTACATGAGGGAGAAAGGAATAGATGGTTATGCATGAAGGTTTAGTTGAGGAAGGGCAGGAGGAGGCTCATGTGGAGCATAAACACCGGCATAGACCAGTTGGGCTGAATGGCCTGTTTCTGTGCTGTATATTCTGATGTATTCTCATAATCCTTGCATTTAATACAGCACTTTTCACATCTTCTAGACGTCTCAAAGCGTTTCACAGAATATACTGTAAAGTGAATTGACTGTATATTTTGTGGGTGAAACGCGGCAGCCAATTGTGACAGCAGCGTTCCATAAACACTCGTGGTTTGAGTGACCAAACTATTACTTTTTTTAAAAATTTATTGAGAGATTATTATCACTCAAGAAATAAAATAATCTGCTCCCTTCCCCCAGTTCTGACGAAAGGTCATAGACCTGAAACGTTAACTGATTTTCCTCTCTCCATGGATGCTGTCTGACCTGCTGCGTGTTCGCAGCATCTTCTGTGTTTATACCTAACTTTACAGTGTATCCCGTGAAGCGCTTTGAGATCCTCAACCACATGACAAGACTCTATATCAAATGCAAGGATCATTATTGTTTTTACTGCTGGCAGAATGACCAATTCATTCCCAGCCAGAGGATCTGGAACCATAATATTCAGCACTTCGCTACTGTACTTACTTGGAATAAGCCCCTTTTGAACAGGGCAAGCAGGCCTTCTGCCCAGACTGGGACTGGTAGTAACCCTGTGGGCAGCTCAGGCACTTGTCCAATGAGACGCAGAAACCATCAGGACAACAGGAGCAGTTCAGGGAAGCTGAAAGAGACAGAGAAAATCTTAGAGCATCTGCAAAGTTACTTGACTTATACTTTGTCATGCCCTCCGTTCCACCATTGGTGGCTGCACTTTCAGCCATAATGCCCCGAAAATCTGGAACACTCAACCTCTATCCCTCCTTCCTCATCTTCAGGTTGCGACTGAAGACCTTCCTCTTCAACTGTTACCTCTCCCCGGCTTGGAGTAGTGCTCCGCCACTGCCAAATGCTATGGGACGCTACCCTGTGTGAGGGTCGCTATATAAATACCAGTTATAGCTTCTCCTAATGGAAAATTTACCCAACTCTGCACAGTAACTTACCATTGTCGGGATAATGCCCAGCGGGGCACACAGCACAGCTGGAGGTATTCACTCCCGTACAGTTTGGGAACGAGGAAGTGATGGCCACCAGAATGATAGCTGTTGTGCTGTTGCCCTGCAAAGTCTGATTGGTAAGATCATCAAACGAAGAGGTCACTGGTGCAGAAGGAAGCGAAACTGTGGGGGAAACCATCTTTGTAGTCATCTGACCCACCACCAAGCCTAAGAAAAAAAAACAAGATAGGAGCGTCTTGAACAGAATTGAGGAAACATTACTTCAGTGACCGAGTAGCAAACATACGGAACAGCCTCCATTGGGGGGCCAGTGGAAGCAGAAAGTCGATTCTTTCAAGAACAAATTAGATTTCTGCTTGAAAATAATATCTCAGGCTACAATGTATAGTTTGAGACACGACACGTCAAGCGACTGGCAGGATGGGGAAGGCAAACTAGACGGACCTTGGTCTTGTTTCGCCTAGTAAATTCTTATGTTCTTAATTCACAATACTGATGCCCACGTGTGCACAATACCCAGGCATTTAGTAACACAACACATTACAGTTACAAAATGAAAACATTCTTGTATTGAATGCATAACACAGAATGAACGTAACCAAGTAAAGGCATCAAAAAAAAAAATCTTATACAGGATTTAATTGCATAATGAGTGAAACTTCCGAAAAAGTGGGAACAACAACAACATTTCATTTGTAAAGTGTTTTTCACATCGGGAGGATGCCCCAAGGCTCCAGACAGACCAAAATATAAACTATGGTAAATCAAGCGGAATTCGTTTTGGATTGTTTCTTATTGTTTTGAGATTAATAATCATTTTGGGCAGAAGTAAAACATTGATGTATTGGTGTATCTAGCTTCCCACCCAACGTCCCAAAAGGTTTGGTCGACACTTCTAGTTCTCCTCATCTAAGAACCCCAGCAGTTGCCCATGCTCGCTCACCCCCATTCCCACCCACACTCACTCGCGCCCCCGCACGCGCCTGCCCGCACCAGCACACACCCACCCATCATACCCACCCACCACGCCCCATCCACCACGCCCACGCCCGCCCACAGCTGAAGAGCACAGAGGTGCCCTCCCATATCTCACAATCTTGTGCAAGACATAATAATCATGATAACAATAATAATAATCCTTGCCTTGGATATAGCACCTTATCACGACATTGAGACATCTCACAGCACTTCACAGGATGTAGCGTACAATGGATTAACTGTGTATTTTGTGGGCGAATGCTGAAACTGCAAATTTCTCTGTTGTAGTCAGATGCAAATGTTTTCTGAGATTAAATTCAAGTAAACCCACAGAAATTATCTACGCTCACTGCTCTGAATTTTAGTCACAGCTGCAAAGCAGCTACTACTGAGAGAGATGACTCCAGAGGTGGAGGAAATCTCACTTCCAGCCAGTTGTGGAGCCACTGCAAGTGAGAATCATGAGTCTCATCAGCTGATGACAAACAGCAAGCACTCTGTCCCAACATTTATCTCTCATTCAAGGAACGCTGCTGGCAACATTAGCCATTCCTTTTCATTGCTCAGCAAAACATATATGTTTTTTAAATGTGAAAGGCACTCTATAAATGCAACTTATTATTATTATTGTCATTAAACTCTGTGAATCAAAATGTGCAGCAGTCAACAAAAAGAAAGTGAAACCAACAGGGAAGTTCTGGTGGGTGATAAACCAGGCATGACAATTTTGATGTCTACAACAACAACTTGTATTTATATTGCGCCCTTCACAGGGGCAGCGTCTCGAAGCGCTCGTCTATTATTAACGCAGTAACAACAGATGCCCAAATTGTGAGTCTCACTGAGGGAACATGAGGCTAGTCCTTCAGGAAGTGTAAAGGTCAGTCTGGTATGCAAGGGAGATGTTTGTGTGTGGTTGAGGTACAAGAGAGAAGCTGTTGTCAATTACTGTAAGTGGATGCAGGAAGCTTCAAGCAAATTAAGCAATAAAACTGGACAATCGTACATTGTCCTGGGCAACAAGAGTGCGGGAGAATGGATCGTGGTTGTTTGTGGGACCTGACCATGTGTAAAGTGGCTATCACATTTGCCTATTGAAAAAAAAGTCAATACACTTAACAGTAAGGCAAGGTCGAAGAGGAAGGTCTTCAGGTGCGATCTGAAGACAGCCAAAGGGGGAAAAGCAGAGGCATTGAGGCAGAGAATTCCAAAGTTTTGGGGGGCTGGTGACTGAAGGGCAGACAGCTGATGGTGTAGCGAGAGACTGAAGGTCTTGTAGAAAGCTGGAGCCAATGGAGCGAAGGGATCAGAAAGTGGAGTGACGTGTGAGCAGATCGGAAAGGTGAAACAGCGAACTGGCTACACATTAGTCATTTGGGAATCACAGACAAGCTGACATTTAGTCTCAGTTCCCCTTTCTATGTCAAACAAGTCTATTTTAAGGGATTGCACACAACTGTACTTCTCGCAAAACTAACCAAATAGCAGCCAATAGCCCATTGGGCAGATCAACAACTCTCTGCATTTATCCAGTGCTCTTAAATCCAGGGTAACAAATATCTCAGGGTGCTGAACAATGGTGGAGTTTGATGCTGAGCCGGGGAGAAAGCGGAGGCGACTGTAAGCATGTTAAACAGGAAGGTCAGATCATCAAAAAAAGAGACACGTCAAAAAAAGGGAACCCAGCTCCATCTCTCCCCACCCCCAACAACCCAATCACACACTGGTCTTGAGCCAAACAGCTTCAGGAAGAAAAGGTGCTTTCATCATCCTCAAAATCCCAAACCAAAACAGGAGTTTCTTGCATCTAAAAGTAGTCAAAGATTGTGGTAAATTTCATCATGTAACAGCTTGGGTATTTTTTGGAGCTTGCTGGGTGGCTAACCCATCACAAAAACAAATAGCGCACTAGCGCATTCGGGAGATACCAGAGGGCACTCACATTCAATGCAACTGGAAATACCCTCAGCGGGAAAGGAGAACATATTGAGTTCAGAAGATAAAAGAAGAGGAGAAAATTACCAAACCCAAGAGGGCTACCAACTAATTCAGACAAAAAGTCTGGCTCAGTCAGTTGGACTCTCACTTCTAAGTGAGATAGATTCAACCCCAACATTCAGCTCATAATCTAGGCTGATGCTCCGATAAAGTACTGGGGGACACTGCATTGTTGGAGGAGCCAACGTTTGGTGATACAATACACCAGGACTCTTCTGCCTTTTTCGAGTGTATGTTAAGATTGCTTTTTGGTCAACCAGGTGTCTGAAACATGTTCCATGGCACTATTCCGAAATAGAAAGGGAGTTCCTCCCAGTGTTTTAGTCAAAAATCCCCCAGAATTAAAATAATAGTCATTCACTTCATGGCAATTCCTGGGTCATTGCTGTGTACACACTGGCTGCTGTGTTCACTTACACGGTCATCAACAACAACAACAACTTCCATTTATACACCGGCCTTCACACGGAATAGCGTCCCAGAGCGCTTGACAGTAGTGGAGTCTGACACCGAGCCAGGGAGAGAGGGAGGCGGGAGGTGACCATAAGCACCATCAAAAAGGAAGGTCTTTAGGCAGGAGTTGAAAGTGGGGAGCAAGGCGGAGGAATTGAGGGAGAGTTCCAGAGTTTCGGGGCGTAGTGGCTGAAGCCACGGCCACCGATGGTGGAGCGGAGGGGACGAGCGACAAACAGAATGTCGTAGCCAGTCAAGCAGAGGCGGCAGGTGGTGGAGTGGGGAGTAAGCAGATCAGATAGGTAGGGAGGTGCGAGAGCATAAATGGACTTGAAAACAAGTGAGAGGATCTTGAAATCGATCTGTTGGGTGATTGGAAGCCAGTGGAGCCTGGCAAGGACTGGTATGTTGGAGGTATGGAGTTTTGTGCGGGTGAGTATCCGGGCGCCTGAGTTCTGAATTAGTTGCATTTTGTGTATGGTGGAGCTCGGGAGACCAGCGAGGAGGGCATTGGAATAGTCCAGTCAGGAAGTGACGAGGCGTGGTCAAGGGTTTCGGCTGTGTTAGTTGTGAGGTACAGATGTGATGGGCAAAAAGTCACTACACTTTACAGTAAATCTCAAACGGTTTGAGAAGTTGACAATGTGATAAAAATGTTGTATCAAATGCAAGGATTATTTGTAATTTGTTATTAATATTAATTAGGGGAACACAGAATCAAAATGAAATGCCCGAGTGGAACTCAATAATAAAAACACAATATACCAACCTAAAAATAAATAAAAAATAATGATAATTTGGTCACTCAATCTATGACTGTTTGTGGGACATTCCTGAGCACAATTGACTGCCTCATTTCACGCACAAAATGGGGAGGACAAGTTTGCATGGTTATGGGGAGAGAGTGGGGGAGTGGGATTGATTTGGATAACTCTTTTCAAAGAGCCGGCACAGACATGACAAACCTCCTTCTGTGCTGCATAATTCTATGATTCTATGAAAATATACAGTCAATTCACTTTACAGTATATTCTGTAAAGCGCTTTGAGACATCTCAACAATGTGATAAGGCTGTATATCAAATACAGGATCAGTGAGGAACCAATCCCAAATTAAAGTAAGCATTTTACTTACCAGCAGCCCTGAAATTCAAACTCTTGACTTTCTGGTTAGGGTCTACAACCTGTGTCACATTGCTACCCTTTACAAGGCTCAATTTAAGTCTGTTGGTAGATTAACTTTTTTATTACAGGCAACACTTAGGTGCTGATGTCAAGCAAGTGCATTTTGTTACATATTCAAACCCATCCCCACATAACCATGCCATTAAATACCAAGCCTCAGATTTGAAGTAAACAGTTCAAGCTATTTTTGTTCCAAATAAACTCCTAATCACATTTCACAAATAGAAAGTGGTGGACATCAGCATTGTTGGCTTTTAGTCAATGGTGAATAGTTGGAAGCAGAAACTGCCAAAAAAACTATCCAATAATCAAAGAAAGAACTTTGTATTTTTAACAGGAATGTCTACCCAGAAACGTTTGGGTAATTATTGTCGCGTGTATTGAGACTAAACAGATTGTTCTTTCAGAGAGCCAGCAAGGCCTCCTTTATGCAATGAAATTCTCTATGGTTCCAGCAACTGCTTTTTGTAACTAAATTCCACTGCCGTTTTGCACACAGCCAAATCCCACAAATAGCTACGATGTGAACAACCGATTAACCTGCAGGACTGTTGGCCAGAGCATCGGAAGAGAGTCTCTCCTCTCTTCAAATAC